AACGCTCACCGGTGCGCCGGAAGGGTCCCCGTTGTCGCCACCGCCGAATCCCAGGAAGAAGAGAGAAGCGAGACTGCTGTCCGCTGGTTTTAAGATAACCGCGGGGGCGAAGTGGCCAATCTAGGAGCGACACGTCGATCTCCTTTGTGCGGGGGTTCGTTACGGAAATTGCCCCAAGGGGGGAGAGGAGGAAGCCACTCACAGTGGTAAGCAGCGCCGCCTCTCGCTACGCCAGCGCGGCCGCCACGGCGCGCCAAAACGCTGACGCGACAGAATGTTGAGGGATCACAATCCCCACAAAGTTTAGTCAAGAGCTGCAAATCGTCACCAGTCACAAACGGAACAAGGCTCCCACGAGAGCACTAAAACGAATTTGCAAAGCCAGCCAGTACCACTCGAACAACGAGGACCAGTTGAAGAAGCTTGAGGACCAGATCGAAGAGAAAAGGGCGGTCTTTCAGAAAAGACTGGTCATCACGGCAAACCGGACCGAGTATCGGAGAGTGAGGTTCAATCGGTCCACATTCTACCAGAGACTTGACAAAGACCAGGAAAAGATAGACGAGAACATCGATGTTGATGAGGTGATTACTTTCTGGAGAGGAATCTGGGCGACTGATGACGAAGAAGGAGAGCACCAGGAATTGATTGACCTATTGGGCCCAGTGGAGCTTCAGACCCAAGCTGAAGAGGAAAGAGTTGAGTGGGTCATTGAGGAGAAGATCAAGTTCCTGTCCAACTGGAAGACACCAGGGCCCGACGGCGTATTCAGCTTTTTCATTAAAAAGCTGACTGCACTTCACTTTCATCTCACCGACCCAGGGGCGGATGCAGGAATTTCCTGAGGGGGGGGGGGGGTCAGCTGTTGGTCAGCATACCATATGTTTAGGGACCCCCTCCCCCTCTCCCTTGTTTCACGCCCTAAATTTTACGCATGCAGAAATCAAGAGGGGGGTCAGGACATCCAGACCCCTCCTCTAAATCCGCCCCTGCACCGACCTCCTACCGTCAAATCCCGAGAGATAGCCCACCTAACATCAAGAGAAAATCGGGTGAAAATATGAAGTGGGCTAACTTTCAATGTACAATCAAGAAAAGTTTAAAAAAAATGCTATTTTTAGGTTGTGTCCCTTCGAAGCTTGTTGGAACGCGAATACAGCGCAAACGAACGACGGACCAGTAGAAGAGTACCGTAGAAACCCGCGAATAATACAAAACACAATTTGAGGACTGCGAAAAAAACATTTATCCGCGTATAATACGAAACAAAATCAGGACTACGAAAATATTCCAAAGAACGAGCGACGAGCGAGCGCCGACGCAGTGAAATCTTGGCACGGTGCATAAAGCGAGTAACCCAATGTCGGCTCACCAAAGTTCTCATGCAGCAGCTCGGTGTTTACGGCGAGGTGCCGTTTACGTTGCTCTTTTAGAAAGTTAGGGCGAAGTGCCGTTCACGTTGCTCTTTTACAAAGTCGCTGAGACTTGCCTCGACGTCGGCGAACATGCCATTCTTCGGGCTCCTAAAGCTTCTTCTCGTTCCGTTGCACGCAAACAGAGCTTGCTTTTGTCGTCTCCATCCACGGATGCTGCCCTCATTTACGGCGAATTGTCGTCCGGCTGCCCTGTTGCCGATGCCTTCCGCAACCAAAAGGACTTTTTTTTTGAAGGCGGTTGATTATCGTCTTTGCGCCGACGCCATTGCCGAGTCTCACTGTTGACGAATGGTGGCGCCTCGAACATTGTGATTTTAATGATGATGATAGCTGTTGTGAGCGCCTTATTGCTTCGAAACCGAAACTACGTCAAACAGCGTTAGATCGCGCCTCATCGAAGCTGAAAATTGTTAGGACCCGCGTATAATACGAGCCGCGAATTTTACATAGCAAAATTTGAAGAAAAAAAACTCGTATTATATTTGGGTTTTTACGGTATACACAGCACTACTATTACTAGTAGTGGGCTATCTTTCGGTGTTTAAAAGAATATAGCAAATCAATCCAAAAATTGGGGTCGGCTATCTTTCGGGGGTGGGGCATCTCTTGGGATTTTACGGTAGTCAAAGCAGTTGTTGACCCCGAGAAGATTGACGAGCAACTGTACATGGGCACGACATACCTTATCGCAAAGATGAAACGAGCAAACCAGGGCAAAGAGCTATGCCCTATAACTTGTCTCCCGAACATCTACAAGCTGCTGAGCAATGTTGTCACAGCCCTGGTGACGGACCTGTGCGAGGTGAATGAGGTGATCTCGGCCAACCAGATGAGTACTCGAAGAGGCTGCCCAGGCGCCAAACAGCAAGCCCTCCTCAACAAAGTGCTCAGCCAAAAGCACACAACAAGCTGTTTACGTCCTGGATTGATATCCAGAAAGTGTATGACAGCGTCTAACACGAGTACCTGGTAGCCGTACTGTCGAAGTTGGGCATGGCGGAGAACATCATCAAGTTCATCAAGGGGACGCTGGCCTTCCACAGCACCAGCCTGGTTTGTCGTCAGAGCGAGATTGGCCAGGTGAGGATTAACAAAGTTCTCCTCCAGGGTGATGGCCTCTCGCCGTTGCTGTTCGTTCTTGCGTTGGAACCCTTCAGCCGCTGACTTAACCAGAACTGTAAACAATTGCAGATGGGCAACATCGAATGCAACCATTTGATTTTCATCGATGACATCAAATTACTGGCTGACAGAGAAGAGACGCTTATCAGACTTTGTGGCCTAACCGAAAGAACGCTCTGTCCGATGGGACTAAGGGTGAATCAGCAGAAGTCGGCGAGTAACGTCGGAAACAGTGGAGTCTTCGGAGAGATGGTGGACGATCACAGATCACAGAGGTTACAAGTATTTGGGCATCATGGAAGACTCACAAAATCTGGTGACAGATGAGAGCAAGGTCATCGTTACCAACAAGGCCACCGAAAGAACGAGAATGCTCTGTAAGACAAAGCTAAACGCTGCCAACCTATTTAGAGGAATCAACGAATTTGCCTTCTCAACACTCAATTACTATAGTATAGGTCTCCTGCCTTTCAAGCCGAGAGATTATGAAACGGTTCACAAGGAGGTGAGAAAGATCCTGAGCAAGTATAAGGTGACAAGGATTGCGGCGAATATGGACCGGCCATACCTGAAGCGCTACCAACTGGGAAGAGGACTCGCTTGCGTGGTGGAGAAAGCTGAGCTAATGCTCTTGAAAATGTTAAAATCTCTCGAAAATAACCTGAAGACAAGACCGCTGATGGAACAGGAAAAAGAGGAAAAAAACCAGCTTGGACGAATATGTGAGTACCTGAAGGAAAAGTACTAACTTGAAGAGACCAACCTGACTGAGAAAAACATCCGAAAAAAAACAGGAAAAGAGTTGAATAAGGCAATTAAAGAAGAAGATATTGCATGCCATTCTTTTCAATAACGGATACAGTGCCAGTGAAGATGCCCGAGCCGAGGATAACGACGACGACGACAACAGCAGTGTGGTGCCCAGCATTTACGACCGAAGAATGTCATCAATGTGGCTTACGAAGGGCAACACGTCACCACAGCAGGAGGGGATGCTTACCAAATTACAGGGTCGTAACCTGTACTTGGGAAGAATGTCAAAAAGGTGTCCCCACTGCTTCAAGGGCTCAAGGTCGGTGGAACACCTGGCGACACATTGTGGCGGAATGTTGGACCTGTACTACAAGAAACGCCATGATGAAGTCGTCAGATGCCTTCACCTCCTATACACCAACAAGTATGGATTGAAGCAGAGTAAGCTGAGAAATTACGAAGTTGAAAAGGTAATATCGAATAATAGGGTAAGGAAAAAATCAGACCTAAAGGTTGAGACGGAAGTGTCCCTTGAATACAACAAGCCCGACCTGATGATACATGACTGAAGAACGAAGGAAATTACACATTGAGGTTTGCATCACCAACAAGAACATCCTGGCCAAGACCAATTTGAAAAAATCTCAGAAATACGACGTACTGAAAAATGATCTCATGGTAATGTACCCCGGGTGCAAAGTAATTACAGTACCGGTGGTGATGACCTAGGATGGTCTCGTGACAATACATTTCAAAGGTTATGTGAAACAACTCGAAGTCACCGACAGGCTGATGGCATACATGCTGTTGGTAGTCTTAAAGAGAACCTGCAAGAGCATCGTGGAAGACTGCCGAAGAGTGCAAAGAGGGGACCGGCTGTAGGATGAGGTGGACGAAATGATGTCCCAGCTTGAGACGTAGCCTGCTGGGCCAGAACAAGGACTGCCTGGAGCTGAGCTGGTTGGTGTGATATGATTCTGAAGGTTTCCAGCTGAACGTAGAGGGAAAAAAAGTAAATGGTTGATAGTCCAGCAGTGTGTGTCTCTTTTTCTTCACTCCTTGGTTTTTTCCCTCTACGTTCAGCTGGAAACCTTCAGAATCAGTACAAGGAGCTCAGTGGATGCCTAGATGAGCTTCATCTGAAAGGAATTACTTTGATGCATTAAACATATGTTGTTGTTATTATTATAATAATAATAATGATGATGATGATCACCATCATCATCATAGCCGTCACCACCACAACCACCATCATTATCATCATCATCATCCCACTCATACGTCGAAAGTGGTACCGAAGTGGCAACAAATGACATCATGAAAGCTAGCATGTCATGTTGTCAGACACCAGAAATCTAACGATTGGTGCGAGAAGCCTGGCAAAAAGGTATAGGCAAACACGAATGTCGCTGTCGTCGCGGAGTCTCAATTTCTGGCTGTTGAAACTTCCGTAAACGGTGACTCTGTACAATGACATGTAGCAGAACAGACATCTGCCTCATCCACCACTGCCGTTGTGACATTGCCGGGATTGCGGCCAGCGACAGCGCGCCACATCTAAGGCTTTGTCAGGCAGAAGTCGAGAGACTACTTCTTAGAATGCAGTAACACATCAGTTGGGGACGCGTTTCGGGCAGCGCCGGATTGGCTGGCGCGCCGCACTACAGTCGCTTCATCCTTCTTCCACAGCAAATCTTTGCCACGGAGCGGGACTATCACAGCGCCTGCAGCTTTCTGGGCATGGGGGCCGAGTACTCCCACATGGCCGGGGCCCACTACACCCGCATCCTCTTTCTGCTCAGCGAAGGCATGGTGGGTGCAGGAATTCTCTCATTTACCGGGGGCTGTCCAAACCCCTCTGTACGGGATGTCCCCCCAAAAAATTAAATGTACAATGTTTTACAGTGATAGCTGTTGGGGGCTTTTCCCACCACTGAAAATGACATCCGTCGTTGATGTAGGGCGTCCGTCGTCGGAGGTGTTATCACAGGGCTATGCCACAGCTTTAACGACCCGCTTTATATTTAGGGTTTTTGTAGTACCCAATGCCCACTGCACGTGCTCTCTAACAAAATTTATAAAAATTAAAAAAAAATAAAAAGTTAGATGGCTGAATGTTTAGTTACTCTATTGTAAAGGGTATCTCCCTGTATTTGCCAAAGGCGAGACAGTGAGGGAAAAATAGAGGTTTGGGAGGGGAAGGTAACTGAGTTGAGGTTGCCTGACCGGCAACAGAAGTTGGAGGAAGGATGAATATTGTCTCATTCCTTTCACCGGTGAAGAGGCACTTCCCTCACATGGGTCAAAACACGTCGGTCATAACCGGCTCACGTTAACTCCGAATAAAGACCAGCATGAATGGAAATCGAGTAGCAGCGGATGATCTTTTTCGTTGCCGACCTTCCTGGCCAGTACAGCCTGTCGCGATGCAAATTAACTCGTACAAGCTGGAAAACGCTGCCTCCGCACATAGAAAGACGTAGGCTGAAAGTTAATCGACGTGACGTTCGGCAAGATTTCGAGCTGGAAGTATACAGACGTGAAACGGCCCTGCCGGTAAGTCCGCCCCTGCTGAGGAGGCCGACGAACGCAGCTGCTGATGGTGGACCGGAAGCTGTCGGAGGTGCACCAGGTGCTGAACCAAGCGGGACAGCTTGTGGAGGCCTGGCAGGGCTCGATGCACCACAAGGAGGCCCTCAAGGTCTTCTTCCTGGTGCTCCAAGTCTGCCACTACCTGTCGGCGGGGCAGGTGGGTTTCGGACGCTCGGTTTCCGTCGGGCAGTTTCATTAGGGTGCTTGGAATGCATCTTGGACTGGTGTGTCTAGCGTCCTTTTCCTCTCATGCATCGAAAGTGGTATTGAAATTGCAACAAAAAACATTGCGAAAACCAGTATGTCGTGTTGGCAGATGTCGCAATCCTGGCAGTTGGTGTTAAAACTCCCGGCTAAAAGTATGAGCAAACAAAAGCGTTGTCGTCGTCGTCGCAGCGTCCCAACTCCTGGCTGCCGAAGCTTCCATGTCAAGCTGGAGAGCGACATGCAGGACAAGCGTCTACCACATCCACTACCGCTGCTGTGACACTGCCAGGGTCACGGCCGGCGACAAGGGGACGCATCTATAGCGTCAACAGCGAAAGTCGAAGGACCATGTTTTAGGACGCAGTAAACACACCAGTCGGCGAGATGTTCCAGGCACGATAACAATGCCTCTAAATTGTTGGAATGCTCGTGAGCATTTGTCGATCTCGGTACAATGCATAGTGCCGGTGTCTTCTAAAAATATGATGTGAAATGAACCGTGTGAGCAATGTCTAATCACTCCCTTGCTGTGCAGGTGAAGAGCGTGAAGCCTTGCCTGAAGCAGCTGCAGCAGGGCATCCAGACCATCACGTCCCTGCATTCGGACGAGGATGGGGTGCCCGCACACCCGGGGGACATGTTCCACTGGATGCCCAAGGAGCACATGTGCGTGCTTGTCTACCTGGTGGGTCTCCATTCTTCTCATCAAACAGGTGCTGTCCATATTCAGTCGTTACCTTAGAGGCTTACATCGTGGCTTCTCGAACTGGGTTCCCGTGCTCCCGAATTTATTCAGCCAGCCCTGCCCCTAAGTGAAGTGGTTTTTTTTTCTTTAAAAATTAAGCACTATCTTAGCATATTTAAGCAATCTACTGATGCAAAACTATGTTCAAAACACTCCCTAGTGTGCACAATGTTGTTTTCAAAATATGTACACCCGATTCACCAGGCACGACTAACTAGCGCCGTTTTAAGTTTAGGGCACGACTAAGTAGTCGCGAGCTAAACGAGAAATCCGCGACTAACGAGTGATTATGTTCTGCGGTATTCACGAGCGCGAAGGGAGCGGGTGAGTATCTAGTCAGAACTAACAAGCGGAAGCGACGTAGAAAGATAGGTCACGCATATCCGTACTTAAACGCCACTGCGTAAATGGGTATTTTTTCCTATAAAAACTAAACCTTAAATGTTTATCAAGAAAAAAAGTTACAATGAGAGACATATTGTCCGAGACAGAGTTTTACGAAGAAAAATTTAAAACAACGCCAGGGAGAAACACAGAAGCCGCATTGCCAGCGACATAAACAATTATGGAAGCGCCCGTAAATGTGTTTTTTTGCGCCGTCCACTGCCCTGCTGAGATCGCTTTAGCAATATCTCTGGCCTTTGAACATGGCTATTTACGCAATATTTGCTCCTTCGAATCTTTCTAGATGTGTCCCCCAGCATTCCGAGACAGTAAGTGCTTCGTTATAGCGCTGGCGGTCAGCGGTGATACGAGTCGGCCATGGCGCTGAGCCACTAGTCACCCGCTAAACACCGGCTAAGCTAGCCCTACCCCATGACTAATTAGTCGACTTCTTAGTCGCACGGGGTGACTAGGCCCTAAACACGACCGGTAAATACCAAGCGCTCACTTAGCGGCGACTATCGCCTGCCACGTGATCATTTTAGTCGATGACGTCGCTAGTCAGTGGTTAAACAGGCGCTACTCGCGCCTGGTGAATACGAGTGGTAGGTTTTTGCTCCACTTTATTGCATCAGGGTCGAGGCTAGGAGGGGTTCCTTGGCTTTCAGTCGAGCCAGCTATGGGATCCTCGAGATCAAAGAGATTGAGAACCCCTGCCATTGATACCGGCTTTTCTTTAGGCCAAGGGGGCAATTATTTATTTTTCGCTAAATTAATCTTGCCACTTCGGGGCATTTTTTTGTTGCCTTTGTGTCATGTGACAAAGGCAAAGAAACAGAAAAAAGACAATGTCTATAGTTCAACGTAGAAACTGCTGTGGTTCAATGGTCATACCCACTCTTGGAAGAGAAAGCCAATCCTTAATGGTCACAGTCGTTCATTAAGAAGAAACTAAGTCTATCTTGAAATGTTGGGCCTCCTCACATTTAGGGGTTGGTTGGTGGTGACTTCCTTGATCGTAATTTTAACTCAGCCACACAGACTTCTGCCGAATATGTTTGCGTTAAAGTTTGAGAAGCATTGGGATATGTAGTTTATTATGACCAGTGAACTCCTTTATAACAGGTGGCAGAAGCGGAGTCATGGGTGCTGCTCTTTGCAGGTGACGGTGCTCCACTCGATGCAGGCTGGCTACATGGACAAGGCCCACAAGTACACCGACAAGGCCCTCATGCAGATTGAGAAGCTCAAAAGTGAGGCCCTTACTGTGGTGCCTGAAACGCATCTTTGACGGGCGCGTTTACTGCGTCTTCAAAAGTGGTCCCTAGATTTCCGCCAGTTGACATCATCTCAGGTAGCACAGCTCTTTAGGTCCAAAATTTGGGTTTTGTCAGGGAATTTAGGACCTCAAAATGCCGAGATAGACTCAAATTTGACCTAATTTGCCAAACCAGTGCCAAACTTAGGCTTCATTGCTTTCACCTTTAGACATAAATCGCCAAACAGATGCTAGAGTTAGGCTTGACTTCTGGTTGTCTGGTTTTTGTGTGGCAACCTTGGGCCTAAATGGCCCAAGGTTGCTTTGGCGATTATGTGGCAAGCCACTAAAAAACCATAGAAACACCAAAGAAAAGTACTCTTACACTAACTAATGCCTTGGAGCAAAACCGTATCAGGCTCGAGTTAGGCCCCTAAGATTGCCAATCTTGTGCCAAGACAGGTGTTCCTTTGGCGTGTTGCCTGGGATAGAAGTGTCATGTTGCCAGTTGCGACCCTGGCAGTGTCACAGGAGCGGCGGTGGATGCGGCAGGTGCCTGTTCTGCTGCAAGTCGCTCTCCAGCTCGGCAGTCCACAGAAGCTTCAGCAGCTAGGACTCGGGACTTTGCGATGATAGTGACACTTGCATTTGCTCACAGTTTTTGCCTGAACTTGTAGCACCAACTGCCAGGAGTGCAACATCTGACAGCATGACAGGTGGTTCCCGTGTTGTCATTTGTTAGCACTTCAGGACCACTTTTGATGAGTGGGTTGATAGGATTTTTGCTTGGCTCAACCATCCATACACATGATCAAGAATGGGTTGAATTGGGCGCTAAACACCAGTCAAAGACCTGTTCCAGGAATCGTAGCTCGAGTGTCCAAAGCACATCTAATGGTGTGCCTCCCCTTCCCCCAAAGCACATCTAACAGGATGCCTCTCCTCCCCCAAAACTCATCTAATAGTGTGCCTTCCCTCCCCCAAAGCACAGCTGACAGTGTGCTTTCCCTCGTCCAAAGCACATCTAACGGTGTGCCTTCCCTTTTCTTAAAGGACATCCAACAATGTGCCTCCCTCCGCCCGAATCATATCAAACAGTGTGCCTTCCCTCCCCGAAGCACATCTAATGGTGCCTTCCCTCCCACCTGAAGCACATCTAACAGTGTTCCTTCCCTCCCCCAAAGCACATCTAACGGTGTACCCTTCCTACGCCACAAGTACATTTTGCGATCTGTTTTTCTGCCCCTGAAGCACATCAAACAGTGTGCCTTCCCTTCCCTCAAAGCATATCTGACGGTCTGCCTTCCCTCCCTTGAAGCACATCTAACGGTGTGCTTTCCCTCCCCTAAAGCACATCTAACAGTTTGCTTTCCCTCACCCGAAGCACATCAAACTGTGCCTTCCCTTCCCGCAAAGCATATCTGACGGTCTGCCTTCCTTCCCCCGAAGCACATCTAACAATGTGCTTCCCCTCCCCCCGAATCATATCAAACGGTGTGCCTTCCTTCCCCCGAAGCACATCTAATGGTGCCTTCCCTCCCCTCTGAAGCACATCTAACAGTGTTCCTTCCCTCCCCCAAAGCACATCTAACGGTGTGCCTTTCCTACCCCACAAGTACATCTTACAATCTGTTTTCCTGCCCCCAAAGCACATAAAACAGTGTGCCTTCCCTTTCCCCAAAGCATATCTGACAGTCTGCCTTCCCTCCCCCGAAGCACATCTAACGGTGTGCCTTCCCTCTCCCCAAAGCAGATCTAACGATGTGCCTCCCCTCTCCACGCAGTTGTGGACAGCAACCCGATCCTGCACTCATTCCAGCTGCTGCTGCTGGAGCACATCGCCATGTGCCGCCTGGTCATGGGAAACAAGACGCTTGCCATCCAAGAGGTATGCTCAAATGGGAATCGGCTTATTTCTGGGGGTGCCTCTGAAGCTAATCTTTAACAGTGATAGCTGTTATGGGCCCATCCCATTGCTGGAAATGATATGCATTACTCATGTCATAGTAATTGATGTTGTAGTTATTATTATTAAGGAACTTTATTTTCCATTTCGATACATAAATGGAGGAAACAAGGGAAAAAAGCTGTGAGAACAGCTTGACGGAGCCTTTTGCTCCCTTCTAGTGGCATACGCAAAAGTCAAAACAAAGCAACAGTGAAAAACACTGAGAAAACCAACAACGAAGTAAAATACAAAAAGCAAACAGGTCTCGTAAATCGATTCATTTGTTTTTGCCCTACATTAGTTCAGTTCGTAATTCCTGAATTGCAATAGAAATAATATCAATCTTATTTTTTATTAGGGTGTTCAATATAGTAGGAAGTGTGTATTTGAGTGATTGTATTGAATAGTTATGACGCAGTGGCACAGTCCAATGTTCCGCCGACCGAGTTGGGTAGGAAGTTGCGTGTTCTTTTAGCTCCGCAAGGTCTACTAAACTATCCCCATTTATTTTATTTTCTAACTTAAAACTGATAGCGAGCCTGTGCTTGTACATGTTGTAAACAGGAAGTATACCATTTTTTATGAACAGACCTTGGGTGCTAGAGTCGTAAGAAACATTCTCAATGAGACGCACATATTTTTTTTGCAATAGGTATTTTTTGGAGATTTGTGCGGGTGATTGTGCCCCAAAGTAGATAACGCCTCGTCCTGTTTACTCTCGTCTTTGTCCTGTCGTTTTTTGGCGCTGTAAATACTGATCATGAACCAACTAGCCCAAATTTCTACTTTGCTAGATAACTATAATTCAGGTGAGAAAGGAAGAAAGTCTGGTTTAAAAGAAACTTAACATTTCTCGGTAGAGTAAAACGGTTACGAAAAACTAGTCCAACGACCTTTGACAATCTAGTGCGTAAATCATTTACATAATTTTCCCAAGATAAGTACTGATTGAAAATTACTAGAGGTGTGCGAATATCAAAATCTTTCGAAGCGAATCGAATCGAATAATAAAGGTTACGAATCGAATCGAATATTTTTGAATACGAATAGTAGTTTCAAATAAGGAGATATTTGAAAACGAATATTTTCTATTTGATGTGAATTAAACAAGAATGCTTAATAAAAAACAACTGGAATTTTTTTTCAACAAACGTTTATGAAAAGGTTACTTTTATTGCAATAAGAAAAATGTCACACATGTGACTGTTAAAAGAAACAGATGAAAAAAAGATCAGTCAGTAAAACACCATTCCTTGAGTGAGGTTAGAGAACGTAAATGAAAGTGCAAAAGTGAAGGCGGGTCGGCAAGCCACAACGCAGTCGGAGATCGCATCGCGGACGAAAGGAGGCACTTGAGCGTAAATGCAAGTACACAAGCGGTGGCTGGTCCGCAAGCCGCAATACAAAGTCGATGATTGCGTCTCCTACTTTGTGCGATCTCTTTTTACGCTCGTGAACGCAACCACATGAACGTAAACGGAAGTACACAAGCGGAGGCGGGTCGACAGGCCACAGCAGAGTTTCAGATTGCACGATCGCACTGCGCAACCGCACTGACTATCCACCATCTCTTTTCGTGTGCTATAGTTCTGTCCATAGAGAGCGCCACAAAGATGCAATAAATTAAGAATATGTTGGTTTTTTTGGCGGGGGAAGTCTCACTTTTACCAGTGAAAACGGGTAGAAATAAATAACAAAAGGAATACTGGCAAACTGATGAACCGGAAATTCAAGCGGAAAATAACACAAGCCAGATATCACCGATAGCCGAGGTGAGCCATAAATCTATATCCGAATCCATAGCACCTTGGCTACTGTAGTCACTGTAGGTACGAAATCACGAATATATGGTTCTGCTACATTAAAAATGAATGTGGACAGGAACGTATACAAGACGTCTCGGGCGGACGCCCGAAACGTCGTGCGGTCCGTCGCAACGATGCATGTGCTGTTGCAAATCGTAGTCCTTCATCCTATCTATCGCAGCGTTTGCGCCACGACCACTTAGCCAACTCTGCAATCCGGACATCACGGCAAGGAAAGGACAGATCGCGCTACTGCGTGCAAATAACTTTCCAATCCTTCCTACAAAAATGGAAGTCGTTTACAATTCCCTGTAACGCCGGTTAGAGCGCAGCTCTTGAGGAGGAAGATGGAAACGTACTGAGGGATAGGTGACTCCTTGAGGTCACGTGACCTAAGGGGGCTCGCGTGACGTCAGGGGGGTCACGTGACCTCGGGGGTCACGTGACTTCAGGGGGGTCACGTGAACTCGGGGGTCACGTGACCTCAGGGGGTCACATGGCCTCAGTGAGGTCACGTGGCCTCATTGGGGTCACGTGGCCTGAGGGGGTCACGTGGCCTCAGGGGGTTACGTGATCTGAGGCGGGTCAAGTGACCTGAGGGGGGACACGTGACCTGAGGGGGGTCACGTGACCCGAGGGGGGTCACTTGACCTGAGGGGGGTCACTTGACCTGAGGGGGGTCACATGACCTGTGGGGGTGACGTGACCTCGGGGGGTCACGTGTCCTCAGTGGGGTCACGTGGGCTGAGGGGGTCACGTGGCCTGAGGGGGTCACGTGGCCTGAGGGGGTCACGTGGCCTCAGGGGGTTACGTGATCTGAGGCGGGTCAAGTGACCTGAGGCGGGTCAAGTGACCTGAGGGGGGACACGTGACCTGAGGGGGACACGTGACCTGAGGGGGTCACGTGACCTCGCGGTTACGCCGACGCCGACGCCGCTCAAGCCGGAAACGGGCCCCTAAGAGCTGCGCTCTAAAAAAAAAAGACTCTTAGGTTGGTTGTGTAGGTTTGCCAAGCTTGAAACCATACTGCGCAGTCCAAAAACAAAACAGAGAACTCGACCGCAAGTTGACACTAATCAATGAGTTCCGCGTTATTCGTAGTTTTCGAAGAACTCGAATAGTTCGAACAGCGAAAGGGCGAAGCGAATCGAATCGAATAGCAAGCATTATTCGCGAAGTATTCGAAGTTTCGAATATTTGCACACCTCTAAAAATTACACCTAAACTCTTAAAATTATCTACAATATCTATATACTTCGCATTTGGGACAAGGGGACGAGAACATTGTACGCTCTACGTTCTTGGGGTCACGGACCGAGACATTATAATGGAATGTTATGACAAGTGCGCCGGTCGTAACCCGGCATGTTCATTAAAGCATGTTTGCACACTTCTGTTTGGTTTCGACCGAGTGCATTACAAAGTTACGAGAGGATACGCTGGCACCATCTGTTGGGTGTCCGTGGAACACTTGCAAATTCGGAAAAAGCATTTAGTACTTCTTTTTTCTTTTCTGCTCATCATTTTTTTACTATGTGCTCGAAAACATTTTGACAATGTTATAAACAACCATTTCTCATAGACAGTATGCATATTTTGTCCCGCAATTACTGGAAAACCTCTGCTCTAGTGACGTGCAGTTCCAGGGCCACCTCATAGACTGCGCCAGCATGCCAGCGTGTTCTCTCACCGTAAGAGAGCACGAGGCTATGCGGCGTACTCGGTGGCAATGGAACGCTTTTAAGGGTAAGCCGTGCTTATTTACACGCGACTCACTGGCCCCGTGTGCACCGTGTGTTGCAGGTGTCGCAGGCTCTGCAGATCTGCCGGCAAGAACCGCGCCTCTTTGGCCGGCACATGCCCCAGTTGCACACACTCCTGGTGAGTGACACCGACCTCGTTGCATCCATGAACCACGGTGAACAAATGGCGCGGAAAGTGGGCCACTGTGGAGTCGCCGTAATATGCCCTTTTCAAAAGTTTATCGAGCAACACCAGCCATATATATGCGGAATTGCATTCCTACTGAAGCTAACTCTCGAGGCTAACCTTGAAAAGTAAAGCATGCCACAGTAGAAGAGAGTTGGCCAACTGCCAAACACTTGCACTGCGAGCTCCACTGCTCACACAGTACAATTGCAGAAAAAAAATAAACAACAAAAGAAAAAACGAAACGGCAGAAGAGATGGCTAGGAGGGGTATGAGCTGAGCTAGTTGGTTGTACATGTTTGGCTTCTACCTGTCCTCAACAGTTGTGACCTATGAAGATTGGCACTATGTCCAGAAAAGTGGAGTGTGTATTGGTTCCCAAGTTGCCTCATATCTATGCGACGTTTATCTCGCCGCATGAGGTGTAGCCATTGAACGAGCCGTAAATGACCCACGAGTAGCAGTTATTTTCGGGTATGTGGATGACTTTCTTATTCTGTATACAGCGGAAGTTGATGAAACAGCAGACAGATGCTTTAACACCACCCTCATACACTTCCGAACAAGCTCCATGGGGCTCACATTCACCTATGAGCTTACTGTTAATATGTCTATCAGGTTCCTTGATTTGGCTTTGAAGTTTCAAAAAGAACATCTGTGTTGGCGATATCAAGCACAATCTGGGAAAGGGTTCCTCCCCTATGAATGTGAACATTGTGTGCTGGCACCTGACGAGGCGTATGCAATGTGCTGGAAGGTCAATCAAGCGCAAGCCAAAAAAACAAGCACCTCTAACGCCAAGCACAAGACAAAGTAGGTAACATGCAAAAAAGAAGTGATTTACAACATACCACTGTCATGTGGCTATTAGAAAATTAATGTAATACCCAACATTTTTCTTCACTAGATATGCAACGGAATGCCTAGAGAGCATAGCTGTGAAAACAGAACTTCCAAAAAAGATTTATTTTATGCTAACATTGCACTGAAAAATCAAATTAATTTTTTGCCTTTTATGTTGTTGACAAAATCTTAACATATTTTATAAAAGACATCCACAAAGAAAAAAAGAACAATGCCACAGCTGCATTGTCCAATAAATTCCACTTAAAGGCCGACTTACGAAACCATTATCCGCAGGGTAGGAAAGTGCTCCCCAACGACCTTCGCTCCCTCCCCTCACGCACTCCTTTCTCCTCCTCCCCTGAAAAAAGCGGGTCCGGAAGCTAGTCTCCGTGGAAAGGAGAAGGGGTTTCCTCCTTTCTGGGTGGCAAAGAGGAAACCTCTTCTCCCGCGGAAAATAGTTTTGTAGGTCGGCCTTTAAGGAAAAAGATGAGTGAGCCTTCCCTTTTGTCCTGTTACCAAACGATAGTCTTCCTAAAGGGAGATTTATGCCAAAAAGCGGAACGGAGAAAAACGTGTTCAAAGTGCTCGACCGTCTACCTTTTCTTTAGCATCAGTGGACCGAAAATGATTTACATATAAAAAACCCAAACTATGTAAACAAATTAAACTTTCTGCGAATTCTCTCCAGATGGTAATGGATATAAATCTAACATTTTTCAATATCAACTTTTTTTTTGCAAAACTTTTTTTTGGGGTAGTGTTTTTCTTAACAAGAACAGTAGCAACACCAGTAGAAGAAGAATGAACAGTCGATAGTCCAGCAATCAGGTGTCTTTTCTCCTATCTCCAAAATTTCTGTAAGTCCAGCTGGTTCCTCTAAAATTGACTACATGAGGCTTCGAGAAGACTTTGCCAGCCGTGAAGGAGGACGTGGCGACATTGTCACAGCGTCGTGTGCCTGGAAGGCGTTTTTGCACTCATCATAAAATGTGAATCTGCATGTGACGGTTTGATTGAGAGATCGAAACACAGGTGGAAATTTTTTGAGCATAGATTCTTGCACGAAGCTTGTGGTTGGATCAGAGTTGATGTCGAGCGCTGATGCAGCACTCGTATTGAACAGATTGGCACCCAAATTTGTGCCGAACACTGACACAGCACTCACGTTCAACGTGTGCTCGAAATGTGTCGTCTTCGGAGCAGCTATTGGAGGGCGCATTTTCCGGAAAGGGTCTATTCGAGGCATTATTGCTCCGAAGGTCCGAGGACTCAAGCAGGTTAGCTCTTGGATCGATCCTCCGTAATCAGCAGCCGGTCGCCCGAGGCAATGCGGCATTTGGGTGGCGACTGTCACAAAAGGCGTGCTGCAAAAGGGTTTGTACGGCCCCAGGCGGCAGTGCAGACTCTGCTTGTCTTTATAGTTAATGCTTGTATTACGAAAAGCTAGCCAAGTAAAACGCAAGTCCTGACCCATTTTCTGTGTGTTCAGTGTGTTTTTATGGCCACAATAACTACTACGGGGACTTGCACTGCAGAACTTGGGATCCTGGGTTCAATCCTCACCCTTGCTCGTTCCAACCTGAGTGAGCATCGTACCGGAGTGCGGTCGTGTATCACTACTGCATTGTGTACGTTCTTGACCCCAGGCTAGCCGTTGTACTGCACTGTAAATTTCTTATCTACAGCCGAGTCACCAGACGCCCACTGAGGCTGACTCCTAAACATAAACACATCACAATTTTATGACCACTACAACAATATTCTGTAACGAAGGGAATGCATGGCCCCACAAGGTACAAAACAACCGTTTTTATGAATTTTCGAGACGAAAAAGAACCAATTTCACGAAACTTTCTAAACTGCTGCTGCGGCGATGGCACAGCCTTCGGCCATCCAAGTGGGTCTGGGTCTCTCAACAAGGACCCAAATTCCAAGAGCCGACTTCTGTTTTTGGAAGGTCCACGTCGGTGCAGAGGAGTAGCAAGAGACGACTCTGACGACGGGCATGCATGTGGCTTCTGTTTTCCAGGGCCTGTACGCCATGTCCATGAACTGTATGGAGGCAGCGGAAGCGCAGTTCAGCATGGTCCTGCGGGTGAGCTTTCCCCGGATCACTATGTGTTCTATTCTCTTGTCAGGAACAGGATGTTCCCGCAGATCGGTTCGGGAAGAGTTACGTCCTGGGCTGGATGTGGCGGGCAAGGCCGCAGTCCTTAGATAAAAAACAGCATGCCCCCTAAAAAAAATTTTTTTTTTTCACTGCAAAATTACAATTATTTGTCGGCGAATGCACACCCTCTGCCCGAATCTAGCGCTAACGGTCTGGACCAGATGCCAAAGTTTCAGAGCTGGCATTTACCTTGTTCAAAAGTTATAAGTGATTTTCTAAAACTTTGAGTGGGAAAATGCGGCCCGTTCACCGGTAGCCGATGCCATTCAGCTCCACGTATTCGTAAGCTTTGTCAGCCACTATTTTTCCATTGAAAATTTCTGAAAATTGCTTATACCTTTGGAATTAAATGATGGCAATCTGTGAAACAATAAAAAGTTCATTTTTGTAATGAAACAAAAAGGACACCTTGTTTTTATTGGTTCATAAACCTTGGCAGTTTCTGTCCAAGCAAATTTGTCACTCGGAGTAATGCTAACCAAGTTGAAAAAAAAATGTTGATGCTTTACAAATAATTTATAAAAGATCTTTAAAATTTTTTTGTGGCTAACGGAGCCTTCATGTGGCATTTCAATTTTTCCAAAATAATATGACCGCTAGGTCTCGAGTAGTGTAAACTTTCATTAGTTCGACCCCGGTTAATTCGACTTTTCGTTTAATTTGGTCGTGTTCAAAAGTCCCGGCGAGCGCCCATACATTTCTATGGGAGGAAAAGTTTGATAGTTCGAACTCAAGAAGGCTCCGCATGCATCGGATAATTCGTCCCGAGCGAATGCATGTGGGCTCATATTGCACGGCACCACGGCAGAAAAAGCACCAACGTACGGCAAAACGGCGAGACACGGGACCTTTGCTGCAAAGCCGAACGTGTGCAAATACGCGCCTGCTCCTCTACACCGTTGAGATGGACCGTAGCGAATGACACGAGCCAGCGCAACCAATCTGGCGTGGAGCAGCGCGGAGAACATAGCACGTGGTCGGGCGCATACGAGCCAGCCCGCTCTCACAAAGCGTTTTTTCTGTAGCATCGTGTGCACTCCATCTTGCGCACCGAAAAACGAAGTTCTCTTTTTTTTTTTTCGCTTTTTTTTTTTTTTGTTGACGGTTTGGCCACTTGGCGCCAGAGTCGGCTCAAACTTTTTCAGCGCGCGCTCTCAAAGCGCTTCTCTGTAGCGTCATGTGCGGTCCATCTTGGCGTCGGAAAACGCAAAATCTCTTTTCCTTTCTTTTTTTTTTTTGTTTTGTCGCCGAGCTGATTTTGGCTCGGCGCCAAAGTCGGCTCGTAAAACTTACTTTTCTCGTTTTATTTCTTTTTTTGTAGTGCGCGATTTTCCGGGGAAGTGACGGCTGCTCTTTGAAACATGCTTTTGGACACGCGTTTTAAGCGCAGACGGCAGCAGACCATCCGTGAGTACTTTGGACAATAAAAGGGAGTTTAATTTTAACCGTTTTTCTGTCCTTTTTTTTTTATTCAATCATTCGGATAATTCGACCAAACTTCAAGGTCCCGTCGAGGTCGAATTAACGAAAGTTTACTGTATAGATGTCATTTCAAATCGTCTGTTTTCTAAATGGGTCCTTGAGTTTGTGGAAGGAGTGCTAGATGTATTCAGCGACTTTCTCCACGGTGGCTCAAGTGCTTGTCAACTTCATTTTTATACAAGGTGCGACGCCGGTGTTTCTGTGCGAGGTAAAGCTAGAAAAATACCAGATACAGAACTTGTGAGGGATGTTTTTCGGCTTCTTTGTGAATATCAAAGTGTTGTCAACAGTATGGTCCCATCAGACTACCGTGTCTATGCCCCATCGTTCCGAAGAAGTAAAAAAATGTTTGTGGGACCTTTCCCTCTAGAGTATTGTATCGACTCTTGCGCCGACAGCCATCTGGGCGAGGAGGGCGTCTCCCTTCGGAGTATCTGCCAACCCGGACAACTCGGAGTTGGTGGGGAATTTCGGGCATCACGAAAAGTCAGGGAGCTGTTGGGGAAATTTAAAAAGTTTGCTAGGTGAGAGGAAGAAACCACTGAGAGCGGCTCGAGAAAGAGAGACAAGCGGAGGATGATCCCGATAGGGTCACTTTTTGGGACGGTAGCAACACGGCTCTGAACAGCGTTCAGCCCCCACTCCTCGTCATTTCAGTGTGGTGTTTTAAATTACGAAGCGGCTTTCCAGACTTCCACAACACCTGGTGTATAGCTTGCTGAACTAAATTTCCGCTTTAAAAAAAAAGTTTTTCCTTAAATGGTAGATGTCTAAAAATGTCATCTAAGAGTAAGGACGATGACGACGAAGGGAGGGGGCTCTCGGGCTCGACATGGGCTCCCGCAATTCGCGGCATTTATTGCGGATTTATTCAAAGTTTCTTCAAATTTATGGTACCAGCAAACTCTGCTAGAGAAGCAGAATCGAGGGACGCCCCATTTATTCCTTTGAGTAGGCTTTCAAAGCCAAATTTCTCCTCTTGAAGTTGCACCACTGGGAAGAAAAGCTAGGCCTCGCGAAACGAACAGGCGTCAACACCTGTGCGGCCGAGAGCAGCTGACGTTGAACCTAACCTTAGGCCTGACCGGGAAAACACCCGTTAGGCGCAGTGTGTATAAACAAGTTTGACGCAAATGGCAGCGGAAAAGATATCTGATGAAATCGACATGCGAGATGAACAAGACAAAGATGGGGAGGAAGTGACTGCGGATTTTGATGAGGACAGCGGCAGGACCCTGGACCAAAACGTTCTGTGGGTTACAATCCTCAACGATCGCAAGTAGGTTGAAAAAGAGAAGCAGAGAGCCGACGTGGCGGGATCAATGTGCAAGCTGCCAACAATCAAGGGAAGAGGCTGGAGTTTCCTAGAAATGGAGAAGGCTTCCCCCACTCCCGGAGGACGAGTACAAGGTTGTCTTCAGGCCGAGGACGGGGACGAAGGTGGCATCATGGACAGATCGAGCCATATTGCAAGGCCTGGCGATGGCAAGCGAAATACCAACCAAGGAGTTCTACGCACAGGTGACAATCCAGACGCAGTGGGCACAAAATCTAATCGTGGCAAGCACGGCGAGCGAAGACTTCGCATTGAAACTCCGTGAGGTTACAAAGTTTCAGCTGGGGACTGTGACCTACGACCTTCTACCATATGTCAAACCAATACCCGGAACAGTGAGAGAGGTACACGGGATCGAGGCAGAGACATCGGAATGGCAGCTGATGGAGTTACTGTCTGCGAAAGGACACAATATAATGCACGCCAGAATGCTAGGAAAGTCCAACTCGGTGCTGCTAACCTTTCAGGGGCCCCACGTGGCCTTCTATGTGAAGGTGGGCAGTGCATACACACAATGCAGACCGCACAGGAGGTCTGTGCAGTACTGCAGGGCCTGTGGCGAAGTGGGCCACCGACAGGACGTCTGCCCGCACCCGGACACAGACCAGTGTTTAAGATGCGGGGAAAAGGTGACCCCGGAGGGTCGCGAATGTCAACCCAGGTGCAAGATATGTGACCAGCCACATGAGACGGCGAGCAAGAAGTGTAAAAGAAGGCCCAAGCCGGGACCCCCACCTCTACATGTGAGGGAGAAGATTGCCAGCGGAATCCAACAAGTGACGTGGAACGCCGACACCAGGCGAAAGGCGCAGCATACACAGCAGGGGACATCAATGTTAAAGAGTTATCGAGGAAGCCAGCCTCAATGGGTTGACCACACGGCTCGAAGAAAAGACGATTTCCCACAGCTGGAGAGCAGGCGATGGAACAAATGCGATAAGAACTGTGAGAAAGTGATTGAGGAACTCAAAAGACATAATGGGGAATTACTTCGGCGGTTGGAGGGGAACGAGAGAAGAGCTCAGGCGAGAGAGCAGGAGTTAGAGAGGAAGCTGCAGCAACTGATAGATCAGATGCCCGGACAGTCGGTCCAAAGCCAACCAATGCAGCAGAAACAGCAGGATGTGAAAGGTTTGAACACGCCAGAGGGCACGCAAACCGTGATGGAAATGGTGGAGGGAAAGATAGGAGCAACCTTGAATGCCATGGTAGAGAACGGAAACAGGATCACTAGTTCGTTGAAGGACGCATTTGAGGCTAGAATGGAGGAGATAACGAATAATCTCGAGACTCGGATGGAAAAGCTGAGCAGTGCGCTAGACCAACACGTATCGGCGGTGGAAGGAAGGGTACAGAACAGGAACTGGGCTGAGATGAGAACCGATAGAGATGAGGGAACAAGTAACCGAAATGGAAATTAGGCACCGAGAGAAGACAGAAGCACTTGAGACATTAAAGATTTGGCATTGGAATTGTTGATCAATCTATAGGAGGAGACAGGGACTAACACAACTTACTCTTGATCAACAGCTGGATGTGATAGCGCTAAAGGAAATGCAGACGGATCAGCTTAAAATAAGGGGATACGAAGCACATATAGCTGAGGTTAGAACTAGAAAGGGGATACTGGTCAAGAAAAAATTCACATCACACCAGCACCAAATTAGTCACTGGATAGAGCATGTGCTGATAGAAATCGTGCCAAAAAAGAAAACGCAAGGTAGTTTATTTATTCTGAATATACCGTATTTTCACTATTCTAAGCACCCCCCCCCCCCCCCCCACACACTTTCAAACATAAACACCTGAAAAAAAGTTTGCATGCGAATGTAAGCACCCCCCTCCTAACAAGAAATTTGAGATCGGAGACGCCAGTATCGCCGAGCGCCGGAGTCGCGAACGGCCGCTGGTTTTTGGTTTCAGCGTCAGTTAATAGATGGCAGCACATACCGCCATTTTCCACTTTCGCATCCGTGAAAGTTGCGAAAGAGGGTGCGTTGCTGTACCCTCTGTCGAAGATGTTTTGTCTGTTTGGTCTCCTTGCGCTTGTTGCAGTCGGTTGTTTAGTCTGTTAAGCCTATTCGTCCGCGTTGGCCTCGCAATTGTTTTCCGTTCACTGTGTGCACATGGTTTGCGGAAGTCTTCCATCATGAGTGCAAAGAGAACTTCATACACAATGAAGTTCAAGAGAATATTTATTTCTTACGCGGGACAACGGGAATCACGGCGCTGCTGAACAGTTCGGAGTGCGGCGTTCCATGCAAGCCGAGACTGGGTGGAGTGGATAATGAAGAGGAACGGTTTCTCTTTGAAACGCCGCACCACTATCTGCCAAAAACTGCCGGTGGACTTCGAAAACAAGCTTGTCAACTTCCAACGTTATATAATGAAGCTGTGTCGCGAATCTTGCTACGGACTCGTGCAGATCGGCAATGCCGATGAGACCCCTGTGTACATCGACATGCCCAGGACGTGCACCGTGAACGAAATAGGCACCCAAGAAGTAAAAGTGCCTATGACTGGCTATGAGAAGCAAAGCGTGACTGAAATGCTGTGCACCACAGCCGACGGTCGGAAACTTGCGCCCTACATCATCCTCAAAAGACTAGTCGCGAGAGCAAACTGATGGCAAGCGGGCTACTTTCCATTCTTTACTTTATTTGTTTCCTTTAGAACATTTATTCTTTCATTTCGATTATAATAAATTCATATTTCTTGTGTAAATTTCGTATTTTCGGGGCATGTTCTGAATCTAAGCACCCCCCTCTTTGAACGTTGCGGGTGTGAAGAAAAGGGGGTGCTTAGAATCGAGTAAATACAATATATAGCCCGCCGAGAGAGACCCCAGGGGACCTGGACAGGCTGCTAAGGGAGGTTAGATAGGTAGCGAAAGGACAGAAACTCTTGATCGTTGGGGATTTCAATGCCCCACATGTGGTGTGGGGCTACCATACAAACAGCAAGAAGGGAAACAATATCCGCAATGCAGCACAGCAACATCAATTGACACTGTTGAACAATCCTCAGATCCCTACAAGGATTGGAAATAGCGTCTCGAGGGACACCAGCCTGGACAGGTCGAGTGGTCGAGGCTGGAAGAGATGCTGGGCAGTGACCATCACATTGTCCAGACACAAATCCAACATCACAGGGTGCCAGCGAGGCTCGGGCAGGCAAAGATCACGGATTGGCCGACCTTCCGAAAGGAGGAGGTTGCTGGGGAGCTGGCAAACATCGAGGAGTGGACGCAGAAAGTGACTGCAGCTGTGACCAAGCACACAAAGACAATCCAGCTCACGACAGGTAACCCAGAGGTGGATCCTCGCCTGCTTCACATGTGGGAGGCGAGGCAAGGTCTACTGAGAAGATGGAAGCGGCAGAAAAGAAATAGAAACCTCAAGGCCAAGATCACCCAGATCACAAGGCAGGCAGAGGAATATGCCGAAAGGCTGGGGAGGCAAAACAGGAACCAAGTGTGCGATCAGCTGCTAGGGACTGAGCAATTAGCGAACCTGGGCAATCCTCAGGGCCCTAATGAAGAGGGCAGAGCCCAAGGCAACCTCGCGACAGCAGATCCAGAAGAATGAGATACTGGAGGAGGTGAAAACAAAGGTTTTCGGAGAGCGCCCCTTACAAGGCACGACCACCTACCCAGATTACGAGGGAGAAGACAACCCAGAGCTGGGAACAGCCCTTCACCAGAGATGAGATGGAGGCTGCTCTGGGAGGGCTGACGAGAAACACGGCACCAGGGCAGGATTGAATCAACAACAAGACTCTCCGAAACCTGGATGGCAAGATGGTCGACTGCCTACCAAAACATGTCAACGAAAGCTGAGAGACTGGGAGGATTCCATCCGTTTGGAAACATGCAGATGTGATGATGATACTGAAGCCTGTCAAGACGATAGCCATCCAGAATCTGAGACTGATATCTCTAACATCCTGCATGGGGAAATTGGTCGAACACATGGTACATAACAGACTGGTGCCCCATCTGGTAGAGGGAGGACACTTCCCAAGTACCATGTGTGGCTTCAGACCACATATCTCAACGCAGGATGTTCTCCTGCAGTTGAAGGAGAAAGTCATCGACAACCTGAGCTCTAGAAGCAAAATCATCATCCTAGCCCTGGATGTAAAGGCACCTTTGATAATGTTTCTCACGAGGCAGTGCTGAGGAGCCTACAAGGGGCTGGTTGTGGGAAGAAGGTCTACACTTATGTACAAGACTTCCTTGCAGACCGGATGGCGACGTTGGGACTGGTGAGATCTCGCAGAGAGGGACTCCTCAGCAGGGGTCAGTGATCTCATCACTCCTCTTTTACCTGGCGATGAGGGGCCTACCGGAGAAGCTGAAGGGCATTGAAGGAATCAACCATGCCGTCTATGCTGATGACCTGACAGTGTGGACGACGACCGGTGCAGCAGGAACCAAGCAGAACGCCTTGCAGGAGGCGGTGTACAGGATTGACGCACACCTGAGGGACTGCGGTCTGGCATGTGCCCCGGAGAAGTCAGAGCTGCTAATCATGAAGAAACGAATAAGAGGGAGACTGCCACGAGAGAAGCCGGACCCCTAGTTGACGGTGAACGGAGTTACTATCCCGAAGGTCAATATGATCTGAATCCTGGGGCTGAATTTCCAAGGAGATGGAGCAGGAACAACAACCGTGCAGAGGCTACAAAAGGCGGTCTCCCAAGTCACACACCTAGTGAGGAGAGTGGCCGACTGCAAGCAGGGATTCAAGGAGCAGGACTCCCTCAGACTGGTGCAAGCCTTGGTGGTCAGCAGGATCACATATGGAACTCAGTACCTGGGGCTTCGAAAAAGCGAAAGGGAGAAGATAAAAAAATTCATCAGAAAGACCTACAAGCGGGCATTGGCGCTACCTCCAACAACCTCAACCGACAGGGTCATGCAACTTGGAGTCTACAATGTGTGGGAAGAAATGGTAGAGGCCCACAAAACAAGCCAACTGGAAAGACTCAAACTCACGGCCGCAGGCAGAGCCACGCTGCAAAAACTGGATCCTGATTTATTTATTTATTTATTTATTTCAATACCCTCAGGGCCCATAGGGCATTACAGAGGGGGTGGGGCATATAGGAATTCGCTCAAAAGAAAATACAAACGTAAAAGGCAGTGATTAAAACACAATCAATTCGACAAAATATTAACAAAAGTGATTAGTAAGCGCTTCTTTAAATAAATCAAGTGATGGGATAGCTGCTAAAGATGCTTAAAGGTGGTTCCACTCAGAAGACGTTCTTGGTATGAAGGAGTAGTTGTATGCTGATGTCTCACAGTGAGGAATGCCGACCTTGAAACGATCAATGCGTGAAGAGATATATGCAGGGTTAAGGAATAACTTATCCTTTAGTGAAGCGTTGAAGTGATAAATTTTGTAGAAAAGGCATAGACGAGATATTTTTCTCTGTAAGGAAAGAAGAGGCAGGGACAATGAGGTTTTCATAGATGATACACTAGCGGTGCGATGGTAGTTAGAATAGATAAAACATACTCCACGATTTTGAACAGCTTCAACGGATTGAGGGAGAGACTTGAGGCAAACAAAGGATCCTGTTGGACCTGAGAAACAAGATAAGGGTGGCACTTTTCTCGAGGAATATGCATCCGCAGCACCACAGGGAGCAGAGGAGAGCCAGGGCGGAAGCTCTCAGGAAACGATACGAGGGAAAAGCGGATTCCATAAGATACACCGATGTAGCCAAGTATGTAGGGAAAGGAGCATATGCAGTCTGCACGGCTGATGGCAGTGAAAAGGAGGTGGCAGCAGCGACAGTCAGGGCCCAAGAGATAGAGGCAGCGGAAAAGACGACCATCGCTTCGGCGGTTACGACAAGCAGCAAACGCCCCACAATAATCACGGGCTCACAGGCTGCATGCAGAAATTTCCAGAGGGGGAGAGTGGCTGCAGCGGCTCAACAGAGTTTCCAGAAATTCAGGAAAATAAGGCGGCCCACGCCGTGCCTCGAGATTATACCCTCCGGGCCTTCCTGCCGATCGATAGAGCCCTGTCGAGCCCGGATGAAGGCGTCCCCAAAAGAAGTGCAGGTATATTAGAACATTATCGACTTGGAAGAAGGGTCTATCCACCACCCCACCCGAAGCTATCCAGGGAAGAGGCAGTCTCTTGGAGGCATCTGCAAACTAACACCGATCCACATGGTAAACCTTACCACTTAAGATACCCAGCCTGCTACGAATATGGCTGCAAGGCCTGCAAGGTGCCCAACAAACTCTACCATATGGTGTGAGGATGCCAGGGCAGCACGGCGATACAATGCATAGTTAGGCCCATGAGAAAGCAGTGGGAGAGCCGGCTAACTAGCGTGGACCCTGATCAACAGATTGAGTTGACCGACTGGGCCCAGCGGGCAGCCAAGGACCATGGTCTCCTGGACTGAGGAGACCACCCACCACGAGACGAAGACAGCGTCTGCTCTTGATAAATAAAAGTTTATTCTTTCTCTCCTTAGAGATGGTTAGAATTCGGTGCATTGTGTGCACAAAAGATTCTCGTACACGGCGATGCCTTGAAAGGCGCCTGCTTTATGAGTATGCAAAAAAGCTTGTATGGTGCAGAAATCATCATTAACATAACCTGTCTCTCACGAAATCTGCAACATCTCGTTGTTAAGAACAATCTAGAAAAGACTGCTCCTTGTACGCACCAACATGATGTTTACAAACAAGCCTGCATCTGCCGATACCAGGTGTGAGCACGGTGCATGCTTATCAACCTAATTCGGGAGGAGTAATGCTTGTACGCATGCGCACTGCCTACAGCGCCTCCACCGCCGTGACGTCAGAAAGTTGAGTTGGTGTATAGTATGCACCTGTGAAGTCTGTACGCATAAAACTTCAGCTCTTAAACATACATACTTTGCGGACTGTCGTCCGGAAAATATGATGCGTGAGCTGCAGTTTCCGGACTGTGATGGCTCGGACAATCTCAAAAGCGGCCCGTCCCGACGGTGTGCAGAGCACGGCCTCCATGGAGCTGCGCATCCTGGCGAGCTTGAATTTGGTGATCGTGTACCTGCGCTGCCACCGGGAGAAGGAGCTCCAAGAGCTGCTGGCACGCCTCAACCCAGAGACCCTGCCGTCTGCGTGAGTTGCAACCTTGCAGAAGTCAGTTCCGTGAAGCACATTACATGCTTCAGACTCAAAGCTAGCCCTTTCACAGTTGTTTTTATTTATTTTTCTTTCTTTTTAAACAGTGTTTTAGTGGGTTGTTTTGTTTTCATGAGGAACAGTTAAAAAGGAAGAGTCAGTGCACAGGTCTTTTTTTAAAATTATCTAAGAGGAACAGATGCACTGCTTGCAAGCTGTCCCGACTGGCAAGCGTCGAATGGGAATATTGTGCGCGAAAAGTCTCATTTCATTCATTTCATTCTGGCACGTCTGCTTCCGTAACATTCTGATGGTCTCAGACTTTGAACCTGAGGTACCTTTTGGAGCTTCTCCGTCAGACGACGAGCTCTAATCTAATGAATTCAATTCTGTGAGGTGTTAAAAGTGTGAATCGGAAGAGCCGACTCTTTGATTACCACTACCGCGAGAGCAGCCGACACGTGAAGCGATAATTTCGAGTATCTCGTACACGCCGTGTTTAATTTCTAAACCATAAATTGCCCCAGCTAGAGGAAACAGGGTGCGAATTGTGGGAAATCTGTGTAGACTCACTGGCAGACCGGCTCTCATGAGGTCCATGACCAGGCCGAACTGGCTGGGCCCGTCCGTCGACTGCAAGTTCAAAAACACAGAAGAAACATGTAAATGCATGCAGCAACCCAAGAAGAGCAGAGCCATTCCTGTTTATTGAACATTCACCAAATGCAAGGCCAGCTATGTCTATCGATAACACGCAAGCCAACTACGGCGGCGGTATGATCAACCCCCACCATGCGGTTCACAAAGTGCTAGGTCTGACCCATGGGTCAGCACTTGTCGCAGTCGTAGGTAGCTTCGGAAATGAAACCACCATACCTATGTGACCTTGAACTCGCCCAAGTCCTACGCGGACATCCAGGGGAAAGAGACGAGCCGCACCCTGTGGGGCGGTTTGCTGTTGAATCCGGCTCTCTTCCAGTGGCTAAAATAGCCGCAACGGGGATTTTGAGGTCACATGATCAGCTCAATGGGCAGGAAGTACCTAGCAGTTCCAGCCAATTCGGCTCAGCAAGTGTAAGCCTTCCCTGAGTTTTTCTTTAATTCTTGCTTAACTCGATCTTACATGGCACTCCTAAAATGCGCAAGCGCGTTTAATTTCAGTTACATTTCAAGCCTCTTCACCTTCTTTCTGCATGCCAAAGCGGACTTGAATAATTTAAGGAAGAACAGACTTGAAGCAGCCATTTGTTTGCTCGGCCTCCACTATTCTTTTTGCTGCGCCAAGGCTGGCACAGCCTCCACAGTGCTCTGATGTCATCAATGCTACTTGCGCGAGCAAGTCGCTTCATTTGGCGTCGTTTTTGTACGAAAGCGCCTGCGAATAAGATGCAAGACAAAACCACGTGCTCTCGCAGCAGTGCTAAGCTGCAGCACTATGGAAGCTATGCTTGCCTTGACGACATAGCAGGAAATGGTTGACACGGGGTATTTTTTTTATAGGTAAGAACCTTGTCCCCACGAAGCCGGTCATCTGACCAGAAAATTGCACTTGGAGGGATTTTAGCCACTATTTTTTATAACCAATTGGCAGGCGGTTTATTCCAGCTACCATCAAAGGGCGCCGAAGCACCATCTCTAGGCCAGAAGGGCAAACGGAGGTCTGGAGGCAACTTCACTTTCCCGAATCACTCCTTGAGCCAAAGCCAAGGAGATGGGCACCCCCTTGAAATTACAGGGCGCCATAGACTACAATGTTCATAGTTTCCCAAAGACCTAACAGATTGTGGCAGCTCCCGAGGTGCGTGCGGTCGTGCATTTGGAGGGAACTTCCAAATGCCTAGTCGCTGCTGTACGACATCGGCCGTAATAAAGTTAAATGCTTGTCGGGAACCTTCACCCTGTATGCTTTTATACACAGCGGCAATGTTTTCAGCTTGCTCGAGTTTTGTCGAGCTGTAATCGACTGCACCAGGCGGGGCAGTCAGGGACGCAGGGGAGCATCGGCTTGTAGTCGACCTTCACATGTACCTGTCCTTATTCAGGGTTGAGACTAGCGGGGTCGAAAAAGTTGGCCCGTCGTCGACCAAAGTGGTTCCGGTAAATGCCGCTGGGATGACTAAAAAAAAACAAAAAAAAAAAATACACAAAAAAAAAACAGAGTAGGTCTGGGTTTACGCTGCACAGTCACGTCCCCGATTCATACTCACTGAGCTGCGTCATTAGCAGAGCCACTTGCCCTCCTTCTGCGTTTCACAGACACAAAAACAATGCATGTAATGAGTCGTTTACGCGCAAAGTAACGGGGAAAATAGCAGATGCTCTTCGTCGGCAGGGCCGCTTTGCTGGATACTGGAATTGAAAAGGCATTTCATGAGTCTGCCCTATGGGACATCACTTCTCAAACTGGGCTCACTGGAAACATTCCGCAGGGCACTCACGGGCACCTGTCCTTCTCCCAGTTGGGCATAACTTTTATGTCGACCACTGCCTAGTAGCAGAGTGTTGCTCTGGGCTTGGTAGCAGTACGTAGTTTAATACGATAGGAATAACAGCGACAAAATGGACACTTGCGACAGGACAACAGCTGTTATGCAACTGAAATTTATTACTTGAAGAGAAAAAAAAAAAGAAAGAAAATGCATAACATGTCATCAGCTGATTACATATTGTGCACACAACAAAATGCCTTACACGTGGTCTTTGTCGTCAAGGGAAGATTACTAGACACTAGTGTTGTGCGAATATTCAAATTTTCAAATTGTAGTTTAGAATAATTATTATAGATTTGTGTTATGTCAAGTTCGAAAGATGAGACAAAGAAGCAATGCGCTCCACACTTGAAATTGAATATTACAAATATAATAAACAGTAGTCATAGATACTGGCAACCGTTATGATACTGTGACTAAAAAATAATGGTTTACCATGTGCATTGTAGAGAACATTTGAAACAAAAGCTTGTTTGTGGCAAGGGCAGTGGCCTGAAAACGGAAGCGAAGCGCACGCACGAGAAGTGATTGGCCCGGCATGAGCCAGACTCGTGCATTAGGCCTGCCCCAGCTCGTGAACGAGCTGGGGCAGGCCTAATGCAGACCACAAACGGGGGACGAACAAACACGACCCGCTCTGTACCTGTGCCCCCTCTCGGGTCTGATGCGTCGTAGCTTTGTTTGTCACGGAATTCTCGATCGAACACGGTGACGTTGCGGATTTGCTGTGGTCACGCTCGAAAGCTGTATTTCCTTCGCACCGTGCAGGTCTCACAGTCTACGAGCGGCTGCCTACTACGTGCACGGGTTCAACGCCTTCTTCCAGGCACGCTACAACGACGCAAAGTGAGTCCCGCTCCAATGTCTCTCGCAGAGTGGAACCTCAGTGTGCAGCGCTCGGGGTCGCCGCTCTTCTTTTGGAGTGTGCCGGGACAGGGGCCTCCGTTACAGCATATATGCCACTACGAATATTTTTTTTATTGTTTTATACTGCTGGTTTTGATTTAGAGACATTGTAGGAATGGTAAGGAAATGACAATACATGAATACCTGGTCAAAATGGCAAGCAATCTAAACTGTAATTGAATAATGTGTCACAATCGTAAAGCAGAAACGCGCTTGGGGAAATGGAGGATGTATCTTATTCCGTGAAAATCAAATGGCCTTGGCGAACACAGTCGTTTCGCATTAATTCGACGTCGGTTAATTCTACTTGTCGTTTAATTCAGCGCTCTTCAGAAGTCCTGGCAAAAGCCCATAGATTTCCATAAAAAAGAAAAACATTATTTCGATCTTGAAATATAAAATATTGATTAATTCGACCTAGAGAGAACCGGCAGTGGGCAAACTGCAAGCATGTTTGGCCATACGTGACGCACACAAACGGGCCTTTTTTTTTTCGAACTACGCGGTGGGCAAGTTACAAGCACGATCGGCCGCACCTGTTGGCAAAAAAAGAAAAAAAACAGTTTTCAAGTTTTGAAGCACTCGCCGAATGGCGAAGAGAGAGAAAAAGAGAGCACAAGTTGAGACACGGGACACGGCCGGGTGTGGACAGAAAACAAACATTGCAACTCTACTGCAGAGCAGTGGTGTTGCAATGGCACCGGCACCGGTTGCCGGTCACCGCTGCCACCACCGCACGGAAAGCGCCAAGGACATACACGGGCCACTGCCTTTGCCATGTGGCGGTGTGCGGCGACTAATTATAAAAATATTAGCCCTCTTGATCTGAAGCGCTGGATATTCCGCATTTTGCGCGCATCTCTTAACTCGACTTTTAGATAATTCGACCCGATTTCGCATATCCCTTTAAGGTCAAATTAACGGAAGTTGACCGTACCGGTTTTTTGTAGATTGCACGGCTGGATGCTCACAGCCTTGGGGTTTTCCCCCTTCAAATTGGGCGGGGTGGCCGTCAGCATATCGTCGTGGAAACCCCTCCAGACGGGTGGTTCTCATTTGAACCCTTTCGCATTTTTACCTTCTCGTTTTCACCTTCTCATTTCAACCCAGTGCCAAAACAACTTCCGCTCTTCTCCCTTTCTCACTTTAGCCGTTCTCAAAACAAACTTTTGGGTTTTGACCATTCTCAGAACTACTTTTCTCATTTTAACCTTCCTCCTTTCAAACGTTTTCAAAACATACCTTCTGGTATTGACCATTCTCAAAACAACTTTTCTAATTTTAACCGTGTGCATGATAAGGCTTGGGAAAATCAATAATTTCAGCATACGCTCACGGGAAACCGAAATAAAGGAGCCAATAACATTATGAAGTTCAGGCACCTGAAGCTTTATTGCCCCTTGAAACGCATCTTGGAAAATGACATCTAGAGGTCATGCTAATCCACGGCATGACGGACGACACATAGGCAAATATACAATGATCGTGGATCTGTAGGACCTCTCCGACACCGGTTGTAAATGATTTGATATCCTCACAGAGCATGCCAGATGAGCATAATTTGCATCCGATGATTCACGACTAAAATGAAGAAAAAAAGCTGTACCTGGTGAGAAAGCCCTACGTCACGCAACATCTGCACCTGCACATTTCGAAAAAACGCCGCAGCTCTTAACGCCTGTATGCATCCCAACGCGTTATGGCGTGCACACCCCCCAGCATTAGAGCATTGCATAGCCCCCAGCGTAGACGTGCTCATCTCAAAAAGTATGCGTATAATACTCGCATTCTCGACGTGACCACCGAACCCGAATTAATCCAACATCATGATCTCGGAATCTTTCTGCGGTACTTAGAAGCGATAACGCCCGGCGAGCACAATGATCCATCCGCTCCACAAGACGACAAATTAACGACATCGACAGCACCAGAGGATAAATTAAGTACCGAAACAGCGCTAGCACCTTTCAAACTATGTCACCATGTGCCCAGTTAGCTACGTCAACGAACTCGGGATGGCACGCAGGCATAAGGAAAATTGTTTCATGGGCTATGCACAATATGGCGCCACTTTGCAGCATCTATGTACCGCCTTCACTTCATCTTCAACCTTCATCCTCAATTGTTCCTCCTTTCTGTACCTCACTGCCCTTTGTTTTTAGCACGTGTTCAAATACGGTGTTCAAATGAGAACGGGTTCGAATGAGGGCGTTTTGCGAATGGGTTCAAACGAGAAGGGTTCAGATCAGAAGGGGTTCAGATGAGACGGGTATAAATGAGAAAGGGTTAAAACGTGAGAAGTTAAATCGCGAAGGGCGTTTTGCGTATGGGTTCAAACGAGAAGGGTTCACATTGGAATGTGTTGTTTCGAGATACGCCCGTCCAGACTACAGAGACAGTCGTCTCTGCCATCTTAGTGAATCTGGTATCTCGGTGCGTCGGCTGCAGCCCTTTCCTTTGGCACAGTGCAAAAGTGGTACAGTGTGGGCAACGCGACTCACATGGATTCTCTCGAACGTAGGGTTTCCCTGCCGTTTTGGGTCAATACAATTGTGGTAGGCCCGCTGTCTGATGCAAATGAACAGAGTAGGCTTCAGGCGGAGCATCACATTACTGCTTAAAGGCTCGGACTCGTTCCTCGTGTTTCTTCCTACCAGGCCCGACAATTTTATGCGGTAGGCACTTCTGCACTCGGAAACATCGGTGGCCCACTGCCCTCCCTTTCTTCCCCTTGGATTCTCTGTGCAAGTTTCGGTTTCGGGCGTCCCGGCCAGTTTTTATGTGTCATGGGTAGTGAAGGGATTTCAGTTGGAAAAGCTTTGGAACAAAACAAAGCGCCGGGGAATAGGTGGCTGAGCGTATTGATGTGCCGTAGCTTGGAGTGCGTGGAGTGAAAGCTTGCACTGCAGGACCCCAGGGGTCCCCATGCTCAATCCCCACCCTTGCGTGTTTTGATCCGAATAAGCGTCGCACTGGCGTAGGGTCATGTATCACTGTGGTGTATGTTTGTGCCAGAATGATACTCCGCGACATGTGTCGCGGAGTATTACTACTTTGCGACGCATGTTAAGGACACCAGGCTAGCGCTCATAGCGCACTGGCTAAGTTTCTCATCTACAGCAAGGAACTGAGATGCCCATCGGTGTTGACTTCCTGATGTTTAAGCACGCACCCAACACGATTTTAATGACGCGTTTTCACTCAGCTAAAAGCAAATAACGTTTAGGAGAACACAAGAATGGAAAGTTGGGCTAGTTGGTAAGCATCCATGGTGAAAAACAGCGTGAAACACAAAGACACAGAGAAGAGAAATACATACAGGACAAGGTGCTGATTATCAACTTTCTTGTTTTGAAAACACGCGGGTATGGGGTCTTCTTTTTCTATCACTGTGGTGTTTGGTTTTTTTTTTCTTTTACTGTGGGGTCGCTTGTTTTCCGTTTTCTTCGAAGTAGAAATTATCTGAAGTCCAAAAAGGCAATCTCACTGTCCCTGAGGTTCACTGATGGTTGGCCCACCCATATTGTTTTCTTCTTTTCTACATGGTAGGCCTCAATAATCTCCCTAGATAACGGAGTTTTGTGTTTGTACAGTATATTTGTGTGACTGAACCCTGGTTCACATCCGCAGTCCCAGCAATGTATTGCTAAATGGGAGTATGCTCCACCTTTTAATTGAACTGTGATGTTCGCGAAGTCTGATGTTTAAGCATCTCCCCGTTTGACCGATGTATGAGTGTCCGCAGGAAAATGGGATTTCATAGACTGTCCCTCTTTTACAAGGAACGAACTTCATGCCATGCTTAATCTGGCATTCGTCGTTATCTGTTTGATTGTTTATATTTGCACATTTTTTTACCGCGGTTACAATCCTGCTCAGTTTGTTGCGGGCTGAGAATAGGACATTGACCCCATACTGACTTGCGATCATTTCTCCTTCGAAGAAAACAAAAAAGGATCAGCCCCACAGTAAAAGAAAAGAAGCTTTCGAACAGTGAAAGAAAAAGAGGACCCCATACCTGCATGTTTTCAAAATAAGAAAGTTGATGGTCAGCGCCTTGTTTTGTATGTGTTTCTCTTCTCTGTGTCCTTGTGTTTCGTGCTGTTTTTCACCATGAACGTTTAGGAGAACAATTGTGCAGCTTTCCAAATATGTGAAAATGAGTGCGTGCCAGTGTGCTGGCGAAAGTTACGGCGCCGGCAACGCGTCTCTGACCGGTGTGTTTGGCGTCCTATCTCGCCCATACATTCCAAAGTGGTTCCCAAGTGGCAACAAATGACGTCAGAGAAGGCGGCGTGCCGTGTTGTCGGATGTCGCGATCCTGGTAATTAGTGCTAGAAGGCCCGGCAAAAAGCCAGAGCAAACGCGAGTGTGGCTGTCGTGGCTGCGTCCCAACCCCTAGTTACTAAAGCCCCCGTGGACTCAGAAGCTGAAGAGCGACCTGCAGCAGAACAGGCGTCTGCCACATCTCACTCTGCCAGGGTAGCGGCTGGCGACAACGTGGTACTTGTACGATATCGGCGGCTGAAAATAGAGGGGCCAGTTTTCAGGACACGGTAAACGCACCGGTTGGGGACGCGTTCCAGGCACTGTGGCGCAAACACGGAAGCTTCAGGGACCCCTGTTTCAGGCGTTACCTGCGTGAGACACTGAAGATGGCCAATGCAGAGGACCTGAACCGCCTGACGTCCTGCTCCCTGGTGCTCCTGGGACACATCTTCTTCTCCCTCGGCAACAGCAGGGTGGGTGCCCACCCGATGGGTTACCGCAAGGACAGAGGACGTGCTACCTTTGGCCTGCTCCTCCATTAAATACCCTAAAACTTTTTGTGTTAAATGCTTGGGTAGCGCAGCTATGTCGTAAAATTAACTTCCCCCAAAAGAAAAAAGATTTAGTTTGAGAACTACCAAACTAGCTTAATGTTATCCCCCCTTTCCACATATGTCTGCTTGCCCGCTCTGCTTGCAGCCCTGATTGTCGCACTCGTCGGCGCCCATGTATGTAACGCTCACTCTAGAACCTAGTGCAGCGTGACCCCTCTACAGCAAAATCAATTTAACGAAAGAAATCACAGTTTTATTTTCATCTATCAATCAAACTGTCATATGCAGAATTGCGTCTTAGGAGGAATGCAGGGGATGCTAACTGCAGTTTTGGTCTTCCAGGCAAGTGCAAAGCCATGCCAGCATCGCCACATCCTCCTTTTGTACCGCTTATGTTCTGTTCTTTATTTTATTCTTGTTGCTTTTGAAGCTTTTGCAGCTGACGAAACCCTCTCAAAGCGTTTCGAAGTCCTCCTGCTTACTTCTGTTGGTTTTCTTTTTTGACAGTTGCATTGTGTGGTTGATGGAGCTTGCAGCGCAGGTGTTGGACAGCCGGCCATGCTTTACTTACTTTTCTCAAGGCGAAATCGGAGTTAGCTTCAGTAAGAATGCAATTCAGCATTTAAAAAAATAATGCAATTTTTACGTCGCAAGTGACGTGTTGAGCCTGGAGACACTCTGTTATGTTTGGCACGTCGACCCGAGATAGGACAGTCAAATCTTGTTATTTCGAACTCGAGGGAGTCTGAAAATTGGTTAGAATTAAACGGAGTTCGAATTAAAGAAAGCTTATTAAAGGGGTACTCCACCGATTTCTTCATGGTCCCCGATTTGCTTGAAATTTTGCTAAACTCGCCAAACAACATCGCCAAAATAGTATCCCAAATATTAGGTCAAAATAATTTTTTTTCACGAAGTTATTGAATTTACAATTTTGGTCCTCACCGTGTTTTTCAAACTGAAAGTCTCTACTGGCAACAATGAAAAAGTGATGTCAGTGGAAGTGCAGGGGTTCACTCTTTGGACTGTAGAATTTGTTCCCAACTGATTCGAAGCAGTTTCTTGGTGTCAAACGAATGCTTTGGAAAATCGCTCCAGTCCCCGCGCTCCAGCACGGAACAAATGATTGGCATAATCTATATTTTACACTGCTCGCCAGACTGGCAAGCTTACTTTCCACTGACGTCACGGCCCTGAAAAGGGCGGGTATATTTGAATGTTTGTTTTTGCATCATTTTCATTTGCCGATTTCGCAATAACTATTATGAATTTCACGATACTAAATGGCATACCAGAAAGGGTAAAGGCCGGGGAGTCAGAAAATATAGTTAGTTGAGGTAGCTCGAAAAACGGCGGAGTACCCCTTTAAATCAAGTATACTTAACGTGCAGCGCTGCGTTGGGCGGCGCATGTGCACTGAGTTAACACATGAGTGACAAGTTCCGGTAGATTTATTTACACCAATCACCAATGGAAATAATCCGTGGTGCCTGCCTGTGAGTGGTTCCCCAGTCGTGAATCAACAATCATCGCTTGGAGCTTGGAGACTAGCTCTAACGCGGCATTAGCATTCTCTTGGCACGAGAAGCTGCTGCTGTTTTGGTTGTTTTCGTGCACCAAAAGCTTTCTGAAATATGAAGCGGCGCGACTCTACGGAGACAAATAGATACGGCAGTTTCGGTTTCCTTAGCTCACATTCCCACGAAGTGATCTAGCTGTGAGCCGGATCCTCGTTTCTATGCCGACCCCCGAGTTAAAATTCTTATTTTTTTATAAAAACTATTGGCCTAGATTCGAGTAAATACGGTAGCCCGTTACTCAAAAATCGTACGAGAGCGGCTTTTCCCCCTCTCTCGCCCATGGCTTCGACAGCACTGGGTGCAACAAGTGAGATAGTGCGTAGTTGCGTGTTTTCCTCTGTCGCGCTGATTGGCTCACTGGGACCTTCGTCGTTTGCCAAGATGCAGGGAGACGGAGGATACAGTCAAACCCGCTTATAACGAACGCGATAGTTCCGTGAAAAGTGGTCGTTTTATCAGTAGTTCGTTATATCTGGACTTACCTTTAAAACACGTTATGAATAAGGTTAATGAAGGTGGTATTGGCAGTTTCACTCTGCCAGCTCTTTATTTAAAAAAAGTGTTTGCACGATTCTACTGCACTTCCAATTCTAACGCGCAGGCAGATATAGCTTTCAGATAATGAAAATTTAAATTGCTGCTGATTCTACCGTGCAAGTAAAATATAGAACAGATTTTATGAAACGCTCGCCAACGCAAAAATAAATGCCGTGCACTAATCCGACGATGGTTCTTCGCTGTCCGCAGAGCTAAAAAATACTTGCTTTGTTCTAAAGCGTTTCAAGTGCCGTGCTTCCTGAGCATGTACGAGTGCGCAGCCGTCGCCTCTGGCAGGGTCGTCTTTCAAATAACACTTTCCGAGCTCGTCGGGTGGCTGGGATTGCGAGGACACGCTGTGCTGCTCCGTTATCTTTTTCCGCCAGCGTGATTCCCTTTCGTCTGAATAAAACCTCCTAGTGTTTTTTTTTCCCATCTTAAAAAGACAGACACGAGTCCGTAGACGCCAGACAATGTGCTTGATACGGATACCAAAATGGCTAACGTAAACAAACGGTCACAATGGTGATGGGGCTAGCCCCCTTATACCGAGCATCGAATTACTGGGTTTGCAAACATAGAACGAACAGACAAACGCAGTACGACTTGAGAGTTGACTTCCTCCTTATCCCCATGCTACTTGGAAGTGCATTTTTGCTTTTGTAGTTTTGTTTTCCGCGCAGCCGGAGAAACGACTTTGAGCGTCCCCCGGAGGGCCGCGCCCAAAATGTAGCTCTTTTTATCTTTTTTTTTTCTTGTGCGCGGGAGTTTTTATTTTTTTCGAAAGCGGACTTGGAGTGTTTGTTGTAACAGTATGATACTTTAAAAAACGGTTGTTTCATCTGGATCAGTTTTAATGGGTAGGGCCTCAAATTCATATATTTTCTAAAAGCTGGTCATTATATCGATAATATGTGGGATTTTTGTAAGTGGGTTTGACTGTATAGCCGGGGCATTGGAAAGACGCATCCTGTCGTTCTTGCTCGGTCAGTGACCATTGTAACGTCGGCCTTGTGGGTTTGGGCAAGCGCTGCACATTCTGTGGGAGGCAATAAAGGAACGCGTCCTTGCAGGAGAGCATGAACATGGTGACTCCGGCCATGCAGCTGGCCAGCAAGATCCCCGACGTGCACGTCCAGCTCTGGGCCTCGGCGCTGCTCAAAGGCAAGTGTCCGGGCTTTCCATTGAGATGCGCCTCGGCCGCATGATAGACCCTCTTCGAAAGTGTGCGCCATCTACCGTATTTACACAATTGTAAGTCGACTCGATTGTAAGTCAACCCCCCCACATTGCACATCAGAAAAAAAATTTTGATGACCATTTTATTACGAACACGTGAGAACGGCAAAGTATCTGTTTTGAAGCCTCCAACACGCGATCGATGCCTTCTTTGCGTGCTTTGGCTTCGCATGCACGCGCGAGGGGCATGAGATGCGTAGGCATTATCGAAACTAGGAGGTTCACGCTGGGGCGGGACAACTGAAGCTGCTCTCTGTTTTCACTTTGTCCGCGACTAGACTACAACCCGTCCACACTGGTGATGTCAGTCCCGTCACCATCACTGCTACATTCTCGAAGCATGTCGTCGGCGTCCAACGAAATCTTCCACCTTGCAAGTGACCGCATCTCCCGTGCTTGCTCTGCGATCGCATTGCACGTCATGGGTAGGGACCGATTTCGCACTTTTGCGGCGTACGTTGCAAGCCTTTGGACCGCGGAAGCCTCTTCATTTGCCGTCAAGATCCCGCGCCGTTGCAGATTCCATTGGAGCATCGCCCGCTCCGACGGGTCGAACTTGCGTCCAACAGCGCAGTTCTTGGTTGTTTCTGGATGAAGAATGGCCATAAACGAGCACCGAAAACCTAAACTGCCTGGATCACGCTTGTCAATAGAAAAAAAAATGTAGTTGGCACTCCAGCATGATCTTGACACTCGATCGAACGACATGCGACTGAATCGCACGAAAAATTGCGAAAGGATGCCGCAGAGAGTGAGCTGTGAGGCTGTTCCAGCAGCCTCCGGAGTGGCTCTTACTAGAAGTGCCGCCACCCCCGGAAGTCGGGCGCGCGGTGCGCTGTTCACCGCCATATTTTCGGGTTAATTTGCGAATCGCTACCAATAATAGTCATTTGCGCAAATAAAAAAAAACAACATAGATAGAGCGCGCAGAATAGTGCAATGTTGCAGGCACAGCTGGCTGAACTCGTAACAAGCAGAGGCATTCTTAATATTGCGATTGTTTCGTTTTTGTCGGAGGTGGAATGCTTTGGTTCGATTATAAGTCGACCCCCCACTTCAGATTTTCAGAAATTGAAAAATGGGTCGACCTACATTCGTGTGAGTACTGTAGTAACCCTGCACCAATCATCAGAGTCCACCCTTGCTTAGGCACATACTTGGAGCGTGTATTGGACACGAGGGCCGCGTCAGCGTCCGGCGTGAACTCAGCTCAGCTTGCATTGAGCTGCGTCGGCGTTCGGTCAAAGTCTCGTATCCAACCATGTGCTTCGCAACCAAGAAACGGCGACCACCAATGTTGCCCTATCAGATTTTGAAAAGGGTCTATTGCAAACGGATTAAAAGGTTGGCTATCTCTCTGGCATTTCCCGAATGCGTGGCGTTTATAGCCTCTTGTGGACAACGTAAGGAGGCTACTGAAGGCCACGTCGTGAGGGTTATAGTGTCACGTCATTGCGTCACGCGACATGCTGCGACGTGACTCGTCAGGTCCCGCACATAACATAGTGTTATCGCACTGTTACGTGACGTCGTGGTGTCCCATCGCATCACTCGTACATCGGTGTCTCGTAAAGTAACGCGTTAGAGTGAGGAAAATAAGGGGAACAGAAAGATGTAGTTTGCCGTTGGCACCGCCTAGGCGTAACTGACTTCGTAATGTCAAGGAAAACCTATATTACTATGCATTTAGAGCGACTTTGGGATGACGTCACAGTATCACGTGGCATTGTGACTTCATCGAAGCTGTGTCACGGATGCAAAATCCACAAAAGTGGACCGTACGAATGCTATTAATTTCATACTTATCGTCGATCGATAGTGGCTGCCAAGAATAAAGCTGCAAGGCTACATTCAGTTGGCAGCCGGAAAAGCGCTCACTGTTGTCCGAGGTCCAAGCGGCACCCCAGTAGCAGTTTCCAGGCAGAGTTTGGCACGGAAACCACTTGGCTAGTGCTGTCTCTGCTATATGGCTAGACTGAGGACCAGTCTTAAGCCGAAAGAAACAGGAAACCCCGTTCTAAAATACTTTTGCTTCACCGGCGCGCACGTGCAAAAAGGTCGAAATTTGTACAATTCTACGGGCAGTCCGGAAAACTCGGCAGCTAGACACAGTGCCTGGAATGCGCCTACGATGGGTGCGTTCAGTGCCCCGTACCACCCGTACGTCAAAAGTGGCCCCGAAGTGGCAAAAGATGGCGTCAAAGAAGCAGGAGTATTGTGTCGTCAGACGTCGCGATCTTGGCGGTCGGTGGTAAAAGTTTCGGCAAAACGTACAAGCGAATGGGGGTGTTGCCATCATCGCGGAGTCCCGACTCCTGGCCGTCGATGCTCCCGTGGCTACCAGCTGTAGAGCGTGACCCACGGCAAAACGGGCACCTGGCACATCCGCCACAGCTGCCGCGACGCCGCCAAGATCGCGGCCGGCGACACTTCTGCGACGTGGTAGGCCGGAAATCGAGGGACCACTTTTCAGGATGCGGTAAAGACGCCAGTTGGAGACACTCTGTAGGCACCGTACCGACGCGAGGGAACTGACTCGAGCCCCCCTTGCAGACCTATACCGGCTGTGCGGCCAGCCCGTGCAGGAGCAAGAGGCGATCCAGACCCACGCCAACTTCTCCCAGCTGCTACTCAACGACCACTTCCAGGCCTCTCAACTGCCCGAGCACGGGCTCATACAGGTGCGGGCCTCTCTGTCCTACGCCTTTGCGGAAGACGGATCGAAACCTAGAGGCAACGTCACATACTTTATTAGGGAACATGTCTTAAGAAATGGTTGTCTATAGCTTTGTTGCAAGTTTTTCAAGCCACGATAAAATGATGCGCGAGAAATTTTAGGAAATATATAGAAACACCAAGTGTTCCACGGTTACCCGATAATAGGTGCCAGCGTGATCTCTTGTCGTAAAAGATTTTACGAGGTTTTAAGACATACGGTCGTAACCAGTCGTGTTTGAACCAACCTTTATTTCGCAGAGTTTAGAAGGCCTCGAAGCCGATAGCTTCTGCAGAAGTGGAACGGCTTGATGCGCGCAGTCTCAGGGTTTTCCCCATTGAATTGGAAAATGTGACTGCTGCCATCTGTCATCATGGGCAGCCTTCAAGACAGCGAATTTAGTCATCTCTGCCGTCTCTGCAAATCCGGTACTGTCTAGCCCGATTGTAACAAAGTCAACAGGAATCAAAAATCGCTTCGCTATATCTACTTCGTTATAGCTGAAGTTCCGCGTTTTCGGTTTTTATTTTTTCAAAATTCGGCATACTTTTTTCGGGTTTCATTTTAAAATTCAATTTTCGTTTTTCTTCAGTGTGCATTTATGCCCACAAAAGTTTCAGAGACAATGGACCTTTTCAAATACCGACGGCACCAGGCGGTGGCTGCACGAACTAAAAATCGAGGAAGTGACCTACTTGCGCTACCAATCGATAATGGGAGCTACGCTACCAGTTGCTTCGCTCTCTGAGCTGCGTCACGTGCCCAACGCGATTTTAAAGAGGGAAATCCGTAGCGTCCACCCAAACGTTGTGTTTTTCTTTCCGTCCACTTTCTTTTTTTGTGTAACACAATTATATATATGCTGCAATTACGTGTTTTACTCGTCGATCTACAGCCTCATTCCGAATTTTCTCGATTTTTCATGCCGACTTCCACCGCTTGGCATTGGGTGCTCGCACGTGCGCAGAACGCTTCTCGGAAAAGGTCCATCAAGTCAACTAAGATGCTTCAATATGTCAGCAGTTTCTCCTAGTGCACCAACGCAAAGCGGTGAAGCTTGACGCGAGAAATTGGAAACTTCCGAAGACATTGTTCCTCCATAATAATAAACCTGAGACTGGGAGCAAATAAAAAACAGACAGCCACACACATCGTCTCAAAACACAGCTACAGATTTGATTTCACATCAACATATTTATACAATCGTCCCCCTCCCCAGAAGGTTACAAAACATCCTGGCAAAAAGACGTCGCGCAACACAAGAAACAGACGTTCAACTGCCACGGGGTGATCCCAAGCAGCAAGCACGACCAACCAAGGAATGGGCCTTCACTACCCACCGACATTTCACCGAACCCCACTACTCACCCCCAGAAACATTTTCATTTCTCTATCCCAACGGTAAGGATGGCCAACTTACACAATTGCCAGAGCTAACAATACCTATGCATTGTTTCTTTCACAGTTGTTTTTTTCTTTTTAATTATGGGGTTAGTTTACTTAAAGTTGCTGGATCCTGGGAAGGTAGTGCCATTACTTCCCCTGCCCGCTAGCCGGACACAAATACAAACATACAGACGACCAAAACCTCGCAAGCTGATTGGCTTATCAGTTTCCGTTGCCATGGCAATCGCCATTTCAGTCCATTCGGATCTTTGAAGTTTCGAAAGGGTCGTTCTGAACCAGTAGCACCAAGATTGCTATGGAGCTTCATCATACCGAGTTCCTCGCCAATATAAGTGTCTTTGGCACCGTGTATCCAATCAACTTATCAGTTATGCCTATTTTTACCAATCACTTACAACAATATTGTTCTTCTTGCATATTACAAGACAGAAACATTATTTTTTAATGCCACCAGCCACAGACACCGCACTTGGTGGCAGAGTGGAGACGTGCGCCTCTAGCATATGGATAGCAAAATCTTGGTATACAAGAAATGTCTTTATAAAGCAGCCTGTCACCGGGAGTTTGGTTTGGCGCACCAAGAGTGAAGAGGTCAAAGAGAAACCGCTCATTCTATGAACCAAAATGGTGACCGTACGAGGAGCTTGGCACCACTTCTCAGAATCCAGCGACTTTATCTTTACCAGCTTATTCTAAAGTTTGAATATTCGAAAAACTTGAATATACTTCGAGTCGTTGACTTTCGAACATTCAAAAGACTCGGATATATACTTTTTGCTTGTTTGCAGTGGATTGACGGAGAGCCACCTGTGATGAACACCACCGCGGCTTCCACGAGCTCGGCCATCCCCAACATGCTGGCGTGCTGAAGATGTTCGAGCCGCCGAGGATCATGGTCCTCCTTCAGGGAGCGGCTTTCACGAGCTCGGCCATCCCCAACATGCTGGCGTGCTGAAGACGTTCGGCCACCGAGGATCATGGTCCTCCTTCAGGGAGCGGCATCATTGCGGAGCCTGGAACGCGTCTCGAACTGGCGTGTTTACTGCGTCCTGAACCTGGCAATGTGACAGCGGCCTCCGTGACGTCATTTGTTGCCACTTCGGAACCGTTTTTGACGTATTGGCAGGACAGGACGCTAAACAGACCAGTCAAAGACACGTTCCAAGTACGGTAGCTTCGGGCGCCATCGAAAGGGAGCCAACCGGCTTCTCCACCTCGTGAGACGAGACATTGACATAATCGTTCTACACCGCGAAAAGCTCTTGACGTGCCACCTGCAAATGTGGGGGAGGAGAGATAAATGCACGTTTTCCAACATAATCACCTTTAAGCGTGGGCCCCGGCGGCCAAAAACCGCTGGTGGGGCCGCCAGCACTATAATCGTCCTCGGCCAAGCACGATTTGTCATAGACGAAAGGTCCGGTCACGTCGGGTCGTGGTTCCCGACGACGACCATCAATAAACGATTACGTCCCGTTGAACCGTCGTGTTGCTTCATTCTTGGAGGAAAGTCCGACGACTCCACATGCAGAACGGACTCGGATTCGAAAGGGTTTGCATGGGGAACGCGAAATTTGGCCGTATTCAACTAAAATCGGTGGTCTCTGGCACCTTGTCGCCAAGCTCCGGGCGAATTTCACGGAGCCCAAGTTTGAGTCTGGCTGACATACCTACTTTGTGATTATAGTCCCTAGCGAGGTGAGAAGGGGGGAAGGGGCCATGGTTGTCCTGCCTCCAATGCAAGCTTCGTTTCTTCGACGCCGCTTGTCTATGGTGGAGGCAGGGCATTCAAGACATCCTCTCATTCTCATTCTGACAGTGACTACCGTATACATTTTAATTCGAACAAATTAAAAAAATAAAAAAGGGGGGAGGGGGGCAAGAGTTAGACGAGTGTCGTCTTCATTGGGCTCGGCGGACATTAAATGAGGGGACAAGCGTCGCAGTATGTCAATTAATTAAGATTATCTCTTTAATGATTGGTTTTAGGGGTATGTGTTGAAATTACAGTATTGACGGTAATCACTAGAAGAGGTTAAACCAATTCAAAGATATTGCAAAATGGTAAAGATTTTATAGATAGTATTTGTCTTAAATTTTGTGTTTTTTCACTCGGTTTAAAAATACTAGTGCTCGAAAAGAGCGTTGCAAGCCCCGCGCTTGACGACGCTTGGAAGAGCGACGTCATTGCAATCGCGTCGTCACTGTCTCGGCGACGTGTCCTCGACGGTTGCGCCGACGACACGACTGACGACGTGAGCCTAACAACTACGTCACTGGGGACAGGGCTTGATGCTCTCTTTTTGTGCACAATTTTTAACGTGAAAGTTTGTCGATTAAGATCCTAAAAACCATTAAATCTTTGCATTTTTAAATTGCTCTAGCCTCTATTAGTATTGGCGGTCAATACTGGAATTCCAACACGACCCCTTAAACAAATAATTCAGAAGTTTAAAGGTTTTATTTATTTGGTCAACTTATCGCAACGATTATACCCTCGTCTAATGTCCACCCAGCCTGATAAATATGTGGGGAAGGCAGAACTCGCCGAACTCTCGCACCATATTTTTCTAAAATCTGTTTTAATTGTAATCAAACGCTCTGTATACTAGTGCCAAAGAACTACTCGTCCGTGTGAAGGACTCTGACGGGTCGAAGAACTGTTCCGGATGGAATAAATCCTCGCAGGCAGGACGTCTCAATTTAAATGGACACAACTCTCTAAAACATTTTTTGTAGGGATGGGCGAATATTTGGTTATTATGAATAACCAATCGAATTCTGTTCTATTCGCTTCGAATCGAATTTAAGTATTCGACAATATCTAATTATTCGGCAATATAGGATTATTCAACTTTTCTAAATACAGTCAAACCCGACTATATCGAACCAGTTTGCATCGAATTATTTGTTATATCGAGAAATTTTTGCGCACAGTAATGTTACAGTGACGATATATAGCAAAAACTATGGCAGCCGCTACCGATATATCGAACTGCCAAGAGCGCCGTTTTGCTCTGCAAGCTGGCTTTCCCCCAACGCGAGTGACTGCATTGGGGGAAAGCCAGCTTGCCGAGCACGCTAAAGTTTTTTTGTTTTTTTTTGGGCGGCCGCGTTGATTGCAGGGAAAAGAAAAGAAAATATAGCTTTTGCGGAGGGAGCGGAGAGGGTGTGCTCCGTGCCCCCTCTCCCCGCTCCGTCCGCAAAAGAGAATATAGTTTTCTTCCAAGTGGTTAACGCGGCCATCCGGTAAAAAAAAAAAAAAAAGCCAGCTTGTTTTGGTAGCTGGCTTCACCCAACGCAGCCACCTGTTGTAGGGCAAAGCCAACTTGCAGGGCAAAGTGGCGCTCTGCAGAAGGTGCTCCCGCTCGGACGTGCTCTGTGCTCTCGGCATAGTTCAGTGCTAATGCGCGAATATAGAGGCAGTGGCCTCAGTATTTTGGAGTCCGTCGATAGCCTCGAAAAATATCGTTATCGCGGATGCAATGAAAAAAAAAGCAGCAGAAGAGACTAGTTCATTGCATAATATTTCAGCAGAAAGTGGATTTTCGAGAGTCAAATTTATTAAAACTTTTGTATTGAATTACCCGCAATATCGAACTGGTAGACGTTTTCTTGCGAGTTCGATATAAACGGGTTTGACTTACTCTGGCATGGATTTCCGGCCAGGTGGTGCAAGCTGCGACCATTTTGTGCTCCCGAACTCAATACACTTGAAATTAACAATTACAGTACTTGTAACTCCAAATAAGAGAAAATATCAAACTATAGTTTAAACATATCTTGTGGTATTCGTTGCTTGTACTATTAGATTCTAAATTATTCGGCCAAAACCACTATTCGCTTCGAATTCGATTCGGACCCAAAATTTTCTATTCGCCCATGCCTAATTTTTTGTCAAGTGCTTGGACTGGGCACATGTCATAAAACACATGTCATCATAGGCGTAGACTTCAGGGGGCATCAGGGCTCGTGCCCTTCCCTGGTGAGATCTGGGAGGGGGTGGGGGCAAAGCCCCCCCGGGCCCGGGCAATGATCCTTACCGAGATGCTGCTTACGTGCCATGTAACAAGCCTCTAGTTGTGGCATGTAAACAAAACAATGCCCACGTTGCCTTTATTTACAAAATACATGGGAAATGGAATCCCAGCGTGCTTTCAGTAGCTTCAATCTCCAGTTCTGGCGAAAAGGTAACGTGCAGCACCCCCCCCCCCCCCCCCCCCCCGGGAAAATGGAAAGTCTACGCCGCTGCATGTCATAACGTAAAAGTAATGAAAAAAAAATGTTTAAAGGTTTTTTTGGGCCATTCAATCTAAACACATTTTCAGAACACCCAGGCTTTGCTCTTCCCGGCATGCTATATTTTTACCCCTAATAGGCAACACGGTTATGGCACCGAATGCTGAGCAAGGAAGTCTGTTAAAAGCGGCCCTGCTGCTTTGGGAAGGGCTGCAAGCATTGGGATTGCAACCATGGTTTCAATACTGAGAGGCTACCTACAAAAGTAAGAATTTGCTGAGCCACTTGACTGGTAGCAATGGTGTGCTCGCCTAGTATCGGGTCTGTCCAGGCATGCTCCCTTCATTTCGCTCTGAAAGGCCCGTAACTTTCAAGTTTTGAGCCATGCACCTGTCTTGCAAAAGCGAGTATTTCTAGGCTGCGTTTTAAATGTGCGCACACCTACCTTCCTTGTGGGTACAGTCAGATCACGTTAATTCAAACTTCTTGATAATTCAAATTAACATACAGGTACCATCCTATATGTCTCTATGGGAGAAAACTCCCGGTAATTCAAACTTTTGCTTTATGCAAACAAATTTTCTATCCCCCTTGAGTTCGAATTAACGAGATTCGACTGTACTATGAAAGAAAACGAGAAAAGTTGAAAGGTTTACATACTTCTTTCGTAGGTTGGCTTTTTTTTCTTCTTTTTGGTCCTTTCAGACGCTTCGTAGCATTCACTGACAGATGTTAACAGACATTTGAATTGGACCATGGCTGGTGCATGATGGGACGCCAGGGCACTGATTTCATGGTCGCGTCTCGTGGACGTTACAGACTGTGGCAGATGGTGGTGGATGCTAACGTGTCGCTGCTCGCACGAGTAGCAGACGGTGTCGGACAAACTAGACGCACCGAAAGTTGCGACAGGGAGACATTAACAGACGGTCCAGTACCGACGACCAGGGTTTACAGTGGAACAATTTTAGCTTGGGGAAAATACATCTTGTGGTGTGTCTTATCTAAACACGCAGAGTGTATTTTTTAGTTGTGTTTAATGCGCAAATGGAATAGTAAAGAGCTCCCACAGAGAATTCCCAAAGACATCATCCCTTCTCGTATCCTGTTTCGACCGACCTGTACGTGCTGACTAAACTTATCCGGAATACAGGAACGGTGCCTTATCTCGTGGGAGCACTACCCTAGTGGCAGCCGAAAAACTGAAGTGCTCGATGAAACCGTCCGGGGAATGACGCTTGCTCGTGGCCAAACCCGCTGCTAGCCCAGGGACAATGCAGCTATTTTGCCTGCAAGGCGATCTATGCTTTTCGCCTCGCTCGGTAGGAAAATCAAATGTTTTCTGATTGAATCATCCGATCACCGCCTGTTTTAACAGCCACCTATCCATCTTCGTGGGAAATGACGGTGCTAAGTATAGATTGGCTGGCCAGCAAAATTGCTTTGGTGTCCACGGGTCAGCAAGCAGCCTCCCCTATTTGGGCTGCTCCATTGAGCGCTACGTTGGGAAGCAGTTCTTCAGCCGCCGCCAGGATAGCGCTCCCAACCAGACTTGTATGGTACTCGTTATAAGTAACTACGAGAGTAATTTGATTACTTTTATAGTAATAAAAGTACTTTTAGCTATTACTATTTTTTTCAACCTCCTCTCCTCGGTTTCAGAGTTTACGACCACTACTTAGTCACCACAGTTCAAACTAAAATTGCTGCAATATGTCCAGGTTATCAGCTTCTAAATCCTGCGACAACAAAGAATGAAATGATCGTTAGCGAGCTGTACGAAAGGAGGTCAGGCTCTTTGTCTGGTCAGTTTATACAGTGGTTTTTGGGGGTTTCAAGCTGGCACTGTGATGTCTGACCTCGCAACGAAATCCTTTCAGTAGAAAGGTTGATGTTAAAAAAGTAATCTCTTATTCACATCCAAGATAAGTGGTTGGCAAACTAAAAAATGCACCACCATTTTTCAAATTAAATTTTTTTAGTGCTTTTCTGCGTGAACTTCCGCGGGTGTGGCACAAGCGAGTGTGAGCATTCCTTTGAGAGACGAAGTTAAACCTCGTTTGCTCCCTTTAGAAACTGGGATCTAGATTGACCTCCCAGAACATCACCTTTTGCCCATTGTGGCTTATCTAATGCCCCCAAGTTTGTAGAAAGAAGTGTTTCCCCTCTCCTTCCTGATGACGGCCTTTTAAATTTGTACGCAAGTTTTCTACCATGGATTTCTCTAACCAAGCCTCCAGCAAGGGGATGGTGTACCATAAGTGGTGGATTAAGAAAAGTGGTTTGTCATCCGGTGATTATAGTACAGTAATAGACAATACAAAAGGCCGGTTTCCAAACCGGCAGAAAAATCTGCTGGTTTGGAAATCTGAAGTAATAAAAAAAGTAGCAGTTACTTTTTCAAGTGATGGGCAATTACTTTCCCTCAACTAATCAAGTAATGTAATTTAATAGTTTTGAACAGAGTAAGCGTAATTGTAATCAATTACTTTTTTGAGTAACATGTACGAGACCATGAGAAGACGTTCGCTTCTTCCAGACAAGTATGGTGACCACTGTACTTGTTAAAGCTGGTTTCTCTCGCATTCTCCTCACCCAAATTTTCTTTGCTTCCTTTTCTCCCTCTTTTACGAAATTATAGTCAGTGAGAGGTTAAGAACTCGGTAGACGGTCCACCACGAGCACAAGCGATCGCCAGCTTGTGTCCGAACAAAGATGGGCGTGTATAAAAAATCCTGCACCGGACAATGCTGCTTTGTGTTTGCCGACAGCTCTGGCAGACCCAGGCGATCACAACGCAAAAGAATTCGACCGAGCTGGAAAACACTGCTTCCGTACATAGAACTACGATATAAAGGGCAAGAGCTCATCAATATGGCCTCCGGTGAGAGATCTTAGCCTGAAGCATGTCATGTGAAACCGCCCTATACGTAATATCCCTAGTCATCGCCCACCCCCCTGCCACCTGAAATTCATAAAAAAGTGTTTGTACTTATAGATACGCCAGCTGAACGGAGGAAGAAAAATGCAAAACAGAGAGTCACAAGGAACATACACATGCACTCCGCTGGACTAACAACTATTTACTGAATACCATCCTTTTCTTCGTCGACTTACATTTAATGGGTAACTTCTTCGTCGATTTTAATTATTGCCTATATGAAATATTTGTCCCTCGTCTTCATCACATCAGTTTGAAAAACCTTGCATCCCCAGAGATAACGTCTCCTGTGGGCTCATGCCGGCTATTTTACACGGGGGTGTTTCCTGCAAATACTTCTTTTCTCTTGCATGTACCACAATGGAGGCAGTGCTTACGCAATCTTCCTCCTTCTCCTCAATGGCTAGGGACTCTAGAATTCCCCTTGCGATTTGATTTTTGTGTCCAGCCATGACGGTGATGTCTGAGAAAAAGGGAGCACATTGGCATTCGCGACAATGCGCTGGAAGATGGCCCTCTGCTGCAATTGTGCGCACGGAGGCGGCGTGTTCTCTGGTGCGTTCATTGACACAGCGCCCAGTTTGTCTGATGTAACATTTCCCACATGACAGCGGAATGTTGTAAACAACAGCGCTTTCACATGGGGCATGGGGCATGGAGCGGCTTCGCGGCGACTTTACTTCGGCGGAGACAGACTTTGACCTTAATTAAAGCACTCTGCGGTTACATTCCAGGATATGGGGCGTTCACTTACCTCGTGATCCCTGACTGGGTTATTGCTCGTGCTATCTTTCCAACCTTTTGTTCCGGGTAGATTTTTTTTTTTTTTTCTTTTGTAAGCAACACAATTTTATTTTGTTATCTCCATTGTTTTCGCATGGATACAGCTACCACTTTGGGGTTGCTCACGGAGAAAATTCGTAAACAAAGAGAAGTGTCTTTCCCTCCTTCGTTTTACTTTGTCACGGACGTCGTCCAACTATAAGGTCTGCGGCCGCGGCATTCAGGTAGGACGAGTGTTCGCGGATAGCGGAGTCCGCGTTGGGGTTTTGAAGGGGTGTGCGATGACTTGGTGTTTTAGAGCGCGGCTCTTAGGCGCCCGTTTCCGGCTTGAGCGGCATCGCCGTTGGCGTTGCCGTCGGCGTAACTGCGCGGTGCATTATGGGTAAATTTCCTTGCTAAATCTAGCGGAAAAATTCCCCCCTCTAAATCTAGCGGAAAAAATTTCACCGCTAAATCTAGCGGAGAAAATTTCCCCGCTAAATCTAGCGGAAAATGTTCCCGCTAAATCTAGCGGAAAAATTTTCCCCGCTAAATCTAGCGGAAAAATTTTGGTCACGTGACCCGGGGGGGTCACGTGACCTGGGAAGTCCCGTGACACCCCGAGCTCACGTGACGCCCTCCTGAGGTCACGTGACCTCTGAGGGGGGGCACGTGATTTCCCCCACGTGACCCCACCAAGGTTACGTGCCCTCGGGGGGGGGGGGGGGGGGGGGGGGTCACGTGACCCCCCCCCCCCTTCCCGAGAACACGTGGCCCTCAGTACCCTTCCCTCCTCCTCCTCAAGAGCTGCGCTCCAATTCGGCGTTACAGGAAGTGGTAAACGGCTTTCACTTTTTTTTTCTGGAAATCGATATTGGCCCAAACAATGGGAAGGGCGATGAGTCGGGATATTACGGTAGTCTGCGCTCAGCCTCACCATTAGTTTGTAGGTGCCCAAGTCTCAGCTTTCGGGTTGTCCGTTCATTTCAAAGGGGCGAGCGAGGGTTCCCTTCCAAACATGTAAAAGGCAAAAAAGGCATCCTCGTTACTGTTCGATTGACTTCATTGAAGTCGATTGTTACACCATGTTAATGAGCTTGTGCCTTATGTTTTTCCTTGCCATTTTTAAAATTTATTTACTATTTCAAATGGTTTAACTAGGGGATTACTACTGGTTACTTATTGCATTAATGAACTAGGCAAGCCCCATTTTCTCTCTTCTCCCAGAAGCCCAGATAGGATTGAGAGCCAATCCCATATCTTATGTCATAGGACGGGCTACTGTGCAGAGCCGAGCGATGGCCCATCCCATGTTGGGTTTCGTCATAAAGCAGTTGTACATTAAGACCGTGCAGAATGAAGATGGACAACTGCCTCACCCTGCACACTTTTATTTGTATCCTTCTTGCACTAATAAGAACACAAAGGGTTTTTCGTACCGTTGCGCTTCTCATTTCGGCCTAAGAATGGTCCATAAAAGCTCTCATATTTTTTTGTATTTCTCGCCACACTACGACGCCAACTAAAGGTTCCTGCAGACCTCGAGAACCTCGTGCCGACACGTGGTACGTGTGCCAAGGTGCCGCCTAAAAGAACTCGAGCTTGTTGCGCTTGCGGTCTTGTAAGGCCTTGCCCACGGGCACGCCTGGGTCGTAGTGGTACCCCGCCAGGGCCCGGAACATGATGGCCCTGAGCTTCTTGAGCTTGTCCTTCTCGTTGATGCGCAGCTCAGGCTTGGGGGCCTTGCTGCGCAGCTTGTTTTGGTGGATCAGGGCCTCGTGATGCAGGAACTCCCAGTACTCGGCCGTGCTGGGGTCCAGGTCCTGCGAACCGAGGTTTTCCAGTGACCGACACGACTTTTGCGGAGAAGGGCGTGTCCAAAGAATATATATAAATAAAGGAGAGATACACAATTTTGAAATGGTGGACTCTGACCTCCGTGAGATTATGAGATTTGGAACTTTGCAAACTTGGTCTCGAAAGAAATTCGGAATCTCTTGAAAGTTTGGAACTATGGGACTCGAACCACGGAAAACATTGAAAGCTCCTGACTCTGTGAATTAGAAGCTTGGCAAAGTTAGAAATTTTCTAAACCTTTCGAATTTGGCGGGTTGGCAACGCCTCTAGTTTAGACAAAGTCTCGGCTAAGGTGATGAAGAGCAATAACAAGAGGGCACACCCGTTAGGTTGTGCAGCTTGCAGATAGCTGCAAACCGATTCCTAGTCACTAAAGGTATGGTCTAGAGTCACTTAATAATAATAATAATAATAATAATAATAATAATAATAACCCTTAATAGCTCAGGAGAGCCGCAGCACCGCAGAAGGGCAACAACCCGTACGATGGAGGCCCACAGAGCTACGCTTTAGAGTTTCGACACATCAGCCATCTTGTTGCTTGAAGTCACTGCCACCAGTTAGTCTAAGACCTTATCTGACGTCGCAGGAAATGTCCTCAGTCCTTCGGAAAGGTTAGAACGGTCCGGGACGGAGTAGAACGGTACTGCACGAGGTAAGGAAGTCGCATTTTCGAGATTGCACCTGCTCTGCACCTGGCAACAAAATGGCGGCACCCGGGAGACAATCGGGGAATGGCACGCCAAACTCTGATGAGCATGGCCTACCTACTGGCTCTGGCATGGTCGAGTCACCTCCATCCCCAAAAGAGGCAGTAGCAAGCAACTTCCCCATCTACTGTCACAATTGCTCCTCATAGGGCGTTCGCGATTGGTCTAGATTGGTCCCGAATTTCCCCGACCGTCCTTACCGCTAAGCAAACAGTTTTTCTAGTTTATGCACTACCTGAGCAGATCCGAGCCATCCACTGATGCGTAGCTAGGAGCCAAACACTCCATAGTATCTGCATTACTGTTTACAAAATGTGCAAGCCTCTGTACTGCTTTATTACACAAACACAGAGACTGGGATCGATTCCTCGACATCCAGTCAAGCCAAATAGAGGTTCCTCAAAATCAAAGGGTTTGAAAACCCTTTGTCTAAACAGGGCCTTCACCGACTGCAGACGAGTCTCGGCCGACGCAGCTCTTGCACCCACCCATATCCTGTGCTGGCTCGCAGGAAGTGACAACTTAAAGGAGCTGTGCAATAATTTGAGGGCTTTGCTTGAATAATTGTGGAAGTTGATGCCTGACACTTCTGCAGTGAACTACAGAAAATAGATTTTGCCTGGATACCCTAGTTTTAAGAAAAATGAAAAAGATCCAGGCTTTTGTTGCCTCTCAACTCGTACATCGTCTTCCGGGTCACGTGCGCAGTGACGTCACTTGAGTAGGCGCAGGATTCTGGAAAAGTTCTCTCTTTAGAGCCATCAGCGAGCAGCGAGAACTCATCCGCTCGCGACCGCGTGACCATGTGCTGGCGGGCGCCCCGCGGAATATATGGTGAAAGGAGGAAAGTCTCATCCAGGTCTGGCCATACCCATCCTTGCCCATCCGGCGCTGTCCCCCTCCCCCTCCGGCTTCTGGCGGCTATTCGCGGTTTTGTGGACCAAGGATAGATGGCGCCACTAAAACTCCGTATAATAAAAGTTTTGTCGATAATACCAGGGTTTTGACGCATTTATATATATGTTGGAAAGACAAGATTTATAGAAAAGTTACCTTTTATCGAGCAGGTATTCGCACGTGCTTGCTATCTGTTTTACAACTACCCAAGTGACGTCACGCCGCTTGTTTCTCATGGCCGCCGCTCGTGGCTGCAGGTCGGGAAATATTCCGAGTTTTGCCTTGCTATTACGCGGTGGAATTGCAACATTTCGATGAAAGGAGGTGTGTTTTCTGCCATTTGTGACACAGTGAACAATATCGAAAGCTGAAAATGCCAATTCTTTCAACGTTAAAATCGTTGCACAGCTCCTTTAACACTACGAATTCGATATCATGCAGGCGTTGCGCCGCTGCAACAGGGCTTCCTTGTGAGTGGCGTGTAGGCCAGCCCGAGCAGTCGAGTGACGATGATGACGATCGATGGAGTCCCTGTCGGGCATAAGTCCCGGTGCCTAAGTGACGGTGGCGGGATTTACCGACCCAAGAACGAGTTCCACATATGACAGTTTTGTCAGATACGACAGTTCTACACTGCTCAGAGAGGAGTGAAACTCAATAACGCAGCCAAACTAAACCTACGCGCACCGACTAAGCGACTTATCTTGCCTCGGGGCAACGTGCAATTATGGCGCCTTTAACGTGTTTCCGACCGGTGCGTTTACCGCAGAAGTGTTATGCTGTTGCCGGTCGCGACCTTGGCAGCTCCACAGCAGCAGTGGTTCACGTGGCAGACGCCTCTTCTGCTGCAGGTCGCTTTCCAATGTGACAGTCCACGGAAGCTTCGGCAGTGAGAAGTTGGGATGCCATAACGACAGCAACACTCGCATTTGATCTTACTTTTTGCTGGGACTCCTAGCGTCAACCGCCAGGATTGCAACATCCGACACCGGGACACGACGGCTTCTGCGACGTCGTTTGCTGCCACTTTGGGACAACTTCTGATGTACGGGCGGGATGGGTTGCTAAACAGACCAGTCAAAGGCACGTTCGAGTCGCCGTACTAGAATTGACCAAAGTGCGAGCAAGGCACCTACCGGCCGTCTTTTCGGCCGCGCACTCTGAGTGGGTCTTTCGTATTGCTAGAGACTGTATTGCCACAAACCTTCTCTTTCTGCTGGGTGTTTGCATTGGAAAGACTCAGTTCAGAGACGACAGATTACACACAAGTGTCGCCGGTGGCAGTACGGTGCCTGGAACGTGTCCGGCTGGTGTGCTCAGCGTCCTATTCCGGCCATGCATCGAAAGTGGTCCAAAATGGCAACAAATGACGTCGCTAAGGCAGAAGCGTCGATGATGCTGTTGGATGGTCAAAAAGTTCAGGCAATTAAAAAGCACCGGCAAACGTGAGTGTCACTGTCGTTATAGCGTCCCAACTCGTGGCTGCCGAAGCTTCTATGGTCTGTCAAGCTGGAGAGCGACCTGCAGCAGAACAGACTTCTGCAACATCCACCCCTGCTGCTGCAACACTGCCAGGGTCGCGGCTGGCGACAGCGTGACACCTCTATGACATCATCGGGCAGAAATCGAGGAACCACTTCTTTGGATAAGGTTAACACACCAGACACGTTCCAGGCACCATGTGGAGTGCAAGTTCGTCTGCTTCTTTTGCAGGGGTTGTGGTGACATCAGAATGCCAAGCTCTGACTGGTTCTGAATGAAGAATAGTGGGGTAGACCTCAAAGCAGCTTGCTTTGAGGTCTACACACTATCCTTCAATCAAAGCCAACCGGAGCTCGGCGTGGTTCTGACGTCGCTGCAACTCCTGCGCAAGCAGCAGACGACTTGCTCTCTGCATAACGGCATGGAGCGGTGCAGCTCACCTCCAGCTTGACCCGGCCATCGATGCGGAGCTCCCAGAGCCAGTCCGGATAGTCGGAGTCAGGCCCTAGTGGTACGTCGCTGCCCTCGCGAAGGATGTTGCTGCCGCAGCAGAGGGTGGTCAACTTCTCCGGGTCCGTCTCGACGGGAAGCTTTTTCTTCTTTGTCTGCAGGGCCAGCCCTCCTGAGGGCAGTCAAGTATTGCTATATGGACAGCGAGCCGACCAGAAAACATGTCTCTTCGCCCATGGGAGAGGGAGTGATAGCGTGTGTGACAAACGCTACGAAGCTCTGCCCCCCCAACTATGGTTTGCTGTTCGGCGGTGGAGAGCAGGTGGGTGAAAACCATGCAGGGAGGAACGTCAGTTATCCCACTTCCAATTCGAGCTTCCTACCCTCGGCAACGCCTCAACTTTCGTGCACCTCGAGCGCGTGCGCGCAGGCAAAGCGCTGCAAAGGGCATGGAGTGTTGCAGTCGCTGCGGGTCATCACAATAATGAATCCATTCCCACAGAACAAGCAGCACTTTACTACTTACAACACTGCGAATAATACATGAACATTTGAAAGCTTACAAGCCCGAAACCCTCAATCGTTCACATTAGTTGTCGTCATTCCTCAGATTGGGCAAGTTCGTTGTTCATGTTGGTCGACGTTGCAGCGCACTAAAAAAACTCATTCAAGCTTTCACAGACACAAGGAACAAAACTCTCGCACAGCGCTCACTAACAACTTTGTATTGCATGATTAACTTCTACTGTAATTTGAGACAATTTTCAAATATAAATAACGAAAAATAAGAAGGTAAAAAATTCCTTCTGACGCTTAGGCAAACTTGTGGCTAACTAATGTGTTAGTATGCCGTCTATAATATTGTCACAAAAAGAGATTGATTATTTAGCTGCAACTTTGCCCAAGCGCTAGAAGGAATTTTTTGCCTTTTTATTTTTAGTCTTTTTCTATTTGAAAATTGTCTCAAATTGAAGTAGAAGTTAATCACGCAATACAAAGTTGTTAGTGAGCGCTGTGTAAGAGTTTTGTTCCTTGTGTGTGTGAAAGCTTGAGTTTTTTTAGTGCGCTGCAACGTCAACCAAAACGTTGTTCCTCTTTTTCTTTCCGTGTTTGTCGGGTACACACATGCCGGCACAGCTTAGCAAACTTCTTCCTTTTCTGGTTTTACTCCCTGTTCGTGCAACGCCAACAGAGGTTTATCCGACGTCAGTTGCAACTAAAGTTACTGGATCGTAGGAAAGTAGCGCCACTGCCTTTCCTATCTGCCAGTCGGACACAGACAGATACTAACATGCAGACAACCAAAATCGCTCAAGGCGATTGGCTAATTTGTCTACGTTGCCATGGAGATCGCCATCTCGGTCCATTTAAATCTTCAAAACTTTCAGAGGGTCATTTTAGACCAGTCGCGCCAAGATCACCATGGAGCATCATCGTACTGGAAGCGTCCCCCGCCAATATAAGCATCTTTGGCACTGTGTATGCAATGAACATATCAATCATGCCCATCTCCACGGATCTCTTACAATTATATTGATCTTCTTGCGTATTTAAAAACAGTAAACTTAGTTTTCAGTTTTACCAAACACCGAAACAGCATGTGGCGATGGTACGAAGATGTACGCTTGTTTCTCCGGTGTGTGGATACCGAAACCTCGGCATACAAGAAATGTCTCCATAAAGATATCCGTCAGCAGAGAATTTAGATCAGCTCACCAAGAACGGAGGGGTCAGGGAGAAATTGCTCATTTCACGGACCAAGATGGCGACCATACGGGAAGCTTGGCGCTACTTTCCCAGGATCCAGTGACTTTAGTTGCAACATGTAGCGCTTGCTGGAGGCCAGGCGTTCAAAAGACATGCCCTGTCGTTCTCACTCTGTCTGTGGCCACAGGTCATGATTTCTTTGTTCATTGCAGCGAGCCTCGTACTTGTTCGTCGACAAAAAACAAGAGTAAAGCTATACGCACTCCGGAGTGCGCTTCGCGCGGAAATGGCTATACGCACTCCTCCGAGAGATCATGCCGCTCGGGCCACCCTTTTCGAACGGCGCGTGAATCACTGGGGCGCTCGTTAACACAGCCCCCCGCCTGCGTTCACGCCGCTTCGCGGCGACAGTATCGGCTGCTAATTACAAAGCGTAACCAGTACACGCCGCTTCGCGGCGTCCAGCCGGCAATCCAAGCCCCGCTGTCCCCGATCGCACCTCCGGAAAGGGAGTCCGATACCATTTAGTTCTGCGAAGTTTCTCGACAACATTCGATTTCTTTTTTTTTTTTTTTTTTTATTGTTCATCGCAAAAAAGGAAATGTCGTAAATATCGCCAAATGTCTCGACAAAACAAAATTGTCGTAAATATCGCCAAATGTCTCGACAAAACAAAATTGTCGTAAATATCGCCAAATGTCTCGACAAAACAAAATGTTCGAGGATCGAACCCGCGTCTACGTGAGTATGAGGCGGACACCCTAACCCCTATGCCATGGCACCGCTTAGGAAACTCGTTGTGTCCACTCTTTTTATACGAGAAAAGCGGAGTGCGTATAGCCATTTCCGTCCGAAGCGCACTCCGGAGTGCGTATAGCTTTACTCAAAAACAATGCGCCCTTTAGGCATTTTCCTCTCCACTTTCTCGAAGGCTTCGTTCGCAAAGTACCAGTGGATTTCCAAAAGCCATAAACAAGGGAAGACAGCCATTGCTAGTACAAGCAGACGACGCCCGCGTCCGGCGTCCGAGCGTGCTCCCTATTCGCGAGGAGCAAAGGACGCTCTTGTTGGCTCTGAGTGGAGGGATGGAGTGGGTAAAGACAAAGGCAGCTAGTCTTTGTGTTCATCCGTTATCCTTCCAATCCGAGCTCGCAGCTGTAACCCGCCGAGCAAGGAGCAGACGAATTTGTTCCCCGCATTGGTTATTTTGGCTCCGAAGAGCTGGGGTGTCATGGCAAAGGAACTCATTCCCGCAAAACGTATTCGCCAAATTGCGGTCGCCTCCGTTGCGTTTCACGTGATTCAACTCCCGTACGGACCGTGGTTTTTGATAGCACGAAATAACGTGTATTGCGGCGTGGGTAGAGGCACGGGTCTGGTTACGTGCAGTAACTGCGCCCATTTTTTTCGTGCAGCATCGAAATGACGTACCCGCTGCTGCTGCGGCGACTGCTTTTCTTGCATACTGTCTCTTCCAAGTGTGCAGTACTGTGCTCCGTGTACAACCCTGATTTAAAAGCGAGTTCACCGCAAACTTCCCTAAGCGCATTCCGACCGCTATGTGAGCAGCCATTTTGTACACTGTTTGCGTCTTGGCCAGTCTTGGCTTCTTGGCGTCCCCAAAGCGATCGAGTGAATTTGTATCTGCCGAAATTTGCACATGTAATCGAATCGTGGCAACAAGCAAGTAAACTTGTGTCATGAGTCTTTTGTTATTTTTTTTATGATTTAACAAGGGACAACATTTGGTGCAAAATTGAAAGGAGGATGTAAACTGTAACACGGCTCAGTAATAGTCAATATGTGTGCCAATAGCCAGCATCCAGCCATTCGGTGTTTACAGTTCGTTGAGTTGCGTTCGAATCTGTTTATTTCTTCCTCGGTTTGTTATGGAATGGTTTGATCGCGAGTTTGACTTTGACCCCATCGTTGCTTTGACCAGTGTTCGAGCGGTTCGCGCTGTTTCCTAAAGACACAATGCCGGGCTGGCCGTGAGCTCGGGTTCGCAGTAGACTCGTAGGCGTGGGCAGCCATCGAAGGGCCGAGAGAGCAGCATGCCGACGGTGATCCTTCTCGATGTGTCGTTGTCCATGTGCCGGCCGGTGCCGGACAGCGCCGAACCCTTGCAGGTGCGGCACCTGGCCGTGCATGGAATCAACGCGTTCCTGGATCACATGGCACAGCACTGCAAGCTCGAGTTCGCAACTCTGGTCAGTGTGCCCCCGCGCGCAAGTCGTCAAATGTGTGGCAAGCGTTCTTTAGCCACAACCTTCACTTCAACCCTTCACTATAGTCACTGACAAAATCAGAACGACAGGACGAGTTCTTCGAGCGCATCTGTCGTCGAGCAAACCCGTGGAGATAACCGTCTCTGCTGTTTTGGCAAGACCGGTATCGGTGCGTCGGCGATAGCCCTCTCCCTCGGCACGGCGCGAAAGCGCGACAGCGTAGGTGGACATCGCAATGCTGTCTACCGCCGGGGAGTATTTGGCGTTGTAGCCGCGCTGTCTATAATGCAAATGAGCACAGTAGAATGTAGAGCCACTAAATCAGCTATTCTTATGGCGAATTCGGGTGTTCTATCGCCTCTCTGCTCTAACCTTCATTCAACAGAGCAACCCCTCCTCTCCTGAGCTGAAATAAATATAGGGTGGTTCAAGTCACCAGGCTCGATCTAAAATGGACCGTAAAAATCGACACCTGCACGTAGCAATCTAAACTTTTCGTCAAAGGTGTATTTCACAGGTCGTTTTTTTCTTGTAAAATTACAAAGCGTTGCTCTCTTTGTGTAAAAAATAAGGCCAAAAAACTTGCCAGGGTCTACGGCGGGCAGTGACGCAGACGACAGGGGTCCAGTAGCGGGGTGTGTTTGGTGTTCGTATTGATAGATAGCGCTACCTCCTTATTGCGACGGCTCGCAACCACCGTGGTTTATTAAAATGAATATAATCTTTTGGAAATGTACCTTTGGTTAAAAAATAAATGCAGACAATAAAAGCAAAACTTAAAAATAAAAAAAAAACGCGTCTGCATAACGACGGCGATTTTGCTGCCAACAGATTTCGTCTGTGCGTCGTCTGCTTTCTTTCGCTGGTCGGCTGCACCTTCGGACGCTGTTCCCCCCGACGCCATCTATCAATACGCACGCAAAACACACCCCGCTACTGGACTGGTCTAGGTCGTCGCCCGCCGTAGACCCTAGCAAGTTTCTTCGCCACATTTTTTTTTTTTTTTTACAGAAAGAGAGCTACGCTTTGTAATTTTACAAGAAAGAACCGACCTGTGAAATGCACCTTTGATGAAAAGTTTAGATTGCTACGTGCAGGCGTCAATTTTTATGGTCCGTTTTATATCGAGCCTGGTGACTTGAGCCAACCTATATATCCTTGCCGCCAGAGCAATTCCGGATCCTTTTCAGCCGATCACAACTGCTGAGCACGGAAGTAAAACTTCGTTACATCGGTTATGGATAAAAGAAATATGTATTTTACAGCGTACGAAAGACAAAAAAATTCACATGTAAAAAAAAGAAAAATATCAGCAGCATGCACATTGATTTTTGCAGTGCAGAACGGAATGAACGCTGGAAATAGTTGTCAACTCATCGCGTTTTTAACAGTGAATGTGATGCAATAGCGGTCATGCGTACGGCCGAAGAGGCAAATATCAAATGGTTAATAAACCACATTTTTTCTTACGGCAGAATATCATGCAAGCATCACCCACAGGACGTAGCATGTATCGCCGTGTGACACAAATCACAGTCTGTTATAGTCGGTTCTCCCTTTCTTTTGCAACACAAACTTTCTAACACGCTTCTACCAAACCTGAATATTCCTAGAAGTGTCCACAAAACCCAATAAAACTGTGGCGAGTTCTGCTAGCTGTTTCTTCATCGGTTAGGCTTAGCAGGTTCACCACTGAGATGAACGATCTCGTAAAAGCACTGGAAATACTTCTCACGTCAACATTTCCTGTCACGGTCAGAAGTGAATGTCATCCCATACTTTGTAATCCTTGCATCGTCGAACGCACAGCACTTTGTAGAATCAGATATCCATCTCGGTCATGCCGGACACCGCAAACCAGCGCAGGCCACCGCCGGCCATCGTCAACAAAACCCCATGATCCCTGTCCATGTACCACGTGGCGCCTGCACCGCTCCGACGACTAGAGAGGAGTGATGGGGAGCGCTTTGAGAGGGAGGGGTGCCCTCAGAAAGAACCAGCCGCCACTGCACTCCCTCTCCACCACCCGATCTCGCTCGCTCTGGAAAGTGTGCACAGAAAGAACCACGTGAATTCACCATTCGAGTATCGACACTCCGTTCCCGAATCTGCTAGTGGGTGCCGCCATCTTGGTGCTTAGAGCAAAGCAAACGAAACTGTCGATTGTCAGAACTAAAAAATGACTTCCTCAGCTTTAGGCACGGCGGTAGGAAGCTCAGATGATGTTGTTTCACTCTGTCGCGAACTGTTCTAACCTTTCTGGAGGACGGAAAAACGTTTCCTGCGATTTTAGATAAAGCTTCAGATAACTGGCAACCATGATTTTAAAAGCATTAAGATGACCGAAGGGTCGTTACTCTGAAGCGTAGCTTATTTAGGGGCTCGAGTAGAATGTATTCCCGGGTCACGCTTCGCCCCGAACACAAGCTTTCTTCCTTCGAGTGGGAAACTGAGGGAGAGGAGGAAATGAGAGTGCTCAGGGTGTCAGAGTGTGAAGCTCCAATTGGAAGAATAGCGGGCCTCTACTGGACGCTTAACCTCATTCGAACGTAAGACGCTGCACGAGGAGCAGACGACTCTCGTGTTCGCTCTGATTAGAGGGAGACAGTGGGTAGAGTCGAAGGCAGCTAGCCTTTGCGCCTGTCCACCAATCAGTCCAGTTGGAGCTCGGCGCTTTGACTTCTCTGTGCACTGTCATCTCCTCCTCCTCGGTTGCTCGGCATATTTGTTTGGGCACAGCAAATGCGTTGTAGGTTAGACATTCCTTTTACTGGTTCATGCATTTTTTCTCGCCATGCCTCGCAGGTGGTGTTCTCATCGCTCTGGGAGGTGGTGGTGCCGTTCACGCGGGACTTCGACAGCATCCGGGCCGCACTTGCCCGCGTGGAGTGCCACGACAAGACCAACTTGGAGGCGGGGCTCGAGGGAGCCAAGCAGGCGCTTCAGGACGAATGGGGACACTCCATGCCTTGCCAGGTATGGCGAGACAGCCGACGGGACGCATTCTGTCGTCCAACGACAGAGGGAGAAGGGAGAGATGACCGGCCGAAATGCGCTCGGCTTTTGTTTGAGACAGAAAAGGGAGACTGCAAACGCACGTCGACGAAGCCAGCTTGCAAGTGTGTGAACGGTCCTTAAATGTGCATGCATTTAAACGGCGGGAAGTTAATGAGCCGCAATGGGTGCATAATGTAGATTTCTCGTCTATCGCCGTAGACGAGAGATGTAGCCGGTGTGGTACTGCCTCTAGCTCGGGGACTTTTGACGTGCCTCATGGAGTAGTGATATGCTAGTGCTCCCGGGTACAATGCTCGTCCAGATTGAAATGGGCTGGGGTGGGAATTTAACCCGGGATGCCGCCCACCCCCCCCCCGTCGGAGCGCAGTTGATTGCAGTCAAACCAGCCTTTAGCCTATGGTGCCTGGGACGAGTCTCCGACTAGTGTGCGTGCCACGCTTTCAAAAGTGGCCTTTCGATTTCCGCCCTATAACGTCGTAAAAGTGTCAGATTGTCGTTGGCCGCAATCTTGAAGGCGTTTTGGGAACAGCGTTAGACATGGCAGACGTCCGTTCTGCCACAGATCGCTGTCCAGCTTGACAATCTGCGGGACTTTCGGCGGCCGGGAGTTGGGATGCCGCAATGACAGCAACACCCGCATTCTCTCGGACCTCTTTCCCCCAAACTTCTACGCCCAACCGCCAGTATCATGACGTCCAACGGCACAACACTCCGATTCCTGTAGCACCATTTGTTGGCATTTCGAGACTGCTTTGAATGCGTGGGTGGGATAGGATGCAGTGTTATTTCTTCTACATGCATTAGATAATTTATTTTCGGAAGATTAGTTTGTGCCTGTCTAAATGATTACTTGTGTTTCCGTGTCAACTTATTCTTTCTATTTTCAGCTGAAACTGTGGACTACCCTCGGGCATTCCTTTATTTCCTCGTTTTTTACCGTTCCTCATTTAGACCCTTCTGCAGCAATGTGCCTGTTTTATATGGGCTCGGGAACTTTGACTGACCATTTTGTTTTCCTCACGTGTGGTTTTGTTTGCTTTGTAGATGATTTGCAAGGCCGTTGGTATTGTTTCTCTTCCTCCCTGCTAGAACCATGTGTGGTTTGCAGTATTTCATTATTAAATAAAAACTAAAAATGAAAGACGTTTACAAATTTCTGTATTGCAAAATTAGAGTGCAGCTCTTGAGGAGGAGGAGGAGGGGAGGGTATGAAGGAAAGGGTATGCCCCTCCACCTCCTCCTCCTCTACCCTCCTCTTCCAGCTACATTTAGATAGAAAAATTGACACCACTTGACCTCAAACGCCAGTTCAGTTTCCCCGCTAAATTTAGCGAGAAAATGACGTCATATGACTTTGTGTCATGTCACCCATGAACAAATTCAGTTTCTCCGCTAGATTTAGCGGGAAAATTAACGTCACGAGACCTCAACAGCAATTTAATTACCCGCTAAATTTAGCGGAGAATTGAATTGGTGTTGAAGTCACGTGACATCAATTTTCTCGCTAAATTTAGCGCGGTTACGCTGGTGCCGCGAAACATGGAAACAGGTGCCTAAGAGCTGCGCTCTAAAACACACCAGCCGTGGACACGTTCCAGGTATTGTACCGGGACGCGCACCCTTGGAAAAGCTTGTGGCGTAAGTCGACAGGCCAATTTCGGTACTCTGCTTTGCACATTTTCATGGACATCGCATCGCCTGGTTTACGGAGAGAGAGAGAGAGAGAAGGGGGTGCCTAGACTTGAGTAAACACGCCTCGGTGGCTCACGCGCTAGCCTTTTAGCTGGCTCCCAGATTTACTTATCCGACAAGCGTAACCTAATCTGGGAGCAAACTAAAGGCTAGCGCATGTATCACTAAGGCGCGTTTACCTAAGCCTTACCGTCCCCACCTCCTCTTTCCCCCCATAAAAACCAGGCAATGTAACATTCATAAAAACGCACCAACCAGAGTGCCAAAATTGGTTCGTTGAATTACTCCCAGAGCTTTTCTGATTATGCTACCAGGACAACACTAAAAATGGGACTGGCAAGATGCGCGTTAGAAAGGAACTCATTTATTTATTTATTTATTAAATATGAGACTCTCAAGACCAAAGCATTACAGAGCGGATAAGGATTTGGGAATATAAATATATTTAAAAGTTGTTATGCAGGCTGAAAACAAGAGTAGTAATAATTAGTTAGGGTAGCCTTAAACAATAAATGTGACGAAACCAGTTTTGTTATTAAGATTGTTAACTGCACATGTCTAATTTCACTGCCAGCACCATGTCTTAAGCCTATTAAAATCTCTGATTGTCACTATAGAAGGGGGAAGGCGGTTTCGATTACAAGAGGTCTAGAGGATGAAAGAACTCTAAAAAGAGGTAGCGTTACACGTAGGTACGTCAACCTTGCAGTTATGATAGAGGCGTGAAGATATGTAAATGGGATCACTAATTAATCGAGCTTTTAGACTGGAATTATCGCAATAGATTTAATGAAATAGATACAGACGAGAGTTTATACGTTGGGTAAAAAGGAGGGTTAACGACAGATTACATTTCGTCAACGTGACATCTGACATACGACGGTAGTGAGAGAGTATGAAGCGTCGCGCTGCTTGGTTTTGAACGGCTTCAGGAGCCAATATAAATATTCATGTGCCAATTTCCGAGACTGAGAATGCATATTTGAGTTTGCTTTGTACTAAAGTTTTATAAAGTAGTAATTGTAAAGAAGATGGGGTTAAAGAAAAATTGTGTCTTTTTTTTCCAAGCATGCGATACTGTTGTTGATAACATACTCGGTGTGATTTACGAATTGCGGGGTCGTCACCAGGTGGTCCTAGTGACGGACGGCTCCCTGGGGGTGGGAGCGGCCTGGCGTGCCCCCCCGGGAGAGTCCCCCCTGGGGCGCCTGCACGTGGTATGCCTGGGCAGCCCCCAGGGCCCTGCCCTGCCCCACTACCAGCGCCTGGTGGACGCGCACGGGGGCGGACGCCTCTGCCTGCCCGAGGGACCCCCCAGCATACGTTCGGTCACACAGGTATTTGAAAGCAGGCCTAGTCCTAACCTGAACTAATACGAGCAGAAGGGGCATGCTTTGCATTTCTCTCTGTTGATCGAATTGTCATGTGCGGAACTAAGTTTTATAAGGAATGCAGCAGATGCTAGCACCTGTCTCGGCCTTTCGAACACATGAAACCGAGTCGGCGTTATCATGTCCTCCTTTCGCACTGTTTTCTTGTTGTATTTAAAGTTTTCACAGCTGGCAAAGCATTCTCGAAGCGTCTCGGAATCAAAGTTATCTTTAGTAAGAATGCAATTCTCCATTAAAACGTCTGCCCTAAGTATGCATGTACAGCGCGTGACATTGTTAGCACGAACGCGACGTTGGCGTTTTTCTGCACATTGCTGCAATGCAATGATGGTGGCTGCCAAACTTTAGAGCTTAAGTTACTGCCCCGAACGAGGACTTTCTGCCATACCAGTTGTTCTTACGGCTGCTGTTCAATTTTGAGAGAAAAACAAAAAACTGGAGATTGTTTATTTGTGCCAACAGTGTTGCATTGCGTAGATGCAACGAGCAATGTGACAATTGACATGTTCAAAACAAAAATGAAAATTTAACATTTTTAACCAAAAATTATGCTATGCATCGTGCGATGCCCGGACGTCACGCACACCGCCCATAGACGGGGTGTCAATCAATCAATCAATCTTGTCGAGCGCGCGTTGTGCAGGCGTTCGAGTCCCTGGCCCAGAGCCTGTATGTGCCGTTCCGTGGGGTGCTGCGCTGCGGACAGCTGTGGTCATGCGTGACGCTGTGCCCGCCTCCCGAGCCGCACCGACGCCCCGGAGACTTCCACTGGAGCACAGCACAGGCGGGGCCCACCATCCAGGTGGGCGGGGCATCCTTGCAACGCGCCCTTTGGCTTCAAGGCAAAATTTCTATAGTCATTACTAGACCCTTTGCGAAAATCCCCAAAGCCCGTGCATGCCGCGTAACGAATAGTGGGAGTCCTCGGTATGCCCCTCCTCCCGCTACCACGTGGCATACATGAGCAGGCGCAGGTTAACACGGCAACTTTTGAGTAGCCGAGTCGGGCGAGCGACAAGCCAACGGCTGCTCCTTTCTCATCCCTCTCCTTTGAACTCTGTCGTCTGCTGTACCAACGCTTTGTCGAACCTGGTCAAAACCTGCCACGGTTGCGGTGCAAACTAAATGGATTCGGTGACACCTTATACGTGAAGGTAAGTTATGGCGAATAACGTATTCAAATAAGTTCACCTGTCGCGATGCTGTTACGCTGCCACAGATACGGTGCGCCGCCAACGACGTGCGACTCGGCCAATGGGCGAGATGGCGGATGGCTGCAACGGCTGCTGGCGGTAGCTGCCAGGATGCGCGCGCAGTCGTTGAGGCGCAACGAGAAAGCGCGTGATCTATATTGAGGGTTCCCGAAATTCCCTGCCGTCGTGGCACTGTACGTTTTGCAACAGGTCTATTTGTCTCGAATTTAGCTCAACACGTTCGTAGACGCATCCGAAGCGGTAACCCAAATTACGAGTCCCAATAATGCTTTTTTTTCACGAAGCTATAGAATGTATAGATTTGGTCAAGAAGCCGAAAGGTTTTACTGACAATGGCGAAAACGTGACGTCGGGTGTTGAAACATAGGGTGCGGTACGGCTTGTTCCCGACGGGTTACGAGAAGCTTGATGGTACAAAATCAATGCTTGGGAAGCTCACGGCAGCAAAATTTAAAAAGACACGAGCAAAATACCGTGTCATTTTAGACTGCCTGCTTGACTTTCAAACTGTGCAACGTGTAACATTAACCCACCGGAGAGCGTAAGAACATTTTAATGTTGGTTTTGGTGTAACCTATATTTTCCGTTTTCTCAATGGCTACCATACTTTCCGGTCTATAAGTTGCAGCTTTGTGCAAGTCTCACTTTGTGCAGTCGGCGGTGTCGCAGCAGCCGCGGACATATGCTGGCACGTTTCGGATAGTCTTTGGACTGCCGGAAGAGCGGGCTGTTGGAGGGTGTTCTGCTGTTGCTCCTTTGTTGTTAAAGCAGATACGGCCTACATCTTGCACAATTAAAGTCAATCTTAAAAAAGAAAAAAAAAGCTATATATCTATAAATAAGTTGCATTATTGCTTGAATTGCATTCAAGGAAATTCGGAGAAAAAACACAATTTATGCACCGGAAAATATGATATTTTTAATTTAGAGATAAAATGAAGCATAATTACGAAAAACTCCGAGACTAGGGTAGAAAAGGGGCATGAGACAAGCAGAGCCGAAAATAAGTAACCTCTTAAATATAGTCTGAACACAAAGAGAGGAATGGACACAAAGAACAGAAAAAGAACACAAAACAAACAGTATACTCCACCACCTACTTTGCCCACGACACGGTTTGTACATGTCACGACCCGACCCAAAAAAACAAATTCTTTGTTCAATTTACACCAGCTCGTTTGCACAGATACTTTTCGTTCATCAGTAGTAGTCTGGGAAGGGTAAAGTTTGGGCATCCCACTGCGTAACTAAAAAAAAGACGCCAAAAGTCCCCTCCACTGCCACCGGCACTGCCGGCGTTTGCCCCTATGCCGACGCGGCCGAAGCCTGCAGTAAGGACCCCTCTGGACCGGCCGCGTGCCACGCCTGCCCCCCAGGTGTGCGGCTTCCTGGACCTTGTGGACGTGGCCAACCCTCCGACGCTCTCGCGCCACCTGGTGCTGCCCGTGCCATCCGCTGCCACAGCTGGCACCGCTCCCGCTGCCTCCCCCGCAGGTGCGTATCCGGACCGGCACACCAAAGCTGGCGTTTTGCAGCCGGCGCCGCCAGCGGTTTTTTATGCATATTGTGCACAACTCGTAGGAAACGAAAGACAATTGTTACACCTCTTTTTTCTTTTGTGTTCGCCGACGGGGCGAGAATGGCAGGGAGGAGCTTCAGTTGTCCCCTCGATACACCTCCATGTCTCGTGCGTCTCAAGCACGCGTTGGAGGCCGGGCATTCGAAAGACGCACCCTGGCATTCTCGCTGTCGGTGACTGTAGCTGGGCGGTGTGCGAATGCTTGGTTGTCGCTGTGCACGTGGAGAGGACGAGGGAAGGGCCTGTTTGCAGCGGAGGAGGGAGCAAAGGCAGAGGCGGAGGAGGAGGAGGGGGCCAACGACGAGGGCAAGCAGCCATCCTTCTGCGTCCTGCTCCATGGCAGCCTCAAGGTGGAAGGCATGGTGGCTCTCTGCCAACTCGGGTGGGTGGCGCACGCCTGCGCAGCCGACTCGTGGGTGGCCACGCCGGTTGCTGGTGCAAGCGAGCCGCCGCACCGAGGTTGGCGGGACGGCGATACCGGCACAGAAACTGCAGCGACGGGAAAAAAAACTCTTAAGAGTCTGTCAGTTTTTTTCTCTCTTTTCTTTGCTTGAGCCACCTTGGTTCTTACAAAAAGTGACACTGATGTGGTCCACATTGGTTCTTACGAAAAGTGACACCGATGTCCTTGAGGTGCACGGTCATACGCTCCCGTCACATGTCATCGAGAGAGGACAAATGGTTGCAACGATCAGCTGTTGAGAGTTGGTGCAGGTGCCTCTTCACTCTTGCTTGTATCTTCCACCTTACTCATGCTATGATCTACTGAAACCAAGCAGACGTCCACAAGTGCACAAAACTAATGTTACTATATCTAATAACTTTAAAAACAAAGCAAATGAAACTCAAATAAAATAAAAGTTGCAAAAAAAAAAAATCCCTCAGCACAAATGGACACAAAAATGGGACTTAGCTGCATACTATGTCAAAATTTAATAGCATTTTAATGTCTCTTTTATGAAGGCGATATTCCTCTAATTAGATCAAGACAAACCTCATTCCCTCATCCGTCTTTCGGTTGTAGCAGAACGAGCCCATCTTGTTTCTGTCACTAACCAAACACTCTTTTGCAGCGTCTTATTGGCACAACGAATACGCTCAGCCTCGGTGGGCCACTGCTCCTCTTCAGTGATGGTTTCTTCAGTCTATAGCCCATTCAGTTGGACCGCATCTGAGCATCTCTTTTTTCCCAATATCACAAAGGAATGATTCTAGGCAGACTCGTCCGGCATTTGTGCTCAGCTCTCGTAGCGCACATAAATTGTTTCCGTGCGCTCCTTCTTCTTTTCATATGTAGTTTCAAGTCAGTGTGCCGTTTTTGACGGTTTCTGAGTCCTGCACTTGGAAGGCAACAAGCTCGTGTCGTTTAAAAGCTCCTCTTGAGTGCTGCTCGACTTCATCAGGTATTCTTACACAAAGGACGCTGTTGGAAACCGTGGAGACCGTCCTCCCGTTCCTATTTGGCCATGTGGCCTTGGTTCGCGTGGCCCCACTTGCAGTGTGTGTGGGCACGTTTGTGTGGGGCTTTCTATTTTTAATGAACGACGCCACCTCCCCCTAGCGAGGGAGAGGGGTGCGCAAGGAGGGAAGCTGAAGAGGGGTTAATCACGTAAAAGCGTTTGTCAGAAGCTGGTGGTCCTTTTCGTTCTCCTTCTACGAGTGCATCTCAGTGCGCAACAGAAGCCTCACTATCGAGGCAGGGCTGTGAACGAGGCATGGCGGTCTGTTGCAGGCCCGAGTGGTACGGGATCCTGTACTCGTGGGCCGACAGCAAGAAGAAGTCAAACCTGATGCTGTCTACCTTCGAGCCTGGTGAGTCGCCCTATCTGCCTCGGGCAAACTGGTTCATAGCTTAGAAGGTATAAAAGTGCCAAAAAGGATCGAGACCCAAAGCAAGACAACACAATGCGCCGTATGTTCTCTTACTTCGTCTTGGTCCTTGTTTTTTAAAGCGCAGCTCTTAGGCGCCCGTTCCCGGCTTGAGCGGCGTCGCCGTCGCCGTCGGCGTCGGCGTAACCGCGCGGTGCATTATGGGTAAATTTCCCCGCTAAATCTAGCGGAAAAATTTCCCCGCTAAATCTAGCGGAAGTTTTCCCCGCTAAATCTAGCGGAAAGATTTCCCCGCTAAATTTAGCGCAAAAAATTTCCCCGCTAAATTTAGCGGAAAAACTTCCCCGCTAAATCTAGCGGAAAAACTTACCCCTCTAAATCTGGCGGAAAAATTTCCCCGCTAAATCTAGCGGAAAAATTTCCCCGCTAAATCTAGCGGAAAAAATTTCCCCGCTAAATCTAGCGGAAAAACTTACCCGCTAAATCTGGCGGAAAAATTTCCCCGCTAAATCTAGCGGAAAAACTTCCCCGCTAGATCTAACGGAAAATTTTCCCCGCTAAATCTAGCGGAAAAATTTCCCCGCTAAATTTAGCGCAAAAAATTTCCCCGCTAAATCTAGCGGAAACATTTACCCGCTAAATCTAGCGGAAAAATTTCCCCGCTAAATCTAGCGGAAAAAATTTCCCGCTAAATCTAGCGAAAAAATTTCCCCGCTAAATCTAGTGGAAAACATTTCCCCGCTGAATCTAGCGGAAAAATGCTGGTCACGTGACCCGGGGGTCGCGTGACCTGGGGAGTCACGTGACACCCCGAGGTCACGTGACCCCCTCCCGAGGTCACGTGACCTCTGAGGGGGCACGTGTTTGCCCCCACGTGACCCCACCAAGGTCACGTGCCCTCAGGGGGGGGGTCACGTGACCTCCCCCCCGAGAACACCTGGCCCTCAGTACCCTCCCCTCCTCCTCCTCAAGAGCTGCGCTCCAATTCGGCGTTACAGGGAGTGGTAAACGGTTTTCACTTTTTTTTCTCTGCACTTTTATACTTTTTCAACTAAGTGGGGTCTCCCCACAGGCCTGGAGACGGTGCCTTGGCTGGGCAACTTCTCCCGACTGGGCCCCCTTGCGGCCGGAGAGGGCCCGTCCCTGCCGGGCTTCCCTGTCAAGCCCAGCGACAAGCACAGCTACTCCCAGAACTCGGTCGTCTGGATACGACAGTCAGACCTGCAGGTGGGCACCTTGTTGGCTCCAGGGAAGTTTGCACTGCCGGTTTTCTTCCTCGTTTGCAAAGTGAACAACGCACACATCTTGTAACACTTTTATAGTTTTGCCTCACCTTCAAATAGACTACAGCTTACAGCTGGGTTTAACCACTGAACTGTTTTTTTTTTTTTTTTTGCAATTTTTTTATCTTAAACTTTTCTTTTATTGCATCTGCAGCCCGGGCTGCACCACGTGTGTTATAATCGGTCGCCATCCTTAAAAATGTATGCAATAAAAAACACCTGTTGCCACCTCTGAGCAGCATTACAATCTAAGAGACCTGAATGAGCCTGGGTCGTCCAAACCAGCCAAGGGGCGAGGTAGGGTGCGCGAACAAGCTACACTTGTCCTAAACGGCTTGAGGACGGCTCTAGATGGACGAACTAGGCTCGTCCAAAATGCTTGAGGGATTATTAGACGTCTTGCAAAGCATGCAGCGGGGCAAAGATGCTGCGGTGGCAAGGAGCATACATGACTTCGCAGGCAGCGTTCTGGGATTTTTGTGAATGGTTTACTTTAGGTCTGTATGTTTCCCGGCTTTCGAGTGGGCAGCTTGTAGCTTTGGCCGTAGCCGGTGGTGAGGCGAGACAAAACATAGTTACAATCGAGACTCCAAAATCATGTCACTGTCGACGTGCCGCGTCAAGACATGCTGCCGTAAAAACTTCAGGAGGTGCAACGACATACGGCGTGTTTCAGGAAAAAGGTTCTGGAGTTTCCTTTGCCACAAAAATTAACCACCGTATATTGCCACGTATGAGTCAATCTTTTCTTTCCAGAAATGAGGGGTGGACGGAAGGACCGATATGTGGGTTCAGGCCGGCACTGTAGCCGAATAGCAAGTCCTAGGGACTTTTCCCTTCATCTAGTACAGATTGTTGAACGCCCAGTCTCTGCCCAAATATAGTGTTAGCGGTCCGGACCAGATGTCGAGGTTTCAGAAATTACCTACTGTTAATTTATTCAAAAGTTACAAGATGTTCTGAACCTTTCCATGGGAAATTGGGGCCTCTTTTCAGTAGGGGAGGCCATTCACCCCCATGTATTTGTGCGCTTTGTCAACTACCATTTTCCCATTCAAAATTTTCGAAAATCGCTTATAAATTTTTAAAAACGAAATGGTTATTTGTGAAACTGGCATCCCGGTCCGGACCGCCAGCACTACATTGGGAGGAGGCTGAGCGTACAGCGATGCATAGTTAATTTTTGCAATTGAAAAATCATTGTCCGTTTTTTTTCGGCGACACATTTTTAACTGCGCTAAGTGTGCTTGCAAGTTTCCTGGGTAACTAAGCTCTCGACTCACACCTAAACTTTTTTTGCCCCTTAGCAAAATCCAGAAACCACATATAGTTGTATGCCTAACTTCGTTCGTTGGGAGTGTTTTACCTTGTCAGAGCCAAAATCGGATAATGAGCGACATGTGCCAGCGCTCCTTGACCGATGACCCTAAGCGATTTTGTGCAAACACAAAATGGCTACGGGCTATCAGCTTTGGCTGCGGTTGTGCGGCTTTGGCTCCCTGCAGTCTTCCACGCATGCACAGCCGAAGCACGGCGGAAGGCGTGAGCATGTGCTGGAGGCTGGGCATTCAAGACACGTTGTGCTGTTCTCACTCTGTCAGCGACCATAGCCACACAGTCTTTTGTTTTGACAGGCTGACATTCAGAAGATCCTCAGGCATGCAAGGAAGCTGCCTGAAAAGACTGCAAACTTCTACAAGGTATGCTCCTTTTCTGCTGGAAGTGTGTGCGTCCTGTGGTTAAAAGTAGCAATCTGGAGCCTTAATAAGCAACTCTGGAGCTGGTCGTTCGCGAGGGGGGCTTTATTCCTCAGCATTCATTTCAAGTATTGCACAAAATGAAACTGGCGAGGTGAAAGCAGACGACGGAGTGTGTTGTCTGCTCTCTGCATCTATCGGGAGATGGTGCCACAACTTACACTAATCGCCAAGTGTGTTGTCTATGAGCACATTTACCATAGACTTTGGCAAGTTTGTCGGTCTCACTTTTCACAAGATGACTATGCCTGGAAATTTTACAAGGTAAAATCCACCACCTAAATGCACATTCGATAGAAGTTCGAGCTTTTTGTGTGCAGGCATCAATTTATCCGGTTTGTTTTACAGCGTAGGAAACACTGTTACCACCCTATATAAAATATATAAGCCCTAGGGCCCATTTAAAACAAGCATAAGGGCATCCCGACGGGAACTGAACCTGCAAGTGATTCTTAGCCAGATGTTGTACCAACAAAGCTAAGTGGCGCAAGTGCTCTGAGAGCAGTGCCTGTGGAAAGAGCAGGTACTTGAGGAGCAGCTATGGAAAGAGCAGGTGTTTGAGGAGCAGCCGGGGAAAGGGCAGGTGCTTAAGGAGCAACAATGGAAAGAGCAGTTGTTGTTCGAGTAGCTGCTGTGGAAAGAGCAGGTGCTTGAGGAGCAGCCCCGGAAAGAGCAGGTCTTCAGGAGCAGCTATGGAAAGAGCAGGTGCTTGAGGAGCAGTCGTGGAAAAATCAGGTAATTGAGGAGCAGCTATGGAAAGAGAAGGTGCCTGAGGAGCGGCTGTGAAAGTGCAGGTGCTCGAGGAGCAGCTGTGGAAAGAGCGGGTGCTTGAAAAGCAGCTATGGAAAGAGCAGGTGCTTGAGCAGCTATCGAAAGAGCAGGTGCTTGAGGAGCAGTCATGGAAAAATCAGGTGATTGAGGAGCAGCTATGGAAGGAGAAGGTGCCTGAGGAGCGGCTGTGAAAGTGCAGGTGCTCGAGGAGCAGCTGTGGAAAGAGCGGGTGCTTGAAAAGAAGCAATGGAAAGAGCAGGTGCTCGAGCGGCTGTGGAAAGAGCAGGTGCTTGAGCAGCTATAGAAAGAGCAGGTGCTTGAGGAGCAGTCATGGAAAAATCAGGTGATTGAGGAGCAGCTATGGAAAGAGAAGGTGCATGAGGAGCGGCTGTGAAAGTGCAGGTGCTCGAGGAGCAGCTGTGGAAAGAGCGGGTGCTTGAAAAGCAGCTATGGAAAGAGCAGGTGCTCGAGCCGCTGTGGAAAGAGCAGGTGCTTGAGCAGCTATAGAAAGAGCAGGTGCTTGAGGAGCAGTCATGGAAAAATCAGGTGATTGAGGAGCAGCTATGGAAAGAGAAGGTGCCTGAGGAGCGGCTGTGAAAGTGCAGGTGCTCGAGGAGCAGCTGTGGAAAGAGCGGGTGCTTGAAAAGCAGCTATGGAAAGAGCAGGTGCTTGAGCAGCTGTGGAAAGAGCAGGTGCTTGAGCAGCTATAGAAAGAGCAGGTGCTTGAGGAGCAGTCATGGAAAAATCAGGTGATTGAGGAGCAGATATGGAAAGAGAAGGTGCCTGAGGAGCGGCTGTGAAAGTGCAGGTGCTCGAGGAGCAGCTGTGGAAAGAGCGGGTGCTTGAAAAGCAGCTATGGAAAGAGCAGGTGCTCGAGCCGCTGTGGAAAGAGCAGGTGCTTGAGGAGCAGTCATGGAAAAATCAGGTGAGTGAGGAGCAGCTATGGAAAGAGAAGGTGCCTGAGGAGCGGCTGTGGAAAGAGCGGGTGCTTGAAAAGCAGCTATGGAAAGAGCAGGTGCTCGAGCAGCTGTGGAGAGAGCAGGTGCTTGAGCAGCTATAGAAAGAGCAGGTGCTTGAGGAGCAGTCATGGAAAAATCAGGTGATTGAGGAGCAGCTATGGAAAGAGAAGGTGCCTGAGGAGCGGCTGTGAAAGTGCAGGGGCTCGAGGAGCAGCTGTGGAAAGAGAAGGTGCCTGAGGAGCGGCTGTGGAAAGAGCGGGTGCTTGAAAAGCAGCTATGTAAAGAGCAGGTGCTCGAGCAGCTGTGGAGAGAGCAGGTGCTTGAGCAGCTATAGAAAGAGCAGGTGCTTGAGGAGCAGTCATGGAAAAATCAGGTGATTGAGGAGCAGCTATGGAAAGAGAAGGTGCCTGAGGAGCGGCTGTGAAAGTGCAGGTGCTCGAGGAGCAGCTGTGGAAAGAGCGGGTGCTTGAAAAGCAGCTATGGAAAGAGCAGGTGCTTGAGCAGCTGTGGAAAGAGCAGGTGCTTGAGGAGCAGTCATGGAAAAATCAGGTGATTGAGGAGCAGCTATGGAAAGAGAAGGTGCCTGAGGAGCGGCTGTGAAAGTGCAGGGGCTCGAGGAGCAGCTATGGAAAGAGAAGGTGCCTGAGGAGCGGCTGTGGAAAGAACGGGTGCTTGAAAAGCAGCTATGGAAAGAGCAGGTGCTCGAGCAGCTGTGGAGAGAGCAGGTGCTTGAGCAGCTATAGAAAGAGCAGGTGCTTGAGGAGCAGTCATGGAAAAATCAGGTGATTGAGGAGCAGCTATGGAAGGAGAAGGTGCCTGAGGAGCAGCTGTGAAGGTGCAGGTGCTCGAGGAGCAGCTGTGGAAAGAGCGGGTGCTTGAAAAGCAGCATGGAAAGAGCAGGTGCTTGAGCAGCTGTGGAAAGAGCAGGTGCTTGAGCAGCTATAGAAAGAGCAGGTGCTTGAGGAGCAGTCATGGAAAAATCAGGTGATTGAGGTGCAGCTAGGGAAAGAGAAGGTGCCTGAGGAGCGGCTGTGAAAGTGCAGGGGCTCGAGGAGCAGCTGTGGAAAGAGCGGGTGCTTGAAAAGCAGCTATGGAAAGAGCAGGTGCTTGAGCAGCTGTGGAAAGAGCAGGTGCTTGAGCAGCTATCGAAAGAGCAGGTGCTTGAGGAGCAGCCATGGAGAAATCAGGTGATTGAGGAGCAGCTATGGAAAGAGAAGGTGCCTGAGGAGCGGCTGTGAAAGTGCAGGTGCTCGAGGAGCAGCTGTGGAAAGAGCGGGTGCTTGAAAAGCAGCTATGGAAAGAGCAGGTGCTTGAGCAGCTGTGGAAAGAGCAGGTGCTTGAGCAGCTATCGAAAGGGCAGGTGCTTGAGGAGCAGTCATGGAAAAATCAGGTGATTGAGGAGCAGCTATGGAAAGAGAAGGTGCCTGAGGAGCGGCTGTGAAAGTGCAGGTGATCGAGGAGCAGCTGTGGAAAGAGCGGGTGCTTGAAAAGCAGCTATGGAAAGAGCAGGTGCTTGAGCAGCTGTGGAAAGAGCAGGTGCTTGAGTAGCTATAGGAAGAGCAGGTGCTTGAGGAGCAGTCATGGAAAAATCAGGTGATTGAGGAGCAGCTATGGAAAGAGAAGGTGCCTGAGGAGCGGCTGTGAAAGTGCAGGTGATCGAGGAGCAGCTGTGGAAAGAGCGGGTGCTTGAAAAGCAGCTATGGAAAGAGCAGGTGCTTGAGCAGTTGTGGAAAGAGCAGGTGCTTGAGCAGCTATAGAAAGAGCAGGTGCTTGAGGAGCAGACATGGAAAAATCAGGTGATTTAGGAGCAGCTATGGAAAGAGAAGGTGCCTGAGGAGCGGCTGTGGAAAGAGCGGGTGCTTGAAAAGCAGCTATGGAAAGAGCAGGTGCTCGAGCAGCTGTGGAGAGAGCAGGTGCTTGAGCAGCTATAGAAAGAGCAGGTGCTTGAGGAGCAGTCATGGAAAAATCAGGTGATTGAGGAGCAGCTATGGAAAGAGAAGGTGCCTGAGGAGCGGCTGTGGAAAGAGCGGGTGCTTGAAAAGCAGCGTGGAAAGAGCAGGTGCTTGAGCAGCTATAGAAAGAGCAGGTGCTTGAGGAGCAGTCATGGAAAAATCAGGTGATTGAGGAGCAGCTATGGAAAGAGAAGGTGCCTGAGGAGCGACTGTGAAAGTGCAGGTGCTCGAGGAGCAGCTGTGGAAAGAGCGGGTGCTTGAAAAGCAGCTATGAAAAGAGCAGGTGCTCGAGCAGCTGTGGAGAGAGCAGGTGCTTGAGCAGCTATAGAAAGAGCAGGTGCTTGAGGAGCAGTCATGGAAAAATCAGGTGATTGAGGAGCAGCTATGGAAAGAGAAGGTGCCTGAGGAGCGGCTGTGAAAGTGCAGGTGCTCGAGGAGCAGCTGTGGAAAGAGCGGGTGCTTGAAAAGAAGCAATGGAAAGAGCAGGTGCTCGAGCCGCTGTGGAAAGAGCAGGTGCTTGAGCAGCTATAGAAAGAGCAGGTGCTTGAGGAGCAGTCATGGAAAAATCAGGTGATTGAGGAGCAGCTATGGAAAGAGAAGGTGCCTGAGGAGCGGCTGTGAAAGTGCAGGTGCTCGAGGAGCAGCTGTGGAAAGAGCGGGTGCTTGAAAAGCAGCTATGGAAAGAGCAGGTGCTTGAGCAGCTGTGGAAAGAGCAGGTGCTTGAGCAGCTATAGAAAGAGCAGGTGCTTGAGGAGCAGTCATGGAAAAATCGGGTGATTGAGGAGCAGCTATGGAAAGAGAAGGTGCATGAGGAGCGGCTGTGAAAGTGCAGGTGCTCGAGGAGCAGCTGTGGAAAGAGCGGGTGCTTGAAAAGCAGCTATGGAAAGAGCAGGTGCTCGAGCCGCTGTGGAAAGAGCAGGTGCTTGAGCAGCTATAGAAAGAGCAGGTGCTTGAGGAGCAGTCATGGAAAAATCAGGTGATTGAGGAGCAGCTATGGAAAGAGAAGGTGCCTGAGGAGCGGCTGTGAAAGTGCAGGTGCTCGAGGAGCAGCTGTGGAAAGAGCGGGTGCTTGAAAAGCAGCTATGGAAAGAGCAGGTGCTTGAGCAGCTGTGGAAAGAGCAGGTGCTTGAGCAGCTATAGAAAGAGCAGGTGCTTGAGGAGCAGTCATGGAAAAATCGGGTGATTGAGGAGCAGCTATGGAAAGAGAAGGTGCATGAGGAGCGGCTGTGAAAGTGCAGGTGCTCGAGGAGCAGCTGTGGAAAGAGCGGGTGCCTGAAAAGCAGCTATGGAAAGAGCAGGTGCTCGAGCCGCTGTGGAAAGAGCGGGTGCTTGAGCAGCTATAGAAAGAGCAGGTGCTTGAGGAGCAGTCATGGAAAAATCAGGTGATTGAGGAGCAGCTATGGAAAGAGAAGGTGCCTGAGGAGCGGCTGTGAAAGTGCAGGTGCTCGAGGAGCGGCTGTGAAAGTGCAGGTGCTCGAGGAGCGGCTGTGGAAAGAGCGGGTGCTTGAAAAGCAGCTATGGAAAGAGCAGGTGCTTGAGCAGCTGTGGAAAGAGCAGGTGCTTGAGCAGCTATAGAAAGAGCAGGTGCTTGAGGAGCAGTCATGGAAAAATCAGGTGATTGAGGAGTAGCTATGGAAAGAGAAGGTGCCTGAGGAGCGGCTGTGAAAGTGCAGGTGCTCGAGGAGCAGCTGTGGAAAGAGTGGGTGCTTGAAAAGCAGCAATGGAAAGAGCAGGTGCTTCAGGAGCAGGTTTGGAAAGAGCTAGTGCTCGAGGAGCAGCTAAGCTCTGCACAGCTTTTTTTTAGGAGAGCAAGCTTTACATTACATCTTGTCGAAAAGTACCTAAAAAAATTACACACACTCAATCATGCCGACAAAGACCAGGGAGCACAAAAGGCGTTTGGCGTAAACCACAGTCACAAACATACACTTTGTACGGGGTTTACGCTCAACACATTTTGTGCTTCCCGGTCTTTGTCAGCATGATCCAGCCGACGTAATTTTTTTGTTAAATGCTTGGATAGGACATTTGTCACAGAATGAACTTTTTTGACGGGTTTAAGTATGGTGCCCGGAACGTGTCTCTGACCAGTCCCTCGATTTCCACCCGACGACATTGCAAAAGTGTCACGTTGCCGGCTGCAACCCTGGCAGTGTTGCAGCAGCGGCGGTGGATGCGGCAGACGACCGTTCTGTAACAGGTCAGTCTCCAGCTGGAGAGTCCTCGGGAACTTAGCTGTGACGACGACAATCCTCCAATTTTCTCATACTTTCTGCCGGAACTTCTTGCACTAACCGCCAAGATCACGACGTCCAACAATACGACACTTCGGCTTCTGCGGCGTCATTTGTTACTATACTTCAGAACAACTTTCGATATACGGTTGGGACAGGTCACCAAACATGCCGATTTAAGACGCTTTCCCGGCTTCGTAGCTCACGGGGCTATGGCACCGCAGGAGCTGAACCGTCTGCGGCGAGCGGCCTTGTCGCTAGGCTTCCACGAGCTGCTGGAGGGCATGGCAACCATCCTGGAGCGAGAGTGCACCCTGCTGCCCGGTTCGGCCCACCCGGATGCTGCCCTGCAGCTCACCCACGCCTCCTCCTTCCTGAGGGGCCCTGGCTGCCGGGACTACGCCGCCTCCCTGCTGCCCCTACGCACCAAGTTCTCTGCCGGGGACTGAGCCCCCAATAAACCCTCCCGCCCCCCTCTCCTCCCTCCCTGCATCGGGATCCACCGCTCGCGCTTTGGACTCCTTCTGCAGGAATCCCAAAGGTGTGCGCAACTACGTTGGACTTTGAGAGCGACACGACACAAAGGTTCAATGGGATTTAGTCACGATCGACGTCGGGAACCACGACCCTGAAGCCTTTTGCGCACGCAGAGCCAAAGTACGGCGGAAGGCATGGAGCACATGCTGGAGGCTGGGCATTCAAAAGACATGTTTGAATAATACACTATTCGATATTTGCTTCGAGAGGAACTGCAATGTTCGTATTTTTCCAAGTGTTATCGTATTTATTCGATTATAAGTTGACCACGAATATACCTAGGTCGATGCCTTTATATTAATCTCGCCGAGAAGTTTAAAGAAATAGTTTGAATATATGTAAACTTTTTTTTTAAAAAACAAAGGAAAGTTTGGGCAAAAGGAACATACTTTAATTTACGGCGCTCTCAGCTAGGTCGCAGCGCGCAATGCCAAAGCTTCATCACCGTCGTCAGAACTTCTGGACACGTCTTCATTGTCGGAAGCTTTATCACCTTCATCGACATCCTCACAAACTTGCAACAATACCTTGCTGACACCGTTGCTATATGGCGACAACAAGAAACGAAAAGTGGAGACGGGCGAAGCCACGAAAGACCTAATACAAAGACGCCAGCGGTAAGGAGCTAAAGTAACCTTCGTATTTTCTTTTGCTGCGCATCCGCGAGGAGGAGGAGAGGGGGCAAGGTGTGTGGCCAAGCGTGGCGCGTCGCGTCCCACTCCCTTCCTTTTCCCCCCTTGCGTTGCGAAACACGTGCGCGAACGGCGCCTGCCGGCCGGCTGCGGACAAGCACGAAACCAAACGCCCAAGGGATGCGCACAAGCGGCGGCCACGGCGGGCTAACGACTGCTGCTATTTCGGTCGTTTTCGTGCACCAAAAGCTGACACAAGAAGCGGCGTGGTGCTATGGCACATACTGGCTCGGTGACTCAATAGCTCCGTGCAGTCGGTAGGGTTGCATTATTTGGTCACGAAAGTAGGTCGAAATTCTCTGGTCACGATTATTGGTTGACCCTTCATTTTTCATTTCGGAAAGAAAAAAGGTTGACTTATATTCAAGTGAATACAGTAAACACGGCGGGTTAGCTTCATTGAGCACGCTTACCGAGCAGGGTTGCACTGCAGAGAAGCAACACCCATGAAAGGAAGCTCCGCGGGTGTTGCTTCTCTGCAGTGCTCAGTAACTCAACGGGGGAACCCGCCGCGATCAACACTTGGAAAAGTATAAATATCGCGATTGCATGCTTGGGAGAGAAGCACACTTTCAAAGCAAGATGATACACGTCTGTGCCTGGTGTATTTTAAAAGAAACAAACTTTTGTGATTGTTGATCTCTACATTGCAGTAAAGGTTTCAAAATTAAACTGTGGCTACTTGCATTCATCATTCGATTTTTTTTTTTTTTAATTTGAGATTGAAAAAACAGTATTTGCCAATAGCAAGGTTTGTAAATCAACTCAATTAGGTATAGCTGGGCATCTCTAGGTTTCATTTTATGTCAGATCTGTTGTTTACTTGCCAACCCAATGCATTTGACTCTCTGAGGTCATAGTGCATAAATATAGGGTAGTTAGATTAAAATTAGCTTACAGAGAAGTGGAAACTTGAAACAACCTTCACAAGTTTAGCCGGGTTTTCGTTTAAGCATAGTACAACAATGGTGAAACGCTCGGAGGAACTATTCAATATTCGCTTCGAACACAATCCACTATTCACACACGACTAACGATTATTATAGGAGCAACCCCATCGTCATTTCTGTGCCACACCCACATACTTAAAAGTAATTATGTCAAAAAACATACTCGTGCTTTTCCCTCCTCTACCCCGCATCTGCAGACAGCACGTCGAAAGCTCCCCACAGTGCAAGAATATTTACGTCTACGTCTCGGCCTGCGCCGCAGAGAAGCCGGCCAGTTTCTTTCCAATGGCGTCTTCGGCTGGTGTGTTCGACGTCCTATCCCGCCTATACATCGAAAGTGGTCCCAAAGTGGCTACAAATGACGTCCCAGAAGCTGGCATGTCACGTCGGATGTCGTGATCCTGCCAGGTGGTGCTAGGGGTCCCGGCAAAAAGTAGAAGCAAACGCGAGTGTCGCCGGTGTTCCAACTCCTCGCTGTGGAAGATTCCGTGGACCGTCGAGTCGCAGAGCGGCCTGCAGCAGAAAGGGGCATCCGCCATATCCACCACTGTTGCTGCGACGCCACCAGGATCGCGGTCGGCGACGACGTGACACTTTTAATGCGAAAGCATCAACTGTCCCATAGAGCGAGCCAACGTCATCAGCCGTGCCAAACGGCAGATAAATTCCCGAAGCCGCGATCTGAGGCATCCCAGCTTTGAAAACACGCAAAAAGGCAATGATATGAAGCCGTCGCGTGTCAGTTTCAATTGGTGCCACCTCATGGCACTACATACCGGCACAGGAGCAGAAACAATCAAGGCACAGAGAGGATCACATGCTGCCGCGGCGCTGAGGCGATCACAAGCGGCCTTGGTGCCGAGGGGATCAGAAGTGGCTGCAGCTCAAAAAATGACATTCATGCTTTCGCATTCACAACTCATAGGAAGCGCTTATGTGTACCTCAAGCCTTTTAGTGACGTCGTTAGGTGGAAATGGAAGGACCACTTTCTAGGGCTGTTACCTTGTTCGTAAGTCACAAGTGATTTTCTGAAACTTTTAACGGGCAAACGCAGCCCCGTTTTCGGTAGTTATCACCATTCAGCCCCGTGCATTCGTCGGCCGCCATTTTACCATAAAAAATTTCCGGAAATTGTTTCTAGCTTTTTAGTAAGATAACATTCGTTGTGAAACTCAGGCATCTGGTTCAGACAGGTCACGCTAGATTTAGGCAGAAACTGAGCGTTCAACAATAGACAGTTTGTTTTTGCGATTGCAAAACCTCTTTTTTTAGATACACCTTGTATAGCACATTCTGCATTAAAACCACATGAATGTGAAAGATCTGCAAAGATGATGCTGTAGTATAAGATTTTTTTTTTTCATGCACTGCACGGCATAGTATAGCAATCTCCATGGATGGAGCAGTGCTCAATGCTCGAAACGTGGTTTCAACCACATTTCTGGCAACAGGAAATCACACCAATGTTAACAGAAATGACTTTATTAGGTTGTCGGGGATATGAGCTGGTTCTATGTATGCTGTCATACTTTGGGTGACAATGGTGCTGTTTTGTGCATCCATTAAGGCTCCAAAGAAACATGCTTCTACTAGACCAGGAATGGAGCGATGCGTTCCGAGCCACAAAACGCGTTGGAATGTTACGTTTGGTTACTAGTCTTCAAAAGTACATCACTTGTACGTATAAGTATGTTTGCACTTTCAAAAACAGCAGGGCAGTTTGGAAGTAGCAACGTAATCCTTCGCGTTGCAATCTCTGGGCCCAAAATGAATGGTACTGTGATATAGGTACATTATAAACGAAAGTTACGAGAAGCTTCATCACGTGCAAGTTTGCAGTAGAGACTGGGGCTCTGATCTCGTGCACTTTATCTCTCGTAGCAGTCGCCCGCATCGCCACTTTCCTGCGAAGCACGTCGAGAGGCAACCGCGGGCCCTGGGAAGCATATTCAGAAATGCTTGTGGAGCGAATCGACGGCACTCTGACCAGCACGTTTTCATGCACGTCGATCACCTGGCTTACCTGGGGGAACAGAGGCAAGGGGGGACTGAAACCTAGGTAAACGTGCCTCGGTGATTTGTGCACCAGCCTTTAGTCCGCTCCCAGATTTGCATACTCAACAAGCGTAAGCAAGTCTGGGAGCCGACTAAAGGCTAAAAAAGAGAGTTAATTGCTAAGGCGTGTTTACCTTAGCCCTCTAAGAACCCCCCCCCCCCTCCTCTTTCTCCACCAAAATTGGCCCGTTGACGTACTCCGCAAGCTTTTCCGAATACGCCACCGAGGTTCAGGTTCAAAACCGTTGTCTGCGCCGGGGGCTCAACACTCTTGTGTGGGTGGGCGGCGCTCCCCTGCCCGGAAGAAGTCTTTCAAGGGCCCCAGCAGGTGGCAGACGACGGGCACGCTCCAGGCTCGGCCCAGCAGCTGCTGACGCCTGCCCAGCGACAGATTCCCCACGTCCGTGTAGTGGCTCGGGAAGCCGAACACCCTGCGCATTGAGGGTGTTCCGCTGGAACACTGCCACACGGTGAACCCACGGCAGGAGAGCAGAATGCACTAAATTATCAGTGGTCTTGAGACAAAGAATAAGAGAGCGGCGGAGAAGCGGCACTGTATCCCTAGGGTGCACAGCGCTCGGTCGTAACCAAGCGCAGGTGCGTGAATTGGCGTTAGGCCCAATCACCCACTCACGTTTTCTTGGGAGCAAGTTCTTGCGATTTACAGAGAGAGAACATGCTCGCGCCATCCATCAGGTGACCCTGGAACTGCATTTTTATAGAATGAAGGTTTTGCACCATTTGTGAGACCAAATGTTCCTACTATCATGAGAAATGGTCATTTGTAACACTCAGCTTTTCAAGTCAAGAAAAAAAATTATTCAGAGAAAATGTGTGGAAACTGCATGTGTTCTCTTGTCATAAGAAATCTTAAGGTATCTTAAAAGGCCCCTGAAAAGAAACATTTTTTTTAACCGTCTGGTTGGGACACACATGTCAAAAAATAAATTTTACGCGAAAAATAAATTTTTTAGAGCTATCTTGACGGCGCGAGATGCGATTTGGTTGGCAGTCACCTCCTTTCCACTTGTTTTCTCTCTCAGCATTTAGGGTGCCTGGAGGAGAGGTGGATCCGCTTCGTTGAGGTGGAAAGAGCGAATGCCCGAGATGGTAATTCTGGAATGTCCCGTGACGTCATGGACTTTGCGCGCTGAATTTTAAATAAATCTCTCGCCTTCAATATTGCTTTAAATTTTTTTTTTTGCGTTAAATTAATTTTTTCTTTTATTCGCGTCTCAAACACATTGTTTAAAAAAAATTTTTCTTTTCAGGGGTTCTTTAAGGCATGCGGTCGTAAGCAGTCACAAGTGTGTGAACCAGCATTTTTAATGTGTGTGATGATGACTATGTGAATGCATGCCGGCACAAGACCGCTGGCAGGAAAACCGACGGGAAACGAGTGATCCAGCAAACCTGATCCACGGGCCTGTCCCGCCCGGGGAAAAAAAAAAAGGGGGTGAAGCTCACCGCTCTAGCTCGGTGATCCAGAGCACGTCGGCTCCCCGTTCCCCGACTTGGATCGGCAGCATGCCTTGCTTGCCCTGCCTCAGAGAGTTGCTCCGTGTGGTCACCGTGCGGATTTTCTCCACCTGCGAGACGCAGTGAGCGCGCAATGAAGTAACTAATTAAAAGAGCCAGAGTATATCGCCACCTATTTCTTGCACCGCCAACTCCTCACTGGTGGAGAAGGTGTCGCGTGTTTACCAATTTGGCTGCTGCGCTTGCAAGGAAGAGGCACTAGGTTTGGAGCGGGATATATTTCTCGCTCATGTGATCACAAAACGTAAATCTTGCGTTGGAGTTTGACGAGCAGGAAGGTTCCTGAACCTTCAGACGTTGCACTTCCCACTTGGACGTGTGTAATTGTGCTCCTTTTAGAATGCAAGCGCAGTTTCAAAGTGGCCGTGGACAAGCAAACAACACAACGATAACAGCGCGTGCGCTTCTGAGAGACTGGAGATACACGACAGTGCCCGCACGGTGAATGGCCACCTCGCGTCATGGCACCCATTAAGTTTCCTGCAGGAGTGAAGTCCGCTTCCTGCAATACTTGTTGGCCAAAATTTGAGATTGTTGCAATTCTCATCTTCACAAGTGAAGCGTAAAGTTTTAACGCCTATAGGAAAGCGGCCATTTCCGAGCTTAGCAAACAGCTTGGATTTGTCCCGGTTCAAAAAACGAAACCGTGTATGCACACTTCGTTTTTTATTTCTATCGTATGACAGTTTCGACTGCTGTCGGTGGTGGGTGCGCCCGCCAACGAGAACTCGGCTGCTCCCATTTCTTGTGCTGTACGGATCCACAAAAAAGACAGCGTCATTTCTATGAAGGGAAGCCAGTACAGGCCCGGAACCGAATCGGTGATCGGGGCTTCACCTCGCTTGAACAAGCGGCCCTTTTGGAAAAAGTGTGCTCCCCCCCCTGCGTCCTCACCAGCGCCTTCCTGTTCAGCAGGGGGTTCAGCACCGAAGACAGGTCGACGCTCCGCTCCAGGATGCAAGGAGGCAGGGCTCTGGGAACAGGGGGCACCCTCAGGCACCGAACAAGTGGCACCCGAAACGCGTCTCGGACTGGCGTGCTTAGTGTCCCATCGGCAGAAATCGAGGAATTGTTTTTTTAGACGCGGTAAATGCACAGTTGGAGACGCTCCTGTTCCAGGCACCATAAAAAAAGGGCCGTAAGGTGCTGCAGCGGCACTTACGAGTACATGCCCGGAACGTTGCCCCAGAAGTAGCGGGCCCGAACTTGCGCCGAGAAGAATCGTGCGTCGAGGAGCGTTGGCTCGCACTGCAAGCGAAAAAGGTCCGTGCGACTCGCAGGTTGTGTCGCCTGCTCGGCATGCGCCACCACGCAAACGTACGCTGCGGCGACTGGACGAGAGGTACCATTGAGAGCGTTTCTTCTATAAAAATGAACTGTTTTTGGAAATCGCCGGTTCGGGAGGTTGTGATATGAAAATGCGCGACTGTGTGCTCGAGCGAGTGCGAGTGATTCCTTGACCAAAGGAGCTGGATCCTGCTGGCTTCACTGAGCTGTGGTGACTTGAGTTGGGCTCTGCTAAAGTCCCTTTTGAGCCTATTGTGGCTCACCATTTTACCCCCAGTTTTGTTGTAATATAATGTGCACAATGTAGTGCACGCACATGTTCCAAATGTGCAAATTAGACATAGCACAACCTCGAGCAAAGTACGACACACGCACCAAAAGTCTCAAAAGTGACCCTTCTCGAGATTGTGTTATGTCTAATCTTCACCAGCTCGTTTGCGCCCAGACTTTCTGCGAACACTCTTTCATCCTGGAAATCCTCAAACTCTCCATGTTTTCCGCCAGGTGGTGCCAGTTATTTTTCAAACAGAATCCTCGAATTATGCACAATGGCACACTGAAACTTACAGAAAGTTCTCCGCAGATGTGGGAATCAGTCTCATGAAATACGGACAATTAACGCTGTCCACCACAGTTCCTCCGGGTCAAGATTTTCCTACTGACCCCCCAGAGGGAGTCTATTTCAAATCTCGACCAGAAGCTTAAAGAAAAGAGGGGAAAAAAAATCAAGACCTCAAGGAAGCGAGAGATGGTCCTCTTGCAGTCGCGAGGCATTGCTGCAACGTTCTCGTACACCCAGAACAGGTGGTGGCCCCTGTTGGCCAGTTGGACTGCTCGGAGGAGGCGGTGGAAGTCGAAGAACAAAGCGCCGCTGCCGCTGCAGTCTGCCAAAAATTTGTGCGGCAACTGTTGTGCCCAGGACGTGCACACTCTATCTACAGACTAAGCATTCTAGAAAATCCAAGACATACGTCCAATTTCCCTATTAAAAACGGAATCAAAGAGTGCTATGCGCCCCATTTTGGTGCGATTGGGCACAGAAACCAAAGGGTGCCGTCGAATGTACGACAGCCAGTTGCGAGTGATCACAGTTCGCAGTTAATTGGCCCCGTCTCAGCGCTTGGAGCAATAACTTACAATTGGCTGCCGCACGTCCGCCGGCACCCTCTCGTTTCTGCGCTGAATCGCAGAAAGACGGCCGTGTTGCAATCTTGGATTCAGTTTTTAACAAGGAAACCGATTGGCTATCAACTTGTTTTTAGAATGCTTAGACGCCATAGATTGGGTAAGGGCCATAACCAGACAACCACAAAAAGCCCTTTAGTGCAACTTTAAGGCTGGTTCACACACTTGCATTTGGTTGCAACTGAGTGCACTGTGCAGCCCTGTGCCCTCTTAAAAGTGATAGAACGCATTGGGACTCTGGTGCAATCTATGAGGTGGCCCTGGAATGTTATATTTCACTAGAGAGACGGTTTTGCAGTATTTGCAAGATGAACATACTATCTATAAGAAATGACTGTTTATAATTAACGTTCACAGAGGTTTTTTAAGCCCATGATGAAAGAATGATGCATGAAAAAAACATACGCGAAAAGTGTTCTGCGGATACCAGATTACGAGGCTTCACACACACTTTTTGAACCAAATGCGAGTGTGTGAACCAGCCTTTACATGAAGTCATGTAACCTGGTCACATGACACTGCGTTGAATTTAGAAGGCAGGTAATGAATTTTATTGGTGGCGGCTCCTCGTGACGTTGCATACCCCGTGTTAAATTGAGAACTGCTAACAAATGTGTGCAGCAGATTACTGCACACCAGATAGCCCTGCTACAAGTGTCGAAAAAAAAGTGTCAAGTTAACGGCCAAGCTTTTCGCTACGCAACTTCTCGAGTAAGAGACAGCCCTAGAATGCCGAGCACTCGGTGGTCAAAGCACAAATGGCCGGGTGGCATGCGTCTTCAACAGCTTGTCATGCAACAACAAATACAGTAATCTCTCGATATAACGAAGTCAACAGGATAACAAAAAAAATTATATAAGCGGTAATTCGATAAAAATGAGAGCCAGAAAAACAGTGCCACCAGCCTTGAAGGTGGACGGGAACACTACAGAACACTGTGACTGTATTTTTAATCAAACAAATCTTTGTTATAAACATCTCGTGGCAGCTTTACCGAGTAAAAATATAATTAACTGGAGTTTGCCGACAATTTCATCTGGGTATCAGTTCTCCTCGACTTGCTCCAGGAATTGCAAGAAGACTGTCACCGCCGCTGCACTCCACTTTGTTTCGAAGCAGCCGTAGGATGTTTTGCGTCTCCGAAGACGTTGGCGTTTCCACGAGGTGCCTCTCTGACGTCGCTTCGTGTTTACCCTGGCCGCATGCAAGGTCTACAATCGCAGCATCCGTGGCGGGAGCAACAATGGGAATGTCCGCAATGACAAGCATGAAAAAATCAATGTTGCCCTCAGTGGCTTTGCCAGCATGTTTTCACACACTCCTGCAGAGACCGCTGTAGCTGTGAAAATTGTGCTCCGGCTCGGCAAGCATGCTTGCAAGAGAAAATCTGATATGCGCGAAGCAGTTGGTGATGTTTCAACTTCAGGTCACGAGTGCACTTTCTTCTGCATGAGAAACTTCTCAAACCCGTCCAATATGCCTTGCTTGTTCTGCAAAATAATGGACAGTGTCGAACAGCCGATGCCGTATTTTGGCGATTTCCGATTCGGGCCGGCCACTTTTCTCAACCTCGGTAAACACTTTCGGTAAACACTCCTAATCTCCCATACGTGTGCGTGTGGTATGCTGCAGGCGCGCCCGCATAGGCGTGTGCGTCGTGGTCTCTTGAAGGGATGATCTCCTCCGGGCTCTATCGCCCCCTTGACCCGATTCCGACAAGAGCCAGGCAGCGTTGGGCGCAGGCGCCGCGAGTAGCATCGGAATGTTGACGGTGCTCCCGCTGCTCCCTGCTGGCATACCTGCGTTGGCCCATCAGCATTGGAAGCAGCGCTCTGTGAGCTCTGCGTGCTCTGACCTCCGTGACCGATTTACTCCGTTTTCCCAGTTTGCTGTTTGCCTCAGTGGGGAGGGGAAGAAAACGCAAGGGTCTCCGTACGCCTCCGAGTAAGCTTGTGTGCTTTCAGCACCTCGGCCTTTGTAATAAGCGTTGTCGGCAACTGATATACTTAGAATAATCGGGTAAAATTATGTGCATTTCGGTCTGGACTGCGTTAAATTTCGATAAAAGTGATAATTCGAAAAAAGTGATTTCGTTAGAGCGAGGGATTACTGTACAAAATGGACACATTATGATGCAACAGCGACAGACGCCCATGTACAGTCTGTCGCAATGCAAGACCTGCGGGAGAAGCTTCGCTTCCAGCACACACTCGTTACTTTCAGTGATGCTTTCACCTTCCGTCGTGCTTTTGCCAGGGACGAGACGTCCGACAGCATGACACGCCGGCTTCTGTCACGTCATTTGTTGCCACTTCGGGACCGCTTTTGATGTATGGGCGGGATAGAACACTAGGCACGCCCGTCGAAGAAGCGTTCCAGACACCATACTTGTATTGCACACGTTGCGGCAGACTACAGGTCGGTACAGGATGCAACAGCATGCCCGCTTCGGAGGCCAGAGCGGCACAGGGAAGCAGCACTGACCGTAGAGGCCCTTCCTGGCAGGGTTCACCAGGGACAGGTCGTTGCAAGGGGACCCTGCCAGAAGCAGGTCCACGGGGCACAGTGCCTGGATCTGGCGAGGGAAGGGCGGCTTCGCTCGCAGTTGGCACGCGGGCAATCGCCAATCGCACCTGCGCATCCGTCACACTTTCCACAGGGCCCAGGTAGCTGATGCCGGTGCCATGCTGGGTGATGCCCACGTTAATGGCACCTTGATCCACCTCGCTGGCGAAGTACGCCTCCACTGCAATGCCAATCTGATCCAGGACAAACCTTCCTACAATAGAGCAGAACGTCTTGTTTTTTGTTCCGGGTTTCAGACGGCAGAGGCATATTCCAAAATCGACCTAACACATGTTAAATACGCGGTTTCCTTTAAGTTAGGGAGTGAACATTTTAGGCTGCATTGTATAAAGTTCAGTGCCCTGCCAGCCTTTACAACTATATCATCCACATGAAAATTCCACGAACAGTCAGCTGATAGCGTGACGTCCAAGTATTTAAATGTAGAGTCCTTACTATTCTTATTTATATAATACTGGGTTTCGATTTTCCTCCTTTTTTTAGTGAAACATAAATTTACACACTTTTTGAGATTTAAAGTCATTTTCCATGTAGAGCACCACATAGTAATGCACTCTAAATTTATTTGTAACTGGGCGGCATCATCTCTGTTACTACTTTTTCTGTACAGTATAGACCACTTACAACGTAACCGCTTATAGTGCAGGACCGGGTATAACGCAACTTTTTTAAACCACCGGTTCGCCTCCCATAGAACTCCATGTAATTACATACCGCTTAAAATGCAGGCGCGCGAAGGGAAATACCGGTTATAGTGCGGTTTTCGGAACAGCCCGGCGACAGCGCCGACCGACCGACGCAGTGAGCACGCTTCCCTGTGCGACCCTAGATAACGAGCCGTAAGCAGCACTCGCGGGGCAAGGAGGTTGCTCGATGAAGCGAAGAGAGGCTTCAGTTGCCATAGCGACGGAGGGACGCACACACGTGTCGTTCACGTGTGTGCGTCCCTCCTGGTCCCTCTGCTGCGCTGGAAAACAACCGCAACGACAGACCAATCGCAGGTCGAAAAGTGTTCGCGCGCGTTGCATGCCGGTCGCGGGCCGGCTGCTTCTATCCGCGAACATGGCGTCGGTTGTGATCGTCGATGTAGACTGCGCAGAAGCTCATCGTTCCGCGTAGAAGCGCTATCCTTGACTGTGAATTTTCATTGTGTGTCGCTATGATAACCCAGCACGTACTAGAAGGGAAGATCCACCTACTCGTGCGGCGATGTTGTGGCGGCACTCTCAAGACGGAAGAAACGCCCGTGTCGTCGTGTTTGTTTACTTGGACTACAGTGGTGCTTTCTAAGCATTTGTATTTTCGAACATCGCCCGGATTTCTCATTTGGAGCATTTCATGCATGTGCTCAAGTTGAAGGTATTACGGGCGCGTACCGTATAAAGGATGCGAATTTTCACGCGTTTTCATTGCCGGAGAAAAGTGATTAGGGTTAGCAATCCTGAACGCTCGCAACGTCCATCTGCAACCCGCGACGCCGTCAAAAGGCTGCGCCAGGCAAAAGTCGCTCATTTCTTTCAAAATGTGTGACACACTTGAGAGAGAAGTGTACTAGTCTGGTGAAATAAAGACTTTCCTCAAACTAAAGGTTTATTTTTCATCTAACATAAAATAAATTCTTTTACAAAGGTAAGTTGTCTGATGGCATGCATTTTGGCTTCAAAAATTGATGTTTTGGTTATAGTGCGGTACCGCTTATAGTGCGGATTTTCGCGACTCCCGCGACATACGTTATATGCGGTCTACACTGTACACCACGCAATCATCGGCAAACGACTGAACACAAGATGAAATAGCCAAGGAAATATCATTGATATATATATATTAAGAACAAAAGCGGTTCTAAGACCGAGCCCTGTAGGACCCCTGATGTAACATTAACGTATGCCACACTTTTACCATTCACTAATACACACTGACAACACTCTAGCAAATAATTTTCTATCAATCTTAGTACCGTCAAGTCTATATTTAACATCATAAGTTTACTGAGCAGAAGTAAAGGCAAAACGGTATTGAAAGCCTTGCAAAAATCTAGGAATATACAATCTGTTTGGCCTCTCCCATCAACATCAGATGACAAGTCATAATAAAATTCGACAAGTTGCGTGGTGCAAGATAAGCTCTTACGGAAACCGTGCTGTTCTTTAAATAATAGATTGTTTTTTGATATATGATTTATTATTTCAGTGTATAAAATATGTTCTATGATCTTGCATGAGATGAAGGTTAATGAAATAGGCCTGTAGCTTTCAACATCTTTCCTAGAACCACCTTTGTGAATAGGAACTATGTGAGCGGTCTTCTAGTCGTTTGGTAAGAGACCCACAGATAGTGACTTTGCATAAATTAAATAAAGACAGAGCAAACGCCATCTTGGCCATTTGCCTTAGTTTCGTCGATACTCTTTATTAGCACTTCAATACCACTCACGCTTAGTTCCACTGGCTACATTATTGCGAAAGTGCTCACGGGTGACAAACAATTAGAGTTGCATTTGGGTAAGAAAACAGATCAAAAGTTATTATTTAAACACAAAGCTTTTTCTGCATCCTTTACAATTACCTGCCGCTTATAGGAAATATTGTTTATTCCTGCAAAATTGGTGCTGCATCCCTTTATATTGCCAAAACACTTCAGGATTTACCTATTCTCATCATTTAGTCTACAAAAATAATTTTCCTTAGCACTTTTTATATTCAACTTGTATTCCCAAGTTACCTCAGCAAGTTTCTCGAAGTGATAGTTACTTTTGGTTTTGTCAAATCTAACAAATGCTCACCTACGTTTTTTAATTAATTATTCCAAGGACGTGAAGCCACCCATGGTTTTTTCTGTTTTTTAAGCATTGTCGAATCTATGCTTGAGATATACTTATTCATAAGGTCAAGTGACTTCTTTTTAAAAACCGACCATGAGGCATGGATATCACAATCCTCGAACAGACACTCAAAAACAGGCAAGTGGTCAAGAAGTTAACCGGAAATACTACAGTAATCACCTTTCTCAAAGAAACAGACTCTCCTTGATGGACACGCCTTCGACCAATTAGTTTCTGTTTTGATGCCTGCAATGACCGCGAGATGATCACTAATACCCAGAATGACGTCTACCAAACTAACGAGATTTGGTGAGCTACAAAAAAAGGGGTCTAGAATACTATTATTCCGAGTTGGCTCTTTCACGTACTGTAACAATCCAAAGGTGTCTGCTATGCTTTTCATTTCAAGGTTGACGTGGCTATTAACCTTGTTTACACAAGTGCCGTCTTGCCAGTCTAGGTCTGGCAAGTTAAAATCTCTCGCTAGCAAAATAGTTTGGCAAGAGGCCTCGGAGACAATATCATACAGTAGCTGCAATGTGCCGAAATCCAAGGTTGGCGGTGAATAAAACGACCCGACAACAGAGGAGGAATGATCAGTTAAAGTGACTGTGCACCAGATTGACCTGACGGCGTCGTGACCAAGATCGAGTACAGATGGCGTTAGTGAAGAATGAACCAGAAAAAAGACCCCTCCACCGAGGCGGGGCCTATCCTTCCGATAAGCAATAAATTCCTTCGGAAATACTTCACTATTGCTGATAGAGGGATTCAGCCAAGATTCTGTCCCAAAACACAATATTAGCCTTGACGGATGCGATTAATCCTGCAAATTCATCCACTTTATTTGCTATACATCTGCAATTTACGACAACAGCAACTAAAACACAACGGACTGTTTTCTTTTTCTTAGTGGGGCGTCAATGTTTCGAGACAGGAACAACTTCCTCTTTTTCTTTGTCCCAAGTGAAAAGCTTACCAGTAACATTTAGTTTGTTAAAGTTTAATTTTTCCTGATTGTCTCTATCTGGCTTTTTATTTTTTGCAAATTCCCACAGTCGCTTGCGGCTGTGGAAATTTTAGGATGGTACGTCCTGTTTTATTTACCTCGGGCCTGCAAGGTGATCTCTGAATAAAGAAAAAAAAAAAAAGATAAAGGCCGGGCTTTGAAACAGACTTCTCCAAAAGCGGGCTTGGAGGAGAAAGGGAAGAGCTTAGTTCGAACCACGGCACCAGAAACGTGTCCAGGGGTTTTCAGCATACGATATCCTGCCCATACAGTAGAGAAGCCTCCAGACCTTGTAAACAACAAAAGCCATTCTAGAGAGCGTTTGGCTCTCAGCCACAAATCTAGGAATCAATGGGAGGGTCTGATCTGCTGAAATGCTCAAACTAGAAAAACAATTTCAATAGGGGCACAGGTGGTAGAGGAAATTTGGTTGCTCGAGGAACTTACAAGGGTGCTCTGGGGACGACCGACCGACTGACCGATCGACCGACTGGATTCGACCCGACCCGACCCGACCCCACCCGACCCCCCTCGAGTTCAAAGGTAATGTGTGTGCCATTGACATTTCCCAATCTCAAAACATTTTTGCTTTTTCTAGTTTCCTCTCAAGCTCAATTTGTCTGCACCACAATGTTGGCTGTACGCTGGGGTAGATCGATATGCTGTGCACCTACAGGGTGAAACAAGGAGACGGCAGGCTCTTTAAATCGACCGCAAAATTTGGTTTCTTAACCTATCACGCTACGACTTTGTGCAGCTTTGCCCACAGATGGTGCATTTTTTTTGTAAAATTTGAAAAGAGCAAACTTACCTGAGGAAAAAGTAAAGAAACAAAAAGGCTTAGCTCCTATGGAAACGCAGCGACGCCACCGATCTTCAAACAACACGGCGCCGTATCGCACGGGAGACAAGAGATGGCGCAAACGGTCGCGACGCCAACTGCCGCCAACGAAGAAGCAGATGACGCCGAGAGCCGGCGTATTTAGCAGACAAGGAACTGCAGTTCCTTGTTGTTACCGCGCCTGTTTTTGTTTCTGCGACTGTCACCGCCTGCGGAACACGCGCCGCTTTTGAGTCGAAAAGATTGTCTGCTAAAGACGCTGGCTCTCGGCGCCGTATGCTCGTCCGTTTGTGGCGTTCGTTGCGCCATCTCTTGTCTCCCATGCGAAATGGCGCCGTGCTCTTTGAAGACCGGTGGCGTCGCTACGTTTTCATAGGAGCTAAGCCTTTTTGTTTCTTTACTTTTTTCTCAGGTAAGTTCGCTCTTTGCAAATGTTACAAAAAAAAATGCACCATCTGTGGGCAACGCTGCACAAAGTCGTAGCGTGATAGGTTAAGAAACCGAATTTTGCGGTCGATTTAAAGAGCCTGCCGTGCGGTCGATTTAAAGAGCCTGCCGTCTCCTTGTTTCACCCTGCAAGATGAAGAGTCCTGTGCCTTCCCCCTTCCCCCCCCCCCCCCCTAAACATCACCACTAGAGGGACGCAGCACCACCACGCTTGCGTCAGCATCACCGCCAGCATGTCATGCAGCATCTGACAAGCGCAAGGCTAGCACGCGGTGATGCCAAGATGGATGGTGTCCGCCACTTTGCGGCAATTCTCGTCGAGCTTCGGCATGTTCACTGCTTGGAGCATGTTAGTGTTTTGCTGACGACGTCGTGCACACGCAACGTCTCGGATGGTATTGGGTAATGGCTCTCGAACGTGGTCTTTAGTGTGCCTAGATTTCAGAGTGTTTTGAAACTGTTCAATGAGGCGTCACGTGGTTTATGGGCTGCGTTTGCGATACAAGCTGAGAGGAGGAAATGGAAGTGTTGGCTGTCAGCCAACGTCTCCACTTTCCTGCCCGCTTTCCTCCTCTCCATGCGACGATGCAGCGCACGCACAATAGCGACCAGTCCACCCGGGAGGCGTCCGACGTTACATTGCAGACGCTCGCCATGGTTTATTAAAGTTGCACCCTCTCTTAAATCTAAGCTCTCTATACTCCGTGTCACTACATGTGCGCAATGCAGGCAAAGGCAATGCCAGGCAAAGAGAGAAAGGGTGAGCACTTTAGGAAGGTGGGACGGGAGAGGAAGGCAATGGAGGGCGACGGGAGAAAGGAAGAGCACTAGAAACGCTAGAAACAGATTTCTTTCCTCTTCCCCAGCCTACCTAGTGCTTGCTCTTTCTCCCCTCACCTGGCATTGCCTTCACCTGTACTGCACACAACTAGTGACAGGGAGTATAGTGCGCATGCACGAGACTTTCGGGCGATCACCTGTGCCGATGCCGTCGAAAAGAGAGAGCACTCTGATGGGCCTGCGCTCCTCCTCCAGCGGCACGGGGGGTGGCGGGCAGCGGGGCCCCGGAGGCCGGAAGAGCTCCAGGAGGCGCTGCTGCCAGTCGGGCCGACAGTGCAGCAGCCCCACCGCACGCCCGGAGCACAGGTAGCACCGCCACGGAGAGGCTGCCAGCACCTGCAGCCACACATTGCACTGCACTGCGATTACGTCCGCGAAGACGACGGCGAGCTATTCACAACTATAGCAAGGCGGACGGCACTACCGATCAGCCAAAACATTATGTCCACCTACCTAATGCCACGTTGATTCACCTTTGACATGCAAAATAGTTGCAAGGGTCGTCTGCTGAGGAGTAACGAACAACTTGGTGAAACTTCATCATCATCATGTCTCTTTATTGTGCCCATAAACGACCAGAAGTCTGTAATGCAGCACTGGTATGTAAAAGTTAAGAAAATAATCATGCACAAATTCCACATGCCAAAATATACATCATGAACTCAAATGAAGAACAGAAATCAATTCGACCAACTTATCTACATCACTAAGTATAAAATAGCACATTATGCAATTGTTTTTTTAATTCAACATAGTTATTGAAAATATCTAAGTTTTCATTTCCAAAATTATTGACAGATATCTGCATTTTAGATAAAGGCGAAGACATTATATAGATTGTTCGGAGTGTCAAAAGTAAAAGACACTTGTATTAAAACGAGCCGGAACATTAAAATTAACTTTGCATAGAAGCTCGGAGTCAATACCATTATAAATTACTCTGTGCAAAAATACTATATCACGCGTCAGCATTCTGGTGGATAAAACTTGAAGCCCTACTGTAGCAAAAAAAAGTTCATAATTATAAAAATGTCTTCTGCCAAAATGAGTATCATAAGCTATGCGTACCAGGCGTCTCTGAACAGACTCTATTTGTGCTTCGTCATGTGCACTAAGAGAATTCGGCGCTATCGAACCAAATTCCAACCTAGACCTGATAAGGGAGCAAAACAGGCGGAGCAAGCAAGCATGACCCACAAAATGCCGAGTCATCATTCCCAGCAATCTAACTGTGGTACAAACAATCTGGCTGACGTGGTAGCTGAACGATGGCGAACTATCAAAATGCACGCCGAGATCACGACTGAGACACTCGTGAAAAAATCTTACCGTCAATCGAATACAAATATGACACAGGTTCCCATTTTCTACCGTACGACAATACCTTAGTTTTTTCAGGATTAATTATTAAAAGATTTGCCATACACCAATCAAGTATACACGGCACATCATTCTAAAGAAACACACAGTCATCCCTCGAACGAATTGTCAAAAAGAGTTTGATGTCGTCAGCAAGTAGCAACGCATTTGAATTAGGTACGCAAGTTTCAATGTCACTGATAAGAATCAGAAATAAAAGTAGCCCTAAATTGGAGCCCTGGGGTACTCTAGACGAGAAAAAAAAGAATCAGAAAAACTGTCTGAAATACGAACGACGTAATGACGCTCGGTCAGACAGCTTTTGAACCAATTTATGAGCACAGGCGAAAATCCGTTCTGCGATAGCTTATGCAAGAGCAAGGCATGATTAACTTTGTCAAATGCCTCGGAGAGACCAAAATAAATGATGTCAACCTGACCACGACCATAGACGTAGGGCGCCGAATAATCGAGAAAGGTATATAGATTAGTCTCAACTGAGCGTCCCTTAGGAAAACCATGCTGAAAGGCGGTAATGCATTGATTAAAATAAAAAGACACTTGTGTGTGCACTAAAATCTCAAATACCTTTGCAAAAGTGCATAGCAGGGCCACAGGGTGATAACTGTTTGCAGCAGAAGTATTAAATTTCCCAGCCTTGTGTACTGGAACAACAACCGACTCCTTCCAAACAAGTGGAAAAACTCCCATACACAAGGAAATATTAAATGTATGTTCTAAGACCGGTGAAAACGCACTCGAACAACGCTTGACAATAAAATTGGGAATCGAATCTATGCCAGTTGATAATTTCGGCTTCAGTTTTTTTATGGCCTCCATCATTTCAAAGACGTCCGAGTAATTGTGATCATTCAAAAATGCACTTTCCGCAGGAACATCCAAAAGAAAGAAACCATTAAAGTGACTTGCAATTATGTTAGCAACCCCTTTAGGGTCAGACAGATATCCTGAATCACTCTTTAAGCTGATACCTTGTCCACTGCCTCTAGTGTGCTCTTTGGCAAATTTCCAAAGTTTATCTGGATTGTGTAACAAAGTATCTTCCACTGTCCTCCAATAAACACGCTCGTTATAAATAAACAACTTTTTCACGAGAGAGCGATAGATGCTAAACCTAGCGTACCATGTTCTTGCTTCGTTGTTCTTGTACATTTTATGACAGTGGGCTTTTTTGCGGATATAGTGATTCAGATCTTTTGAATACCACACAGGGTACTTTTCGGGCTTGGATGGTCGCTGAGGAATAAACTGATCAATTCCATTTTTTACTGCTGCTCTGAACGATTTTGCCACTGAATCAGCTGAAACGGCCTCTAAAATGGGCAACCAGTTATAATCTTCAAAACACCTATAAAGGCTAAAATAGTCACTTTCTTTGAAAGAGTAATACATACAGCTTTCACTATCTGCTGCTTTTAAAGAACCATAAAAAGTGACAGTAAAAGACGGGTGATAGACGTCAGCCTTTATAAGGGGAATTTCGGCCGTTTATCGCTTCCCATCTTTTGCGACTACAAAAAGCATGTTTACTTACCAAGGCCAAGGCTACGCATGAAACGTTTTGGGTCCTTAACGATGCCTTTGGGACTAACTATTTAGTCCGGTCGTTTGTCGTTCATGATGGTCAAAGCTTACGGTTTGACCCTGCTGGACAAAAGAGCAAGGACGGTGCAGATCCGGGTCTCAGTCCTTTCATGCTTTAAAATGTGTTGATCTCACTGGTGACGTGCCCTTCGCATTGTAGCCCATAAGACGTTTACCCCCAAGCTGATGACCATGGTGTGTTTGCTCCGATGTTTCTTTCATGACATTTCGCATGCATGCAACAAACTGTCTATATATAAAAAAAAGTGATGAATCATTTTCCTAAACGACTGCTCGAAAGTAATTCATTACATTACTTAACTGCCAGCCTAGAAAAGTAATTTATTATATTAGTCATTACCTAAAGTAATTTAATTACTGTAATTTCATTACAGTCATTAATGCCATCTCTGATCCTTACTGACCTGCTTTAGGTAGTTCTGCATCTTGCATCCTCCGTATATGTGGAGTGACAAATGGAAGACAGCCCCAGTGTTACCGAAATTGCTTTGAATAGCCCAAGGAAAGAGGCCCATGAAAAAAAACAAAAAAAACATTTAAGGCTGGTTCACACACTCACGTTTGTAACCGGGCACATTGTGCAGTCTTGATATCTTTTACGGGAGAAGACACTGGCGCCATCTATCATGTAGCAGGGGAACACTAGCAACTTCCGTATACCTCCTCACGAGCTTGGAAAACTTTTAGCATCATAAACAACCATTTTTCATAGATGGATGCACATTTGATATCGCAAATACTGCAAAACCAATATGTTTATTCTGTCAATTTCTTCCCTCGTCGTAAGAGAGCACAAAGCTGCACACGACACACGGTTGCAACCTATTGCAGGTGTGTGAACCGGCCTTTACTCTTGTGTGCCAGCATTTCAAATGCTGCGATTAATTTTCGATCGACCACCGCACACGCCATCACAAAAACCCCGGTCGTGGCAAGTGCGCGAGTCAATCGACAAACGAGTTGACTGAGAAAGCGCCTGGGTCCAGCCCTACCTTTTCGAGCTCTTTCCGATGGACCAGCCTCTCGATGCATCCCACGCAGAAGCACCTGAGGGAAGTACCCTCCCAGGAGTGAGTAAGGTGCAACATGCCGTCAATCGGTTCTGCCTGGCCGGCACCTCAACGCCCCGCGACTCAAGGACTATCCCAACAGAACACAGCAAAGGCTGTGCATGGCAAAAAAAAAAAAAAGTGTGCACTTTACGAAAAGCGTAAAAAATCCGGCGTGCACAAAAGTTTTGAGCGAGGACATCAACTACGCAAACAGCATGGCTTTCCTCTTCACCTCATCCCATTCCCTTTCTTGTTTTCGGGAAATTGGAAACTGACAACGACGGCAGAGGCCTTGATGAGAGCCAGCAGAGCATGGATTGGCTGTTCCTACTCGCGTTAACAAGCACGCTCCAAGCTTCTGCCAAAGGATGCAAGTGAGAAAGTAACTTTTCCTTTGGCTAACAAATGTGCCAAAGTGGACTAGAACGAGAAGAAAACTTCCACTTCAGGTACAGCAAATGCTGTGCACGGCATTTGCTGTGTCTTGTTTGGACAGCTATGAAACAGGGTTTGCCGTTTTTTTTCCCTCCGTTCTCACCTGTTGCATGAGCTCACGTCGCAGACGACGAGGTGCCCGGTCCTCCCACAGATGACGCAGTGGTCCTACGAAACAAGCAGATTCCAGCGACATGAGAGGCTGTCTGTCGTAAAAAGAAACATAACAATTGCAAGACTAAAAAAACAAAAATCAAATTTGACGTTTGTGTTTAGACAGTGCAAGGATGGTTTGTCTGAGGTAAAGTGACACTGATTTACGCAGTAGATGAGAAATCTAGCTAGTGCAGTAGCACCGCTTAGTTGGAGTCTTTAACGTGCGCCATGCAGTAGTGATACACAACTGACGCCGGTACAATATACTCCTCCAGATCACAACAGGTAGGGGTTTGGGATCGAATCCGGGATCCATGGGTTCTGCAGCACCAGCTTTCGCTCCATGCGCTCCAATGCAATGCATTACCACACTTGGTACGAGCGCTATCTTGAACAACCGAGCGTCCGACACCTCCCCGATAGCGAGGCTGCAGAGCTATAGATTTTTCACATGGGCCACCGGCGGCGAGTGCGGGGTGCAATTCTAACGTATGCCGCATCAACATTCGGTCGTGGTTTGTATTCAACCAACAAGAACACGAGCCTCAGCCAAACGTTGATGCAGCAATCGTGTCTAATCTGGTTCCTGTGCCGACCTCGACTAGGTGATGCAAAATATTCGGCACAATGGCCCCGTTGTCTAGGAGCCGTTGGTCCTGCCTCCACACCTGCCAGGGTAGGCTCGAAGGAGGTATGAGAATAAAGTGCAAAGCGTACGTCTGCCTGCCATCCCACAAACAGGTTTGGGTGCACCCGACGATTTAACGCTTTCCTTTGCCATTTGGCGATCCTGACCTCAAACCCTCTTAAGCTGCACACGCACACCTCTACGACAAAATTACTAGCTGGCAAGCCTCAATGCCTGTGCTGCAAATTGCCACCTCGAAAAAATACAAAATGTCCTCCCAAAAATAGTACTTATTTTTTCTTTTCGTTTTTTACTTTTAAATTAAACTATATGTTACCAAATACTTGGTCTCTGCTCAAATCTAGCACTTGCAGTTTCAGCTGACTGCCAAAGTTTTAGAGGCAGCTGTTAGCTGGTTCAAAGGTTATAAGCAATTTTTGGAAAGTTTCAATGGAAAAACTGCGGCCGTCGAAGCCCACGAATACGTAGAGCTGAATGGTGTAAACTACCCGGGAGGGGCCCCATTTTCCAATTCAAACTTTCAGAAAATCACTTACTACAACTTTTGAACAGTTAGTTATAAAATTTTGGCAACTGGTTCGGACAACTAGCGCCCCATTTGGGTAGAGACTGAGCATTTGGCGATGCTATAGCCTATTCCTGCTGTGACAAAGACACTAAATATTTCTCGAAGGCACGCCGTAGATCCAAGTGGGAGGCACAAAGAAGAGCGGTTCGAATTCCGGCCGTCGGCGACTTCTGAGCCGTGCTCTCACATAGGTGCCGTCGTCCTGGCATGAGAAGAAGGTCTCCAGGAGGCAGCCCCTACAGTCGGCGCAGACAGCACCCTCCACCAGGGGGTGCTTGCTGGCCGCAACGCCTGGCACCGATCCGCAAGCCACGCACACCTCTGCGAGAGCAACCGGAGCCACGGCCCGCCCGGCCGGCATTGGGCTAGATAGAAACGGGGAGGGCACCGTGTGCCACTGCAAGTGGCCTCGGTACCTCGAATTACAGTGCCTGGAATGCATCTCCTACTGGTCCGTTTACCGTATCCTAAAAGGTGGTCTCTCGATTTCAGACCGAGGACACGGTGTCGCGCTGTCACCAGTCACTATCCTGAAGGTGTTAGAGCGGCGGCGGTGGACGTGTCTGGTGCCTGTTCTGCTCCAGGCTGCTCTCCAGATCAACAGCCCACGGAAACTTAGGCAGCCAGGAGTTAGGACTCCGCAACGATGGCGACACTTATGTTCGTATTTTGTTTTGCAACTTCTACGCTTAGTCGCTAGAATCAAAACATCCAGCAGCGTGACGCTCTGGCTTCTGTGACGTCATTTGTTGCAGCTCCGGGACCACTTTTGATGCATGGGCAGAATAGTATTTACTCGAATGTAACGCGAGTTTTTTTTTCAAATTTCCCTTACCTAATTTGGGGGTTCGCGTCATAATCGAAACGCTTCAAAATTTGCCTTGGCGGTGTCGCAGCACAGGCTCTTTAAAATGGCTACGACAAATCTCGGGATCTTTCAATCTTGTGCTGACAACATATACACGCTGGAAACAGCCTATCCAATACTATTCTTGTTTGCAACTCGTTGCGCCCTTGTTAGGGTTACGGGTTACCTTCACAACGCTTTCTCTTTCCGTTAGGATTACTGTACCCATGTGCCCGTGTTGTCCGTTTTTTGTGAGCTGCTGCTACGTGCTTCCGCAACTGGACTCGAGCAAATGGCGACGCGACGAGCTCAGTACGACGCCCGCTTTAAAAGAAGTGCAATTATGATGGCTGAGGAAATCGGAAACTCTGCCGCGGCTCGACGGGTAGATGTGACAGAATCGACTATCCGTGGGTGGAGGCTCCAGTGTGAAGTGCTCTTGAAGTGTAAACCCAGCCGAAAAGGCTTCTGCGGACCACATTGTAGTACCTTTTAAAGTACTTTTTTTCCCTCACTGAACTCGCGTTACATTCGTGTTTTTTTTTTGCTCTGTGAAAAGTCGCCCCTTGCTTTACAATCGTGGTCGCATTACATTCGAGTAAATACGGTATTTGTCTAAAATAACTGATTGGTGTACATCATGGCAAATGACCCTGAACATGCGAAAAACCGTATGCACGACCATTACTAACGAGAGACAGCCTTTGGGGTTCAGCTACACCATTCAGGGGGTTACGTTAACAAATGTCACGGATTATAAGTACCTTGGAGTAACTATAACTTCAGACCTTAAATGGACACACATAGAAAATGTTGTTGATAAAGCAAACAAAAGACTAGGGTTGATCCGGCGCACGCTCAAACTTGCGTCACAGGAAACTAAGCTGATTGCATACAAGATGTTAGTGCGCCCCATTTTAGAATACGCATGCGAAGTGTGGGATCCACATGTAAAAAAATTGCAGTTAAAACTAGAAAGTGTTCACCGACGGGCAGTGCGTTTTGTGTGCTTGCGGTACCGAAGGCAGGAATCTGTGTTCCCTCTTTACGGCGAAGCCAATTTACCGTCGCTCCAACTTCACAGGAAACAGAAAAGGCTAACTCTTTTTTACAGAATTATAAACAACTTACTACTGATCGACAAGAATCGATATATCAGTGAAGATAAGATGCAAATAATGAGGAACAAGCACGGAAGGCACATGAAAGAACAAAGGTTTGGTAAGGATTGTTTGAAATATGAAATTTTCTTGCAGACTGCACGAGATTGGAACCAGTTACCGGAAAGCATTGTAGGTGCATGTAGCCGGGGGGAGTTCGCACCTCTTATTTCAACATTTTACATTGCATGGGCTGACTTTGTTGTATTCTATTGTGGATGTTGCCCATAGTTTCATGTGTGCATCGTGTTTGTTCCGGTGCAAGGTAGCGTGAACTGGGTTTGTATGTGCTTGATGACTGATTCTTGGGCTGTAGTTACTTTATTGTGTTAAATTTACTCATGTCTTCTATTCCTATGCATTCCCTTACCATTCCTATGGTAAGGGACAGATAGTATTTTCAAATAAATAAATAAAAAAGGAACTGCAAAGCAGACGAAATCAGTACCCCGAAAAAAAAACAGTCAAAATATCCCGACAAACCATTTTTTTAATTGATTATCTGTCCATTCAATATGTTTGATTAGTAAGGATGATAAAATAATGCATTGGAAACTGATATCAGAAAAGCTCGCGCCACTTTTGAGTTGAAAATATTGTCTGCTAAAGACGCCGGCTCTCAGAGCTGTATGCTCGTTCGTTGGCGACAGTTGGCATCGCGACCGCTTGCACCATCTCTTGTCTCCCGTGCAAAGCGGCGCCGCATTGTTTGAAGACTGGTGGCTTCGCTGCGTTTCCATAGGAGCAATTGAAACACCCAGCAGTAACGTTGGAGACCAGTGGACCAACCAGACACCAAGTCCATGCAACTAAGCACTTTGCGTATGATGTTCCTATCGTCGGCGGCTCTTCATGTGCACCATACAACCATTAATTAAATCTTTCAGTACCACTCTCAGGATACGTCGCACCCCCCCTCCCCACTACTCCCGTGTATACATGTTTTGCGATTTAAGCTCACTCCCAAGGCAATTAGCGTAAAAAAAAACTATTGCGGGCTTGTCGCACCATATATGGAGAGGTCACAAAATAAATGCGTAAAACTTGCATGTTCATTTGGCAACAAGTGGGGCACATGTTCCTTCATCCGCTCTGTCGCTTTGTCTCGGCGGCGCAGCCATCGCACATCACAGTGGTAAGTGCGTCCGCTCTTTGACGGATGAAACAATTTATGAAATTTTGATGAATTCTGAGACCGATGAAAATGATAACAATAAAGCAGCTTATCTGAGTGGCTTGTTTACACGGAATGTCGTGGATATAACTGTTGAGCAGATAAACCTTCTCCAGTGCCAAATACTTGCTGTGGTTACGTTGGCTGGCCGATCCCGCATACAGCAGTGGAAGACGCAACTGCACGTGAATTACTGTAAACGACTTTAATTTCGCGAGGACCTAAGTTTAGCAAGTTTAGCAGATCACCTACAATTCGCGAAAAATAGGTCCCACAAACAATTCTGGTAAAAAGTAAACACATTGATATTGAGATCCCACCGCGTCGCGAAAATTAGAACCCGCAAATTATTCCAAAACTTCAGCTTTGATCTAAATGGCGAAATATTGAGCCCGCAAAAAATAAGTTGTTTACAGTATACGTATTTCTGCTTCTAATGGTGATGGCGCATGCAAAGAAGAGTACCACTGCCGATCGTTACTAGCATAAAATGTCCGCTGAACCAACATGCAGAGAGCAGTCAGAGAAAAACCCGGCAGTGAAAAGGATAAAGGGACGTGGTAAAAACATTTGGTCTTCCGTTCTTTGTGGCGATATACAATGCCCTTGGTGCGCGCTCCTCCACAAGAATGAAGCTCAATGCAATCTATCTCCCCAATGATAAATCTGAGGCTCGGAAAAACAAAAAACCGGACAACCAGACACATCAGGACACTGCTGATTTGACTTTACAACGTTATAGTTACACAGCAGGAGTATATTTCTTATGTTAGCTGTGCTTTTTGTTGGGGGCCATGCAGGGAAGCTGTATGCCTGTTTCTTTGTTAACCATTTTGGAAGGAGGTGTTGATAACCTTCGGAGAGGGTGGACGACATGCATAAATATGACGTTTAAAAACAGTAGCCGTGTTTTGAGATGTGTGTGGTTGTCCATTCATATTTTTATTTTTCCCAGTCCCCAGTTCATCAAAATAGGGTTAGTTCACCAGCTTGCCAGTGCTCTTTCTTCCCTTTCACTGGCGATTTACGTGTGCGACTGCACTTCCTTGCAATTCCAAGCGGGCAACTCGAACGAGGTGCAGTCGGCTTACCCTCGATGCGCCCTCTGCCCCTCCGCAGGTCCTCAAGAGCACCTCCTGGCGGCGTGAGTGGTGGTGAGTGACCGATCCCGGCAGCCCACCTGCTGCTTGCCTCACCCTCTCCACTCCCCGCCTCGACGCGTGGGAAAGCCCTCTGCACACGTCCCGCTTCTTCCCGCTGCCTCCTCAGTCGCTCCAGGTGGACCCCGACTCTCTCTGAAACTGTGGCAAAACGGTGATTTTGAGAACCGTACTACGCAATGTTTGAACGCAGAATGTGCGATCCCCGCGGAAGGTGCGACGCATGTGTGCGTCGGAAACCTTTACGAAATGTTTAACACTTGCTTTAGAGGACAACCTGTATGAAAGAGCACATAAAAAAATAATAGTGATTGCCCCTAAAGAAGGCCGCAGAAGCACACTTTGTGTATACTGACTTCATTTGCAGGGGAAATGATTTTTTTTTTCCTTGTGTTTGGTGCCTCGCAAATACGAGGCTTCTATTTCCCATTTTGGTTTGTACAAAAGGAAGAAACCAGAACAAACAGCTACCGTCGCAGGTTGACCTCATCAATCTTGATTTGTCGAAAACCCGAAAATGAAAATCCATACACGAGTGCATCTGTTCACATTACTGCACTAATAGATACTTGCAGAAACTAGAAGAAAAACACAAGCACAAACAATTTCGAATTTATACACGACACTGCTCACTGCATGCAACATGTGGAAAATTGTAATACAACATTAGTTAAACATTTTATTTGATCTCCCAAAGATATTCACGGATTGGTGGCACTGCAAACGCCAATGGCAAATTTGTGTGGCACCAAATTGAGTATAGGATGGCAATGTGTTAGTTAAAATGGCAATACTACATAAATCCCTCATTAACATGAAACTTGGCTACCTCGAAATATTGGTTAAGTCAAAAGATTTTCTTGTTATGAAATGAACTCCCAACGGCAAAATGTTATTATTTTTTATTTATTCAGTTTCCTACATTGCCCTTACCAGGCATCATTGTAAGGGGGGCAGAAACAAAAAACAAAACAAAACAAAAAAATATATATATAAAGTATACATCTAAAATATGCGTGCGATTCCGAAAAAATTCCAATGACATCAGGTATGAAAATGACATACCAGAAAATTTGCAACAAAATAAGAAACAACCAATTGGCAAGTACTGATGGCTTACCAAATCTTGCCAACACATATTGCAAATATGGCAAAAAAAAAAAAAAAGACCAGGCAGGGCACTGCAAACAATGAACATGGTAGCCCAAACATTGGTTGACAAAGAAACCAATCATCCAAACAAAATCACACACACAAAAAAAAAATCGGGATGGTAAAAAAAAATAAAAAAATGGGTGCAATTGGCACTTGGCTTATTTCAAAACCGCTTATCTCGAATTCTTTTCTAGTAGTTATGACTTCTAGTTAAGAACGGTTTACTGTAATAAACATTGCCATCTATACTCAATTTGCCAAGTCATTGGACTGTAAATCTGAGTTCTCTTACACGTGCATTATTACGTAATATTATCGTTATCATTGCTGTTCTTAACCATTTTCTTTGTAAAACCCATATTACAATTAATACATTGTAATTAATTTTTCTAAGGGGGCACATCAAGTCATATTTTTGGTCGATCTCTGTCTGTGCTGCAGACATCCTGTTATAGTGACGTTGAATATACTGGGTGACCCAAGGAGCAGCCAGGCTCTTTAAATCGACCGCAAAAATCTATTTCTTAACCTATTGCGCTAAGATTTTGTGCAGCGTTGCCCACAGATGGTGCATTTTTTTTGTAAAATTTGCAAATAGCAAACTTACCCGAGGAAAAAGTAAAGAAAAAAAAAAGCTTAGCTCCTATGGAAACGCAGCGAAGCCACTGGTTTTCAAACAATATGGCGGTGCTACGCACGGGAGACAAGAGATGGCGCAAGCGGTCACGATGCCGACTGCCAGCAACAAACGAGCATACGGCACTGAGAGCCGGCGTCTTCAGCAGACGATCGTTTCAACACAAAAGCGGCGCGCGTTCCACAGGTGGCGACAGTCGCAGAAACAAAAACAGGCGCAGTCACAACAAGGAACTGCAAGGCAGACGACATCAGTACCCCAAAAAAAACAGTCAAAATATCCCAACAAACCATTTTTTCAATCGATTATGTGTCCATCCAATATGTTTTATTAGTAAGGATGATAAAATAATGCATTGGCAACTGATATCAAAAAAGCTCGCACCGCTTTGAGTCGAAAATATCGTCTGCTAAAGACGCTGGCTCTCAGCGCCGTATGCTCGTTCGTTGGAGGCAGTTGGCATTGTGACCGCTTGCGCCATCTCTTGTCTCCCGTGTGAAGTGGTGCCGTATTGTTTGAAGACCGTTGGCTTCACTGCATCTCCATAGAAGCTAAGCCTTTTTCTTTCTTTTTCCTCAAGTAAATTTGCTTTTTGCAAAATTAAAAAAAAAAAAGAAAATATACTATCTGTGGACAACGCTGCACAAAATCGTAGCACGATAGGTTAAGAAACCGAATTTTGCGATCGATTTAAAGAGCCTGGCCGCTCCTTGGGTCACCCAGTGGATATGATTTGATATGATTTATTCACATTTAAATGACGTGATTTGAAGAGCTCAGCTTCAAGTTGAGCAAATAACTACACTACTTAAAAGCCTCGAGAATGTCACGCTGTGGTTAGCACAGCTGCCATACGTGTCTGCAAAATGGTCCGTTTTAGAGCGCAGCTCTTAGGGGCCCGTTTCCGGCTTGAGCGGCGTCGCCGTCGCCGTCGCCGTCGCCGTCGGCGTAACCGCGCGGTGCATTATGGGTAAAATTCCCCGCTAAATCTAGCGGAAAAATTTCCCCGCTAAATTCGAAAATATTCCCCGCTAAATTTAGCGGAAAAATTTCCCCGCTAAATCTAGCGGAAAATTTTCCCCGCTAGATTTAGCGGAAAAAATTCCCCGCTAAATCTAGCGGAAAAATTTCCCCGCTAAATCTAGCGGAAAAATTTCCCCGCTAAATCTAGCGGAAAAATTTCCCCGCTAAATCTAGCGGGAAAATTTTCCCCGCTAGATTTAGCGGAAAAAATTCCCCGCTAGATTTAGCGGGGAAATTTTTCCGCTAGAGGAATTTTTTCCGCTAGATTTAGCGTGGAATTTTTTCAGCTAAATCTAGCGGAAAAATTTTCCGCTAGATTTAGCGGGGAAAATTTCCGCTAGATTTAGCGGGGAAAATTTTCCGCTAAATTTAGCGGGGAATTTTTTCCGCTAAATCTAGCGGGGAAAATTTTCCCGCTAGATTTAGCGGGGAAATTTTTCCGCTAGATTTAGCGGGGAAATTTTTCCGCTAGATTTAGCGGGGAAATTTTTCCGCTAGATTTAGCGGGGAATTTTTTCCGCTAAATCTAGCGGGGAAAATTTTCCGCTAGATTTAGCGGGGAAATTTTTCCGCTAAATTTAGCGGGGAATATTTTCGAATTTAGCGGGGAAATTTTTCCGCTAGATTTAGCGGGGAAATTTTCCCCGCTAAATCTAGCGGAAAATTTTCCCCGCTAAATCTAGCGGAAAAATTTTTCTGAGGGGTCACGTGACCCCCCAAGGCCACATGACCCCCCCCCCCCCCCCCCCGCCCCGACAACAGGTAACCCTCTGTACCCTTCCCTCCTCCTCCTCAAGAGCTGCGCTCCAATTCGGTGTTACAGGGAGTTGTAAACGGCTTTCATTTTTTTGCTTAGCGACTTAACGGTGGAATTGCGGTACTTTAGGGGAGGATATAATATGTTTTCTTTCGGTTGTGATACGATCGGCTAGAAAGGGAGGTATGACTATCGCACGGCCCTTGGCCGTGCGATCCTGTGGTTCATTCCTGTAAAGTACGCAGCTTACCTAAAATCCTGTAAGGGCGCCCTTCCTTGAGAGACCGCCCATTCCGTTTTTCTGGGTAAATATCCGTAACACAAGAATTCGGAAACATCGCCCAGCCCCCGATTCCTGTTGGACATCACACGACGCCCGACGGGGATAGTATCAACTGTGCGATATGCAGTACCGGTACGTGTGTGACAAGGGAGTCTGCAACAAGTTCCCGGATTTTTGTCCGCAACCTGTGCAGACAGAAACGGTGAGAGCGTGAGACTGCTCTCGCCCGCTAGGGGTGAGCAACAGCCACTCCTCCCCTTCTAGATCACCATGGCTGTGCCAAGATAAAGAACCCAATTAAAATAACAAGCTGCAAATTCTTTTAACATTAAAATCATATTCATGACCCCTTTAGGCCCTCACTATTATCAATTCAACCTAAATTTGGGATACAGATTCCCAGAGTCTGCATGATATCTTATTATACGCTCCGTGCAGAAACTATAGGGGCACCTTGAAAAACGCGCGTAGCGCCGCTAGCGGAGGAGATGGCGTTCGACAGTGAGGCGCGTTCAGCAGCCTGCGGCGCCTTTTCGCATGCCAAGCTGTGGCGGCGGAAGCGCGCACGGACGGAACTTTTGTTTTTTTGAGCCGATACGTTGAGGGCGACGTTGCATGAGTGCTGGGGCAGACCTAAGAAGGGCATTTAGCTGTTCTCCACTTCTTATTATATATTGAGTTTGAGTCAGTTGCGGCCGAAAAAGGAGTTGGAGCAATTTTGCGAAAAGCAAGACGACCGCCACCATAAATGCTCTAAGTTAGAAATTTATTTCGCTCGTCGCTGTAAACGTAAGACTGCTGGAACGATGATATTTGGAGGCAAGTGAGACGTTCGCTAAGTTTGTGCACAAAGTGTGCCAAGTTTCATTAAGACAGCAGGTGTGAAAGTTAAGTTTCTAACGAATAAAGAAATAAAGCTGTACGGGCTATCCAATATTGGACTCAAAATGTTGTGTTATAACCGGGCTTTGCGAAGTGCAGATTGGGGTACACATGTGCTTGGATTTGACAGTAACATGACAGAGCACTTATTATACCAAAAAGAGGTGGCATAGGGAAACCAGGTGGAAATTTGGTTTGGGCGGCGTAACTCAATGGGAACTGGTTTTGACCATGAAAGGGCTCTCAAGAGAATACCACTCGTGGGTGGTGCACACTTTACAGATAGGAAGGGACCAGTGTATGGTACTTCCAGTTCGAAAAACTTTGCGATAGGTGGCTCTAAAGCCGGGAGAGAGAAAAAAAATGTTTTCTACAGAACTCGGGGTGTCAGCGTTTCCACATCCAAAAGGAGGCTGATCAAAAAAGAAAGCACACCATATAAACTTCCATACTCAAACGTCGATTCTCCAGTGATTCCGAGTTTCATTTAGTTTTCCTTAGATTCATATTTGTCACTTTTTTCTTTACCGTTCGAATCTTTCTTCATGAAGTACAGATTGCATGCCATACTTGTCCGGAAATATCACCGACACGTGCGATGGGGACGAAAATTCCTTGGAGGGCATTCCTCCAACGAAATTGGCACTCCATACCCGCGAGTGTGGGATGGCATTTCAATTCGTCCCATCGGTGCTAACACATGTAGGCGTTATGGTACGAAAACAAACGCGGAGCACAAAGCGGCAGTGTAGAATATGTCAGTCGTGCCGATACAGTGGCAGACATGATCGGGAGGCCGAATTTCTCGCGTCATACGGCACGGGTCCATCGTTGTCGCTGTCCCACAAAACATCGGCGAGGTGAAAAACTGTGAAACTTTGTCCCCACGAGATACGACGCATAATTATTGAAGTACTTAACGATGCAGCACCAACATCACTTCATGCTGTGAACCCAGTGCAATCGCACCGCTCCGACTTCAGCGCGTGCCAATGTACGCGGCGTGGTTTCAGTTTCGTTTCTCTGGGGCTCCCACTGCCTACCTTCGGTACCGGCCGCGCAGCGGCGCGCCAGTCGTGTCGCACGGAGTGTATACACGCGAGTTTTTCCAACCATCAATAACTATCATGTCTAATTATAGTAGTGAAATACTAAAAGCTAACTTCTTGGCATATCATAGGTACAAGCACTGGAAATATGAGCAGGCACAGTACAAATGCACTCAGTGCATCAAGCTGTTATAAGGGCGGTTGAGATGGACTGCCACATCGCCTACGGTCACAGTGTGACCGCAAGTTCTACGGCCTAGCATCCTAGAGGCATCCCGTGCGGCATTTCACCCTCTTTGTTTGGCACTCCACCGTCTCAGCTTATGTTGCTGCTCACATTATCGTTATTCTGTAGGGACACAGCAAATCTTCTACATACTCCACCGTGGCAAGGTACGCTCAAACGGTCCGAGACACAGATGCACAAGGAGTTTGCTCGAAATGCCACACATTTAGGGTTTGTGCGGATCGCGGACCCTCAGACCTGACACGGCCGGCGCAATCTGTGGAACGCCAGACCCATTGAGGAAACCGGCCTCGGCCCAGGCAATCAGGTGGGAGGAGTCGGCACCCTGCGGCAGCCCAGGCGAGCGGGCTGCAATCTCCTGCAAGCGTCACCTCTGCCATCAGGAGAGTCCAACGTTACTGGACCAACACCAACTCGGTTAGAAACTTTGTCCTTGGAACGCAGACCCCTCGCGTCCACTGGTATCTGCGACCCAGGTTCGATTACATCGCTGCCCCTTGGTGGTCAGTCTGTTCCATTAGTTTGTTTGTAGTTCGTAGGTTACAGTCAGTAGGCTATCACAAGGTGAGAACGGCAGAGAGGAGCCTCAGTTGTCCCGCCTCCAACCTTCAACAACATTTCATCATCTCGTGCACCTTGAGTGCGCGTGCACAGTTGAAACGCGGTGGAAGTCATGGAGCACATACTGGAGACCGGGCGTTCAAAAGGCATGTTTTGCCATTTTCAGTCTGGTGGTCACTCTTGTGGTGTTACATAATCCATTTTAAGACGGGGGGGGGGGGGGGGAGTCAGCAAGAGTTCTGTTTTGCAGGCACAGGTAAGAATTGTTTTTTTTTTTTCCACTGCTTTGGTGCATTTTTTGGATTGGAAAGCTTGCGAGGAAGCCGCAGCACGGCACAACTGCACCATCTTCTCCGTTCCGGTGTGTATAGACCACTTTACTAGGGTAAGAGGAGAGAGAGAAATAAGCTTCCATGTTTGAGCTGTTCCGAAGGTACAGCCCACCGGAACCACTTACACGATGAGAACGGCACGTGCCCTTTCCCCCTGCTACCCTGCTGAGCTGGTTGAAACGCCGGTGGAAGATGGCCGGTTTGTTCTCTGCTATCAGGATCAGGTGCATGCCCTTTCCCCTCTTTTACCCCGAGAATAACACACTGAAATGCCCAGATGTACTCAGATGGCGCCGCAGAAGAACAAAATTTCACCGCACTTAGTGTAATGGACTATACCTAGTTCCTGGAGTGGCAGCTGAAGCAGAAACGGCGGCACCACAATCTCGTCGAGCCAGGCACTGAGGTACGGGTGGGAGCCAGTTTATTTATGGATGTCATTATTCCTTCTAAGGAATGCATGCTATGAAAAAAAAGCACCCTAATCACAGAAACAACATCTCCAAAGCAGGCTCCAATGGCAGTTCCCGACTGAGTTGTTCAATGGCAGTTCTCGACTGAGTTGTTCTATACACGTTTCCGAAAAACGCTCCAAGGCTCCTAGCTGCTCTAGCAGCTAAAAATTTCCCGCCACTCTCTTGGGCTGTTGAAACCTGTGCAGCACAATTCACCACCTGCTCTTAGTGGTTTTTTTCCTTCAAAATTTTCCGGCATCTCTTAAAAAAGTTTCCACTTTATTTTTCTTGTGCATGCTGCATACCCTTTTTGTTTTGTCTTCCTCTGTGAAAAATAACTCGACATTCACGAGAAATGGAGGAGTGGAATGACGTCGAACAACCCTCGACGCGATCTTGCAAACAATGACAAATGTTCTTTCCACTCTTCGAGATAATCCGCGTAGAGTCCTTCTCAGCCATCGCCAAAAATAGCTGTTCGGGTTGGGGTGGGGAACGAACCAGTCACATACGTTTCTTTGCCTCGATGCTGGTGTTGTGAAAAAAGGAAGCTCTCCCCAAAACATGCCCCAAAACGAGGTCCTCTTGGATTCCGTTTGATCGTCGCGATGTGACTGTCATCGACGCTGCTGTACTCTGTTAGTTGAGATCTTTCTCAAATACGTCTTTTTGGATAAAGCTGCACCCTGTGGTATGTACAACATAATGTTTGAATGTTGAAACTTGCTAAATTTCATGTCAGAGTCCTGTTGTATAGATCGGTAATCACATTATTTGTGCGCGTGAAGTATGCATGCTTTTCATCTATCTTTCATTGCCAATTTTTTTCGACAGCTAAGCGCTTTGTCAATTGACACGGCTAAGAGGGCGGTGCCGTGGAAACTCGTAAAATAAAACAAACATTCCAGTCGCATTTGTTTTGTCGCGCGCGCATCCAGCAAAAATAGTTTACAGTTTGCCTTTTTTTTTTTTTTTAAACATGGTACAATCTCTTTTTAATGTCCTCGAAAAAATACTACACCATGAAGCGCTAACAATAGCGGGGAAAGGGCAGGAATGTAGCCGAATGTATATCTGAAATTGTGCCAACGCAGGATGCGCCTATCGAAATCACACTGTCCACTCGGTTAGGGTTAGCAGGGGCGCCGGTGAGACTAGCCTCAAACCCAGTGAGTGGGCTCAAAAAAGGTTCTCCCGTCCCTGGGGCCGAGCGTTTCTAGGAAAGATGTATAGTCACAGACAAAAGGAGACAAAGCAGGAGATGTCTTTCAAATGCCCAACCTTTGGCAAGCCCTCTGTGTCTTTTGCCATGCCTTGGCTGCACATTCGAGGCTGATGAGACACGAAGCGTTGTTGAAGGTAGGAAGCAATCCCGCAGGAGCCGGAACAACTCAAGCTCCTCCCCGCCATTCTCAGCGACTATAGAAACGTTGAAAGGGAGCTGCTCCCCAGGAAGTGCCAGCCTGTGAGGGCGACCCACCTGCAGCGCTTCCAGAAGGCCCACCTCGTAGAGCTTGCCTCCGAGACTGGACCTCCTCTCCCGATACTCGTCGGAAAAGTCGACCACCTTCGTCTCTGGTACCTGGAAAGGGCAGTCTTCCGTCGAGCCCAGGACGTGCATCATGAAAAAGCTTGTGGAGCGCAAGTTGGCAGTCCGAATTCGGCCCTCTGGCGTATTCTCGTGGACGTCACATTGTTTGGATTACGGGACGAAAAAGAGGAACGAGGCCTAGATGAACACGCTTTGGTGACTCACGCGTTCGCCTTCAACTGGCTCCCAGAATCGCTCACCCGAAAGTGTAAGCGAACCTGCCGGCTAAAGGCAAGCACGTGATTCAATGAGGTACGTTTTCCGAAGCCTCGAACCTCCTCTCCTCTCTCTGTTAGGCGCTGGCAACTGCTACATGAAAGATGTTAAGAATACGGTAAAAAGCTATTTATATTTATAAAATGGAGGATGGAACATGGCGGTGTGGCCGGTTTAGGAGCGAGGGAATGTTCTTCTTACTTGCTGTCTCCTAGTGCTTTTTTGGCACAGGTGCTAACATATATACCATAAAAACGAGTTGGCTAAAAGAAGGCTAGTTGTATTTTTTCTACACTAAGTTTCTCTCTAAGGGATTCGATAAACAAAGGTCTCTAAATTGATGTTAGCAAAAAAAACAAGCTTTGGTACAATGAATGCCTCTGCCTGCGGGGGGGGCTTCTCTTGAGCATGGGCAGACTTCAGAAGGAAGGTGTTATGACCCGTCCCTATCTCCCTGTGTTTGTGAGTGCGTGTTATGCTCGTCGAACTATTTTCCCAGTCGTTAGAACCAGTTTGGGAAATGGATTAGCCCAGGCTTAGCCGAACGCTCGAGGCCTGGCCAGTGTGGTTAGCATCAGTGGCTTCAGGGGAAGCACCGCTCAAAGACTCCTCTCCCTCACGTGTCAACCCTTCTGACCTCTACCTGCGGCTAGCGCCAAGGCGGCAGAACGCGTCAATGTGTGTTTCGGGCCTTCCGGGTGCTTATCCGTCACGGTGGCGGGAGGGGGATTAAACGGCACCGGCTATCTGCTGGGAAACAATCCAGGAATTGTCCAGCAGCCAATTTGCAGACCTTAGAACTGTTCCCCATCCCAGATTCAAGTGTGGGGGATAATCGTCATTTTGCCATTCCCAAACGTCTAGTTCCCCTTGGAAGAGAGCTCCGCTGGCCCGATTGCCGTCGGTTGCTTCAGGAGAAGCACCGCCTACGGAATCCTCCTCTTCCTCAGATGTCCAGAAAAACCCCAACCGTTCGAGGGATGGTCGTCTTCGATGAGATATTTCGCTATAGAATAAACCTGTCAAGTTTTCCCGATCTGTTTCCTCGACTAACTGGCTCACACATTGCTCGTGAGAAAGGTTGGACGCCAGCGAGATGGCCATGCTACCCGAGAGACCAGGCTGGGCATCGACACTTATCAGCTGGATGGCGACGCTGGGATGCTGAACAATGCGGATCAAGACCCGCCTCGGACTCCATGGACCGATGACCACACATGTGGGTGAGTGTTCGGCTTTTGCCCCTAGAGACCACCACGCTTTCGCTACAATTGTTTTGTTAGACAAAGCAGGTGGTTGAGACTGAGGCGTGGATTTTAAAGAAGCCGTCAGGATAGCAACAGACCCACCATTTAGATCAATCACAAACCTTAATTCGTTAGGCAAGGCAGATCTGATTTTGATTTGTGAGGAACTTGGTGTGGACGGGCTGAGAAACAAAACAAAGGCACTCATCATTGAGGCCATTAGAGCCACGGGAGCAGATGCGGATGAGCTTGTGGAGAGTTTGGACTTAGCTAAGGACAGACAAAGAGAGGAGCTCGAAAAAAGGAAGCGAAGTGACCGCCTTTGTTGCGAGGAGCTCGAGCTTGAGCTAATGAGACAACAGCAGGAGATGGAGCTCAAGAAACTAGATCTCGAGTTAAAGAAATGTTCATCGGACGGCGGAAGCGGAGTGGGCTCTCGTGGCGGCCCTCGCGACCGGTTCACAGCGTTCTGAAGGCCTTCTGCAAGAAGGTTTGACTTGCGGTTTGGCTGTTTGGCGGTATGGCAGCGCGAAGTGGCTCCCGTTCTGAAGTGATTTTTACCCCGTCTTTGCTGTCGTTTGTGGCCAATCAAGTGTCATGCCGAATTAGTGTTTAATCGTGCAGCAAATGCAATGCGAGCTGCCCTGGCTGCCCGCTGCATACAGCCTATCCAGAAAATGCTTTAGTGGCGCCCTCTCGAGCCGTCGACACGGAGTGTGGCAGCCGTGATTGCTCGCTGAGCTCACTACCCGTCCTCTAGTTCACTGCCACTCAAGCAACCAAGGACGTCATGAAGGAGGTTATTTTTTGCTTGTTCTTGTAATCTTAATTTGCCTATAACTTTTTAAATAAAGCGAAATTTGAGAAAAGAAAAGTTTCATTAAGTTACTACGTTCAGTGCGCTCAGGTTCGGTACAAATGAAAAACCACTAAAAAAGTTGTTACAGGGCCCCATTAAGAGATACCGTCTCTCCACGGAGCGGTTCCGGCTGTGCTTTTGACAGGCCATGAAGGGGAAGGAGGACTCATACTTCGAGTTTGCGTATGACCTAAAGGCCAATCTCATTGAATGGCTGAAGAGTGCTGAAGAGTTTGACAATCTTGAGAGCGTGGTGGAGTGCTTCTGCTTAGAGCTATTTTACCGCTCCATCCCGGAGCAGACGCGGCTCTAGATCTTCGATCAGAGGGAAGAAAAAACGACCCAGAGGGCAGCAGAGCTGGCAGAAGAGTATGCGGTACGCAGAAACCTGCGCGAGGAGGACCGCTATGGTTCAGGTCGCCGGGACACAGAGCCAAAAGGCTATTCGTGGAAAGGGAAATCCGGAGAAGGAGAAAACCTCACAAAGAAGGCTGTGCCCGAAACACAAGGTAACGAAAGGAGCCTCTCCTTTCATTACCTTGTGTTTCGGCCTTGGGAACGCTCGAAACCAGTTCGATCCTCCAGTCCGTATGACCGCAGCGCCGCCGCATACATCTGGGACCATTCTACGCTCGCGCCGCTCGTTGGCGCCTGATCCCACTACACCTTCCTAGTGTGCGCCGCCTTTTCCAACGCTTGGTGGCGGGTATATCGATGGGTCATTTCTTGTTTCCGTACTTTCTAAACTGCATTTGTTTCTTTTTTACCTAAAATAGTGAACAAAAACTACTTTTATAAATAATTGAAACGGTTCGCGCCACTAATATTTTGTATTTCGACTAAAAAGAAGCTTTTAGCGGCTCTGACCAGTAGAAAGCCCAAGACCAAATACCTCACATTTCACGCGCTTTCGGTACCGTGGGTCACCCCCGTAGGTGGAGGAGGTTTCTGCGTCGTCCGGTTAAAATAGGACCTACTGATATTTAGGTACACTCTCCGTGCCAGCTGGCTTGGCTGAACCCCGAGGGACGTGGAAACCACAAAAAAAGGTAAACGCTTAAATGTGAATGCAGGGCCCCTTTAAGACTAATGTATTACGTTTTGGGATAGCTCGAATGCTTCATCGGGCCACGGTGGATCACACGAACAGTGATCGACAACATTGGCACATCTTTTAGGGTGGCATCACTCGGCTCTGACAACCGTAACCGCCGCTTTTGAGTTATTTTTCTTGCCGTTCTTTCTACATACGCGCCGCGATCATAATAAAACGCAGCTGCGTTCCATAACTCGAAAACATACCCACGTCCACCGTTGCTGCACTATCTGTGTTGTCACGTGATTCGAATTCGGATTGCTGGAGTAACTAGCATTTACCTACTCCAGGGTAGGTGCTTTATTTTTATTGTCACGTGATGAACGGATTTTAGCAACTCTCAGTCGCTCGAGTGAACACAAGAAACGACATTCGGAATCGGCGTTGATGGCGTGAATGTCAACGAGCAAGCATCCTTTGTTTGCCCGCGCATCTGCACGTCTGTTGAACTCCGTGTGATTTGCATCAACAAACTTTCGGGAGGATATCCCTCATCCTGCCTCGTCAGTCCAGCGTGAGTTGCGACTTGCTTTAACATGTCTCGCAAGAGAAAATCGCTGTCCTTCAAAGAGAAACTGGAAGTCCTGAGGAAAGTGGACGAGAAACCTAAAAAAAAAATGCAAGGATTCGGCGAAGGAGTTTTGGAACGTTTTTACAAGTTGTAAAACTGTCCCCTTGGTGATATTGAAAAAAAAGAAGACTCAGAAGAACATTACTGACTTCTTTGGCGGGAAGAGTGACCAATAAACGGCAAATAGCCCCCGCTTTGCTTTCATGTACTTAGGTGACTTGTTTTTCGTTCATACGAATTTCGGATTATACGAATATTTTCTGCGATCCCGCGATATTCATATCATCGAAATTCTACTGTATGTGATATACACCTAACAGCCAAGCTGTTAGGTGTCGACGCCCAGCCTGGTCTCTCGGGTAGCATAGCCATCTCGCTGACATTCAACCTTTCTCACAAACAACGTCCGAGCCAGTCAGTCGAGGAAACAGATAGGGATAACTTAACAGGTTTATTCCATAGCGAAATATCTGATCGAAGACAACCGTCCCTCGAACGGTCGGGGTTTGTGTGGACACCTGAGGGAGAGGAGGATTCCATAGGCGGTGCTTCTCCTGAAGTGACCAACGGTGATCAGACCAGCGGAGCGCTCCCCCACGGGGAGCTTAACGTTTGGGAATGGCAAGACGACGATTATCCCCCACGCTCGAATCCGGGGTGGGGAACAGTTCCAAGGTCTGCAAATTGGCTGCTGGTTGATCCCTGGATTGCTTCCCAGCAGACAGCCGGCGCCGTTTAATCCCCCTCCCGCCACCGTGACGGATAAGCACCTGAAAGGCCCGAAGCACAGATTGTCGCATTCCGCCACTTCGGCGGCAGCTGCAGGTTGAAGGGCTGACACGTAAAGGAGAGGAGCCCTTGAGCGGTGTTTCCCCTGAAGCGACTGACGCCAGCCACACTGGCCAGGCCCGAGCGTTCGGCTAAGTCTGGGCTAATCCATCCCCCAAAGTGGCCCTGACGACTGGGAAAATGGTTCGACGAGTGTTCCACGCACTCACAAACACAGGGAGATGGGGACGGGTCCATAACAGAGGAGGCAACCACCCCCCCACTAAGTTCCCCCCCACCCCCAAAGTTCCCCAGGGGGCAACTTTTCTATGGAAAAAACATCACACACCAGCATTTTTTAGGAGGAAATGTTTAACTGAAAATTTTGTGCCAACAAAATATGTATGGGCAACGCTTTGCCCATGACGTAGCATATGTTTAGGACAGTGGTCTCAAACTCATTTGAGCGTGGGGGCCAGATAGCCGATGCTGGGAAGGCCAAGGGCCAACGTCAGACCGTGGGGGGGTCAAACGATTAAAAATTGAACAGACCTCGTGCTCTATGCTTTTTGTAAACTCAGTTTCGTCACTGACATTTTTAGATGTGATTTCTTTATATGACTACTTTATGCCATGACCTGATGGGATAACAATAATTCAAATGACACCGCCCCATCAACGTGCTCGCATTTTTAATAGAACAAAAGAGCAAGTACACCGTCGTTCCTGTTGCTCAATTCACTCAGGAATTAACCAAGCTGAACATTTATCTAAAGAACAACAAGTTATTTGGCAGTTCTTGCTTTCCTGACGCTTTCTATTACAACACCCATACTTGTCTTTTAAAAATAATTTTTTTTTTTTCTTTTCTTTTTTTTTTTTAAGGCGAGATTTCCGAGCTTGTACCATTATCTTTGGCAGTTCTTTATGCTGATCGAGAGTTCGCACAGCCGATATGCATTCTTCAACGAAGAGCTCGTGCTTGCAGACAAGTACTGAAACTGTTGTGCATTACAAAAAGCTGGCCCCATAAGATAAAGCGAAAGAAAGGTTAAATGAACACAGATAAGTAAAAACTATGTGAATATGTTGAAAGAGCAGAGCGACATTTCGAGAGAAAATGAATCGGCAGGATGAGATCACTACAGCCGTGCCATTTCTAGCGCTCGATACATATGGGAATTGGGACGCGTAGACGGTTGCCTGCGGGCCGCGTCCCAGCGAGTCGCGGGCCGCATGTTTGAGACCCCTGGTTTAGGATATCAAATCTAAACCCTCCCCCGACCTGGGACACCTTGTGGTCGCCGAGCCAGAAGACCCAGGCGTGTCCCAGCCGGGCTGGAGACTGGCCGCACTCTGGGCCCGAGATCCGCACAGCGGGCCACCACCGGGCCGAGCCCAGCCGTGCCCAGACCACCTGGCCTGCCCTGGCGCCTCGCTCCTTGCAATCGAGAGCAGAGTGCGCCGTGTCAATTAGGCGCTCGGACGGGCTAAAACTTCCGCGGCTTGTACACGTCTGGTGTCGGACAGCATGTATGCCGTCAAAAGGAATGTCTTACAATGATGCCATATTTTTAGTTCCGTTCCGGCGGAATGGGGGGGGGGGGGGGAGAAGATGTAAGAATACTCGGGAATCTGGATGAGCACCTGATAAAAGTTAAAAGAAAACCAAATTGACAATTAACGGGTTACATTCATGGACCACCGACCACATATTCGGCTTTCAAGATATGTCGACCTTGGCCACTGTGGGAACCAAGAAAGTTTCTTGAATCCTGGTTTATTCAAAGTGACACACTGCACAAAAACCGTAACCTCCTACCGGACGTCTACAGAAACTTCATGCTTTAATAAATGTGCTTCCTCGAGTACTCTCACGGTTCTTTGATGTTCTAACGATGCCTCCTGTATGAAAGGCGAGATATTTAATGAATTTGTTTATTTTTTTAAGTTGAGCTGTCTTTTTGTTATCTTTCATCACAGGGAAGGAGCAACTGGATGAAGCTACCACCACAATTCTGCAATAAAGAAAGCCTGATCATGCAAAATAATGTTCTGCACAAGAGTGCGAGGCAGAGAGCTTCAAATGAGATATGACATAATATCTGGTGTACTGACGGTGGATTTAAGTGACCACTTAATAAGACAAATATAACTAACCCTTATTATCGAGACATAAACGATTATAGTATTGAACGCTTTGTTACGCTTGTATCGGCCACACACTGGAATGACATACGCAATGGGCCAAACCCTAGTAAATCCTACGATAAGTTTATAGAGAAGGTAAAAGAAGCCTATGAAGATGTGTTCCCATTTAGAAAAGTCAAAAGGCACAAGAGATCACGAAAACCCTGGAATACCGTAACACTTCTTAAACGAATAAATGAGCGAAATAAACTTTGACACATTCATAAAAACAAGAGACCTCGATATACTGGCTGAATACAAAAAGAGATGGAACAAGTTAAACGCTAATATAAAAAAGGCGAAAGTAAACTATTATAAAAATTAATTCATTACAATTCAACATAATCCAGTGAAAGTGTGGAAGACAGCAAAAGAACTGATGTCCAACTCGAGCAATACCATCCCCAATGTCCTTAGAATAGATGACAGGGATTATTCTGGTAGAAAACTTGCAAATCTATTTAATGCTCATTATTTGCTTTCGGGCGCTCCGACTTTCTCTTTACAACAGAAAAGAAACTTTGAATTTCATACCCACGTATGTTTACGACAGTCTATATTTTTGTCACCAACTACAGAGACTGAAGTGTTTAACGTAATAAATTCATTAAGAAATAGCGGCGCATGCGGCGATGATGAGTTAAAAGTTAAACCTATAAAAGCAATTGCTGGGATAATATGTCAACCACTATCAGCAGTCTGTGATAAAATATTAAGCAGTGGGATATTTCCTACTCAATTAAAAACCACCAGAGTATCAGTAATACACAAAGATGGGCCAGTTAATAATTTAAACAACTACGGACCTATATCTGTTTTGCCAATATTTTCAGAAGTAATAGAGAAGATAATAAACTCCAGGGTTATTGGACCATTTCATTAAAAATAACCGAATTGTTGAACAACAATATGAATTTCAAAAAGGGAAATCTAGATAAATCGAGGATGCTTTACTGAAAATCAAGGATAAAATTTTAACTGATTTTGAGACCAAGCTTTACACATTAGGGATATTTTTAGATTTCAGGAAAGCGTTTGATTCTATTAAGCATGAAATAATTCTGAAGAAGTTGTATAACTATATGGTATTAGAGGTGTAGCCCTTGAACTTATTCAATATTACTTATCAGATCGTGTGCAATATACGACTTTAAGTCGCGAGAAATCAGAAATCGGTATATTAATGATATTGTCAACATTCCTCACACACCTGACATTGTGCTCTACGCCGATGATACAAACATATTTTTTTCTGGTGCCAACATAGATGAACTTGAATCACTCGCGAATGATTGGATGTTAGAGTTAAGTGCATGGTTGACATGTAATGAATTAGAGCTAAACACCGAGAAAACAAAGTATATGATATTTCGAGCAAAAAATAAAAGTATTAATCGAGAACTTAACCAACGATTTAGAAATAGTGAAATTAAATATGTAAAAGCTCACAAGTCTTTAGGTGTATAGTTTCAAGAAAACCTAAATTGGTCTTATCACATTGATCAGATCCGGCCCAACATCTCCCGGTCAATAGGCTTTATAAATAAACTCAAATATATCATTCCGGCTTGGTTAAAACGAGTTATACTTCACTCTTGTTCACTCTCGTTTAAATTAGTGCAGTTTGGTATAGGGTACGTGCTCACAGACCTGTATATCCAAGCCGCTCATTTTACAGAAAAGAGCAGTACGGTCAATTGCCAATATCTCATATAAGGGGCACTCTAGCCCATATTTTATCAAGCATTCTCTTCCTACAGTAGAACAGTCACTCGTTCAAAAACTGGCAATTTACATGCTTTACAAAATAAAAGCACACTCAGTTTGTGCATGAAAATTACATCAACAATGCATCAATATAGGTACTCATTTCGCCATACCCACTAAACTCAGTCCAGAGTACGCACAAACTACGGTAAACAAAGGATACTTAATCAGATCGCACAGCTATTAAACAACCACCCTGAAATACTGTTCATGATAAATAATTCCAACACAATACACACATTTAAACGAACACTGAAAATGTATCTTTCAGGTATAGCATGACTTATTAAAGTTTCCGGCCGCCTTTCTTTTGTTATATCACTGTATCTCAGTGTAATGTCACTACGAGTATTTGATTGTTTTTTCCCGTGTTTTTGTACGTTCTGTTGCTGACTGTACAGGGGGATCGAGCCTTGAGGCGATTTAAATCGCCTTTTGCCCCATCTTCCTAGACATTTGTCTGAATAAAGAAAATTATTATTATTAGTGAAATGTGGAATTGGCTATTCTTTTTTTTTTTATGTCAATAACTCCGAAGTGACAATGTTTTTGTAGTTTCCGAAATATGAATTGATGGCCTTTTCATACGATTCTAGGTCTAAGTGTGCATTCTGACGAAATGCACTGTGCATCGATGGATGTGGCTCTACTGCCTTTCCGCCAGTGTCGAGCGCTTTCCCAGACAACATACATTCTTTCAGCAACTAGAGGCTGCACCGGTCATAAACAAGCTCGTCCCAGTGGGTGTACGGGCCCGACGAAAGTGTACCTGGACACTGGGATCTGTGTGGACAGAGTCATTGCCAGGCCTTCTCGCCAGCAAAGCCGCACACGAGGTCACGGCGGCCATGCTGGGGCCAGCCGCACCTTGCCGACAGAGTCTGGTGCTGCTCCTCTTGGCCGTGGGTACGGACCCTCCCTCCCACCGTGGTGGTGCGCGCTTGCGTCCCATTCGTTCCACAGTGTAGTGTGGAGCAGGGTCTACTCCCTGGAAGTGTGCCCGAAAGGAGAGAAGAAATTACAAAATCATTTTGGTATAGTAAAATGTTTATGCTATAAAGGGGTACCATATTTTCCGGACTATAAGTCGCACCCTAGTATAAGTCACACATCTGTATATCGAGCCGTTTTCATAAAAAAGTTGGTATATAAGAAGCACCTTTGTATAAGTCGCACCTCTTTGGATGGTTCACGCGATGGGTTTTCTAGTTTACGCACAATGGTACCGCGAAATCAGAGTTTCGCACAACTGCCAGATCACACGTACCGTTTGACGCACATTTCGACTAGTATGGTGCTGTCTGGCGGAGGCAATAGTGTATCGCAGTAAAAGGACGTAAAAGGCGCAAAATGAGAGGGTAGTCGACTTTATTTTAGCGAATGCATGCCGAGCAAACGAAACTTTAAAGAGCTAGACAGTTGCGAATCAAGCTTTCGAGCACTAGGCCTAGCCTAGGCCAAGTCCCAGAGACGACACGAGCATCGATGCGCAGGCAAAAAGATAAAGCTTGACCTTTAAAAGATGGGCTAGCCACAATCCTTCCTTTTACATGTAGCAATACGGCTGGAGCGTGGCACAAAAAAACTGCTCGTCAAACGGAAACTAAGGAAGACGTGAGAAAATATTCTGCAATGCATGTATACCAGCCCAATTACTTTTCAGTGTTGATTCTGGTCCTGGTATCGAACCAGGACCTCTCCGTTTCCAGTAGAGCGCACTACCAACTGAGCTAACCAGGAGTTAGACGTCAGTAGAGCAAATGGGTTTTAAAAGTCACTCCATTTTCAGTTGCACACCAGAAACTTAGCTGTTTTTAAAGATTTGTGCTTGTCTTTTGCCCCCCTTGTTCCCCTTCTTTAGGAATTATTATCATCACTCTTGTCCACCTCGCTTGCAATTTTGCATTAATTGCGCTATCATCATGAGCTTAAATTGCAGGCCATTCACCCTTGTTGGTGTTAGACTGGTGGCAGCTGTTAAACCCTGTTTGCTCCACTGACGTCTAACACCTGGCTAACTCAGTTGGTAGAGCGCTCCACTGGAAATGGAGGTCCCTGGTTCGATACCAAAACCAGATGTATTTTTTTAGTTGCGCAACAGTCATTTGTGTATGGAGATTTCCGTCTGTCCTTTGTTCCCCTTCTCCAGGGATTACTATCCTTATTCTTTTCTAGTTAGCTTGCACCTTTGCATTAATCGCATTCTCATCGTAGCTAGTGATGGGACAAACTTTTCTCCGAACCAAGATTCGGACCCGAATCTTGAGACCCGGAGAGGTTCGGAAAACTGACCGAATCTTCTAGCGACTTGGACGGTTCGGATAGATTTGGGACATTGCCAGAACACCACGCCCTTCGGAAGAAGAGATAAATCCTTTGCTTACTCAGAAATATTATATGTGTATCATAGACGACACATTAAACCTCCACAATACGTTCAAAATCCGTGTCATACGAGAGGTTGAAGCGAATGAAATAAGTGCTCACTAGAATTATAATTCCTGACCAAAATGTTGGGGCATTAGCTAAGCCTTAATCAGATTTTTCTTTCTTAATTTTTTATTTATTGCAATAGATAATAAGCAAAGAAGTTGTACTCAGTCTTCTAACGGTTTCGCCTTCCCCTCCCTCTCAGCCAATGTACCTACCCTTATTTTTGTTACGCGTATGACCCTTACTTGTTCCTTGCCGTTTTTTGCATCTATCACTTGAAGAAGGACGTCCGCTTGAAACATCGAGCATTCCTTCCAGTCCACATTCTCTTTTAGTGTAGCACAACCATATATTTGAGATTTCGCATCCCCGAAGCCCAAAGACCCCTGAGAATCACACTCAACGCCAACGGTGGAGATTAAAGCTTGTGGGTACGCACCATGTGCATGAAACAAAACGACGGGCTACCCGCTCCTCTTCAGTAATGCCTTAAATAAACCAACTGATTTATATTCGCGAACGACGCAAGATTGACGACGAGTGACAACCGGACCTCCAAATGTTTGTACCGAAAAGTTTGGAAACTTCCGAACCAGCCTGAATATGAATCTCCGGTGATTCGTCCCATCACTAATCACAACCTTAAAGATGCAGGCCATTCACCGCTGCCGGTGATAGACTGGTGGCAGCTGTTAAAACCCGCTTGCTCTACCGACGTCTTCCTGGTCATGGGCGTCGCCAGGATGTTTTCTTGGCGAGGGGCAAAACTTTCACTCCTGTCATTCTTTTTTTTTAATTGGGGGTGGGGGGGGGGCAGTGTCACAGGGTAAAAATATTCCTGCAATCATTGAAAATGTATTAGCCAAAATAAACAAAAAGGAGTGTATTAATGTGTCCCAACCAATACACTCCCGCGACAATTTTACAACATATTATACTTATAAAATTTTAAAACAAATGTTAGCATAAAAATTCTTAAGTTTGCAGTTCTAATTGCTTACGTAAAAAGGCCTCCCACAAGTATTGTGACTACTCTCGATTTAATTCCTACAGCCCGGACGTAAAAATCTTGTGAATGGTGAATGGGGCACGAACATATCAGGACCAACGGGTTATCGCTGATGCAGGAACCACCGGTCATTTATTATTGATCAGATTCTGCAACACGGCAATTCAATAAGACCAGATAATATATTCTTGGATGCCCATTCATATACTTTAAAAACATAAGGAAATTTGCAAGGCAAGCAAGCTTGTCTACAATGCTTTCAAGTCTTTGAATAAAATGTAGTTCAATGATCCTATTGACGAACTACACTTCCTCCATGACATTTGAGTTTCCCCAATGAACAGTTTGTCTGTTCATAATACTCAAAATTTGAAGAGAGAGAAAGCTAGATATGTATCACCAAAATGAGTGTGCGAGCTTACAGGCCATATCTCCGAGAAAACATATAATTTCATTTCCTATAGTGCCGTGCGCCAAGTAGGCAGCGCGGCCGTAGCCTAACGGTTATCGCGCTTTCCTCCCACGCGAATGGCCAGGGTTCGATTCCTGGCCGCGGATACGCATTTTTGTTTACACTGTAATGTGATGTTCTAGTAAATTCGAGAACCGTCTAGCTGATTCGAGGTTGGAATGTTCTACGCGTCGAACCTTCTACATCGAATACTCCAGAAGCCAACGCATGTACAAAAGCGGCTCCGCCTGGCAATCAGGAGTCAGTTTCGCCCCAGCGTTAGACTCTGCTGTTACGCCGACTTCGACGCCCGCGACGCTCTCTTATTATCTTTTGTACCCTTTTATTTTTGGCACAAGTTCGCCACATTAAAGGTTTATTTCTTCCTGTTTATTTCCTGTTTTTTGGTCACCACCTGTGACATTTTGGGGGGGGGTCCAAGGTGTACTCTACAAAGAGAACTTCGGGGACAACAACTCGCCGTGGCTGCTGGTAATCCCGACCGACCTTCGAGAGGAGATCTTTCAAGCATGTTACGACGACCCGACGTCCGGACAACTTGGATACAGCAGGACATTGGCCCGTATTAGTGAAAAGTATTACTGGCCCAAGCTCCCAAAACCGTCCACCACTACACCCGATCCTGCCACGAGTGTCAGCGACGCAAGAAACCGCCGACGAAGCCGGCAGGTCTCCTGCAGCCAATTCCTCCGCCAACTGCACCGTTCCAGCAGATCGGAATGGATCTACTTGGTCCTTTTCCACCGTCGACCCTGGGAAACCGTTGGATAATCGTCGCCACAGATTATCTCACGCGGTACGCAGAAACGAAAGCCCTTCCTTCGGGGACTGCGGTTGAAGTCGCCAAGTTTTTCCTCGATTCCATTGTCCTCCGGCACGGCGCTCCCGAAGTTCTGATTACAGATCGCGGATCGTCGTTCATGGCACAGCTGACCCAAGAAATTCTCCGGCTCAGTCACACCAGCCACCGTCGTACCACCGCATACCACCCGCAGACCAACGGGCTGACGGAGCGACTCAACAAGACAATCGCCGACATGATCTCTATGTATGTCGACGTTGAGCACAAGACGTGGGACGAGGTGTTGCCCTACGTCACGTTCGCCTACAATACGGCGGTTCAAGAGGCCACTGGATTCACACCTTTCCAGCTGGTACATGGTCGGAAGGTAACGACCATGCTGGACGCAATGCTGCCCCATGAGCCATCTGACAATGAGAGCGACGACGCCCAGGCGGTTGCTCAACGCGCCGAAGAAGCCCACCAGCTCGCCCGACTCATGATTCAAGACCAGCAACGCGTCGACGCGGGCCGCTACAACCTTCGTCGCAGGGACGTTCACTTCCAGCCCGGAGACAGGGTGTGGGTGTGGACGCCCATCCGTCGCCGCGGCCTCAGTGAGAAACTGCTGAAACGGTACTTTGGACCATACAAGGTACTTCGTCGCCTCGGCGAGCTGAACTACGAGGTGATGCCCGACGGAACAAGAACATCATCACGCTGCCCACCACGACCTGAAGTCGTCCACGTCGTGCGCCTGAAGCCGTACTACGCTCGATAGGACTGTGGATCTTATGTGTTTCAAATGACTCTTTAGTTTGCCGTTCTTTTTATGTGCTTTGTTTTGTTTTGTTTTGCATCGAGGCGATGCACTTTTTAAGGGGGGAGTAATGCCACGCGCCAAGTAGGCAGCGCGGCCGTAGCCCAACGGTTATCGCGCTTTCCTCCCACGCGAATGGCCAGGGTTCGATTCCTGGCCGCGGCTACGCATTTTTGTTTACACTGTAATGTGATGTTCTAGTAAATTCGAGAACCGTCTAGCTGATTCGAGGTTGGAATGTTCTACGCGTCGAACCTTCTACATCGAATACTCCAGAAGCCAACGCGTGTACAAAAGCGGCTCCGCCTGGCAATCAGGAGTCAGTTTCGCCCCAGCGTTCGACTCTGCTGTTACGCCGACTTCGACGCCCGCGACGCTCTCTTATTATCTTTTGTACCCTTTTATTTTTGGCACAAGTTCGCCACATTAAAGGTTTATTTCTTCCTGTTTATTTCCTGTTTTTTGGTCACCACCCGTGACAATAGGTAACTTACCGTAAAATACCGGGCAAAATCAAATTTGGGGGTTTTACGTGCCAAACCAACGACGGGCATCTGGCACGCCCCAGCGGAGGCCTGAGGATTAATTTCGACCACCTGGGGATCTTTTGACGTGCAACCGAAAGCTCGGCTACACGGCGCCTTCTGCGTAATAAAGCGCCCACTCAAAATTTAGAGATAATCGCAAAAAAATGGGGGATGGACACTTGTCCGGTCATCAATTTTACATATCAATGTACTGTGCATATTTTCTCAGATCTTACAAATTCGGGTATGGGCGCTTAGTGTGGTATGGGCGGATGCACAGTATTCTACGGTAAGTTATAAAAGCTCTATATTTATAAAAAGAGTACCAAACTGGGAGGCACCAACACCCCAAATACAAAGTCCGCAAATGCAGGTCCCCAATTATATTTTATTTCCGGGTATAAACACTGATCAATGCCTACCTACTGCAACAAAATTGATTATAGCTGAAGTTTAACCCAGGCTTTACCTCGCATCACTAACGTTTGGGTGAGCTTTTCGAAAATAAATGCGCTGCTATACATATATTTATAAATTTTTCGTCGATAGGTTTCTCCTTCTTCACGTTAACTTAAAACAACAGTTAAGAGAATTTAGATAAATAAATGGGCCCCTGCCCGTTTTATTTCAAAATTTAGAAAAAAAAAAAGTTAGAATGCTGTCTGTTATCTTAATGCGGGTCTTGTATTTAATTTAGCTGGTCAACTTTAGTTTTATTTGAAAATGGTATCCTTAATTAAAAAAGGGACTAGGCGTACCTGTAACAGATGAGTTGAAGGTGAATCCTACATTAAGCGGAATTTTCCGAAACCAGGTCGTTTACGCAGGAAGAAACCGATGGAGAAATCCATCGTTGTCTTCTGTTTGACACCAGGGAAAGGCGGTCTCTGACGCGCCTTTCCCTGGTGTCAAACAGACAGTGAATTATGGCCCTAGCGTTCTTCCACGGAATGTGGGGCAAAGCATCTCCTGATAGTTCTGATAGTTACTCTCGATTAGCGGTCACCCTGCTTGCTGGGGGGGGGCAACTGCCCCTTTTGCACCCCTCTGCCGACGCCCATGCTCCTGGGTAGCTCAGTTGGTAGAGTGCTCCACTAGAAATGGAGAGGTCCCTTGTTCAACACTAAGGACAGGCAGACTCTTTCAGTCGCGCACCAGACACCTAGCTGTTTTTTGAGATTTGTGTTTGTCCTTCATTTTTTGTCCCCCTTGTTCCCCTCCTCCAAGGATTATTATCGTAAAAAAAAGTGATACCAGCGGCAGGCAGGAATTCACTCTTTGGGCCGTAGAATTTGTTTCTGACCAATTAGAAGAAGCTCTAAGGCATCAAATGAATGCTTTTGAAACTCACTCCAGCCCCAATTGTGCAGCAGCGCCAAACAAACGTACGGCATATTCCGTTTTCTAGACTGGCAGCTTGAGGTGCAAGCCTGCCTGCCAATTATATCATGGCATTGAGAAGCGCGAGCATATCTGAATGGCTGTGGCATTGCCTACACTTGCTGATTTCACAATAACTATCCTGAATTTAGAGATAATTCCAGAAAGGGTAAAGATATAATAAACATGCATGATTCTCCGCTAATTCAATTTGGAATGCTGTGTATCCTTGTAAAACGCAATATTGCGTTTTACGTGTGTGCATTTCCGACCCGCAATTGTATTGCGTACGTGCCACTAAAACTCCCTACTGTTAATATAAAGTGGGAAGGAAAAGTGATTGCACATGCCAAGTAAAGAACTTGATGCAAATAATATTTGATTTTGTAAATATAAACAGTAGTAAAAACAAAACAACAGAAATGCGGCTCCAGCCCTTGTCTCCTGAAATAAAATAGACAAAAACAAAATGCTTGACGCACGACCGAGTGCTGTCGTCATTCTGTATGATGTTTACACAGCTGTTCGCTGAAGCAGCGCGGACTGCAGCAATCACGCTTCGAGCGTTGCTTCTCCGCAGTGCTCCAGTGCCGATCGAAAAGCGCACTCAACGGAGCTAACTCTGACCCGCCCTGGACAGTTTAGCAAACAGTCGTACCACACGGGCGCGCGCCTAAAAGCATGTGTCAAAGGCTCGGGTACGCGGAACACGTTAACGGTTTGCTAAAGAGTTGCTGGAAGTCCCTAATGAGAAACATTTCGAAACCTGTGAGCCAGCGTGTTTCGGAATCCCGCGGTAGGAAATGATCTAATTTGAATTGGTAAGCGAAAGTTTCAAAGTTTTTGTAGATATTTGCCAGCACTTCAGTATGTTAGCGAGAATAAAACACGTTTGGGATATTGCGACGTGCGCGCTCATACATATGTTTCCGAAACGAGTAGCGTAAACTCCAAAGGTCGCATTTCCTCGCCGAAGAAAGAGCCGACCGTTCATCGAGTGCTGCCCGAGAAGTTGTTTGGATGTGGGCTTTGCTTCTGCCTACCTTTATCGTGCAGTTCACAACTGATCCACTGTTCGATTAGAGAGCCAGATGAACCAACGGCGACTATGGATCGCGCCAATACTTCAAAGCTGACGGAAAAGACTCGAACCAGCCATCACCAAGGCAGCCAGGGTCGATGAACTGTGGCACGTGATGCACGTGACACGTTCGCTGGGTTCGCTGGGTTCACTCCGGACCTGTAGCGCCTGTAGCCCGTGTAGCCCTGTAGCTCCGCGAGCCACAGTGATGCACAGTCAAGGAGGTTAGAAGTACTCTCCATGTGCACAGTGAGCTCCGCGTAGCTCTGGACGTAATGTTGCGCCTCTGGTGCCAAGAAACCTAACTAAACGCTCGCTGCCCGTTGAGGCTAATGAGGAAGGGCAAGCGACGACCACGGCCCCCTACAAGCCGCCCATGGTTACTAGACAATCCTACGCAGGCATAAAGTTCGGTGTGATCGGCGCGTTAACCCCCATCGCTCAGTAGTTCGCTAGTCTGGAATAAGCCGACGTATGGAGCGTCCCAAAGCTCATCGGAACGTTGTGTGACCCTCGTGATGATGCTGCCTGGTTTGTTCCGCGCCCCCAACCATTCCTGCACACCGTCTTCCAAGAGCCGCCGCGGTAGTGCCTGATCAGCGATGGCCCTCAAGGTGGGTCGTTCAATATGCTCCCGAACTTGTTGCGTTGGGGTCCGCTTTTGCCCCCGATTTTTTTGTTCTTCGCCCGTGTGTATCCGGTAATAGTGATCGTGGACACATCACGGGCTGAGGACGACTACGGGGCTCGTCTTGGGCCCGCGGGAAAACATCCCTGCGCCAGTGCAGCCCCCTGGCAGAAGATACCATCTGGGCATCTACCTGATCTACCTGTCGGGTTTTTGGAAAGCCTGCTTGGATTGTCGATTAGCTGCGCGCTTGACACACGGGTGGCGATGGCTTCTGTCGGCCGGCGGACCCTAGTTTTTAATCTTCGTCGTTGCACGGAAGAGCGAAAACGACGCGCGAAAGATAACGCACCGCGGTGGTGGGCGTCACGACTTTCGGCTTAGATTTTTGTCCCAGAAAAAGTCGCCAACAAACCACGAAAAAAAAAAAATAATAAAAAATAAAGAAAAGAGCAAGCACACGACACGTCCCGTCTAATGGCATACTTTTTTTTTTTTTATTTGAAAGCGTTTCGACAGCAACGATGCAGTTTTGACAGGAGAGCAAACTGTTCTTTCAGTAATCACAGCGACTGTCCCTTTCTGCCAGTTTTTATTTTATTTTTGGTTCCACTTTCGCACCGCTGTGCAAACAAAAACAGCACAGACGAGGGCAGCAAAAGAAGTACAAAATTACATACGACTTGCAGTCGCGTCAGCAACCATTCTGGTGCCTCGCTGAGCATGTATGTTTTGCATCATACAATATGCACCATTGAATTAGTTTTTCTCAGCAAGAGCAAGTGGGGATGATCACCAGCATGGTTCAGTGACGTCAGGTGCGAGCCCCATATATTCGTAACTTGTAGCATCCTTCCATCAGTCACTGTCAGCTAGACGCCAGTATGTCGTAGCCTCGTAGGCTAAAGTCGCTGGATCCTGGCAAAAGTAGCGCCATTGCCTTCCCTCCTGCTAGCAGCATACAAACAGATACTAACTTACAGACAACCAAAACTTCTCAAGGCAATAAATAGACCTCTTGCAAAATCGAAGCAATCCTTGGAACAGTGCAGCGCAAAGCATGTTGAGAACCCTTTGGTCACTAAGTTTCACTTTCAATTTGCCGATCTCACTTCCCGACTTCCTGTCATGACCAAGTAGTGTGCTTGCATTTTCGAATATGTGACTTTCCTTAAATTTATAATACTGTAGGTGTTGCCTACCCATACGGATAGAATGCTGGGGTGCATTTTTTTTTGGCTCCCAATGTACCAGAGTTTGTGTGGAGGTGAACGCAGGGCTACGATAGCACATGGAAGTAGAAGTATACTGGGCCAATCATCCTGTTCTATTATCTCGATCCTCAATGTCCTAGGCTTCTCAATTTATCCTTCAGCTCGGAGGGTCATGCTGAGCTTTGAAGTGGTAGACAGGCCGCCAGAAAAGTATGGGACTTGGCCAGCTGCAGTGGCGCCACAGAGGGGGGGGGGGGCAGGGCAGGCGGGGCGGGCGGCGCGGCAGACCGCCCCGGGTGCAGCGCTCCAGGGAGTGTCACGGTGGGTCACGAAAAGGGGGGTGTCGTGGAAGGCCACAAGATAGAGCCACTGGCCAGCCGTACTCCTATTCATCACTAAGCATAGGGACGTCCATACGGCCACCGGAAGTCGCTCATGTTTCAATGGGGACTCTCCTGAAGATGAATGGGTGCAATGCCAGTGAGCGCTGACTTTATTTTCATGCGGTGCTAATATGCGCTGCTTCGTCCATTGGGGGAACTGAAACCGTGCCACTCCTTCTCCATGGCCAAATAGGTCCCAGAATGCAACGTGCGCAGTGTGGCATGCAGACGTTTTTGGAGGTATCTGTTGCCATGGCAATCATCATTTTGGTCCTTTCAAACCTTCGAAACTTTGAAAGGGTCGTTCTAAACCAGCCGTGCCAAGATTGCGACGGTGCATCATCGTACCGAAAGTGGTCATCGCCAATACAAGTCTTTGGCAGTGTATATGCAACCAACTTGTCAATGTGGCTTATCTCTGCAGATCTCTTACAATGATTTTGTTCTTTGTGCATATTTCAAGACAGGAAAGTTATTTTTTAATGCCATCAAGCATCAAACTTGTTTCGCCGGTGTGTGAATAACAAAATCTCGGTGTACGAGATATGTCTTTACGAAGCAACCTGTCACGGCGAATTGTGATCTGAAACTGTTTATTCCAAGGACCAAAATGGCGACCGCACGGGGGCTTGGCGCTTCCAGGATCCAGTGAGTTTATCGTAGACAGGACGCTGTTGCTTGCCGTCCGCCCAGAGCCACGTGGTTGGTGGGATCAACGAGCATACACGAGCAAGGCACAGCTGTAATGGCCGAAACATTATCCCTGAATATGACCTGGTCAACTTCTGTGCAATCTTTGACGATGAGCGGCCAAAGTGTAAAGTCGGTGACACCACTTTTCGGCGAATCGACGTCTGGAATATGGGTCAGGTAGCATTTGGGGCGCATTTGGACGCCTGAGCGGGGTTCTCGGAGTAGAAAACAGCACATCGGGGGGGGGGGGGGGGGGGGGGGAATGGGACTGGGAAGGGGGAAGGGGGAAGGGAAGGGGAGAGCAAGCGAGGCAAGATAGAATGCTCTGCTACTACTATGCAGTTCAATGTAAAAACTCATATTTTCTGAGTTTCTTGTTGAGGGCATGAATGCTTTTCTTTCTCATTTTAAACAGTGAAAAGAAATGTTGCCAGCCAAAGCCTGCCAAAGTTAAAGGGCAACTCCGGTCAATATATTTTAATTTGGGATTACGACCGTTTTCTTCTAAAGCAGTGTCCTTGAATTACAAGTTGATAATTTTTGTTTCTTCTCAATATTGTGTATAGTTTTATAAATATCACAGCTCAAAGTTTGGCTTGTTGTATTTGGAGATTGGGGGCTACGGCAAAACCGAAACTCTCTGCTAGAGGGATGGCAGCACTGATCATCAGCCGTACGGTATAGCAGAAACACACTTTAGGGATGTGGAGGGACCGCCCTACCTACCAGGTAATTTTTTTTGGGGGGGGGGGGGGGGGGGGGGCTGCAACCGGAGGGCAGGGGAAAGGAAAAGCGGAGGCCTAGGGGTGTTAGTAACAGGGCAGGACTGGAAAAGGGGAAGAAGGCTGTAGGGAGCACTTATGGCTGACGAGCAGGGTAACAGGTCTGAACAGTGTTCTGGGGTTTGCTTACCTAAACACGGGAAATGACTCAAGGGAGGAATATTCAGAACACTTTACATGTATTTCGAGGGACATCAGAGAAATTGTCCTTAATCCGGAAATAATTATCATAGGAGACACGAATGCACACGTAGAAGAGTTTGACGGATTCACAGATACAACCGGAAAAATTGCTAGAAGAGTTCTGTGATGCCCTGGACCTAGTGTTTGTTAATGCACAAGTAAAATGCGACGGGAAAATAATGTGGGAACGAAACAACTCACACTCAGCAATAGACTACAGCCTCATGTCCCACAAACTGTATGACAGGCTAGGAAGTATGAAAATAGATGAGGAAGGTACAAGAAGCTTAGGGAGTGACCACAAAAGGATTAAAGTCAAATTTGGTGCATCTGAACCTGAACAACAAGCCCAGGAACGAGCGGGTAAACCAAAACTAAGTGAAGCTCTAATTCAAAAAGTATTGAAAACATAGTATCGAAACAACCAGAAAAAGAATGGACGTATGAGGATTTAATAGGAATCTTTAAAAGAAAATTAGAGAAGCATTGAATTAAACAAAGAGGAAAACAAAAACGAAGACATGAACTGAAGTAACATCGAAATGAGAGAGCTTTCATGATTGGAAAAGGGAGGCATCAGCTTTAAAACAGGTCAAAATTGGGAGTGCAAGAGTGCAGTGGATGATGGAAATAAATAAAAAAAGATAATTGTGCGGCAAAAGGTTTTGGGAGCACATTAAAGCGGAGAGGAGAAAGACAGAGGATATCCAACACTTACTGACCACAGAGGAGGGGAGAAGAGTTGAGGGGAAGGAGGCACGGGAATCTATTAGGCAGACAATCGAAGAGGCTTTCTCCCAGCTTGAGCAGAGGGGGCAGTGGATAGCACGGACAGCAGCAGTGTAGAGGAGGAGCAGAATAGTATAACGATGGAGACAACCGCAGAAGAATGGGGCAGGGCAGAAAGTAAGGTTCCAGTAGGTACAGTGGCAGGCCCAGACGACATACCTATGGAACTCATAAAGATGCTAGGAAAAACAAGCAAATTGAAGTTACGGCATCTGATTAATCAAGTAATTATGGGAGAAGTACCCAATGATTGGAAACTAAGTAAAATGAGACTAATATATAAGGGCAGTGGAAACAAAGATAACATTAAGTAATATAGCCTGATAACGGTAACCTCATTCCTATACAGATTAGCTATGCAGATGGTAAAGCAAAGAATGGAGGAGTGTACAGAAGATGTGCAAATACTGGGTGAGCTCCAAAATGGATTTAGAAAAAATAGAAGACTGGAAGATAACTTATTCGTCACCACTCAGTGTATAGAAACAGCAATGAAGAACCAAACTCCTTTATGGTTAGCTTATCTGGACATCAAGGGAGCATACAATAATGTGAGCCAGGAAAAACTTTGGAGTCTGCTGAAAGAGTAGTATAATTTGGATGCAAATTTGGTTAGGTTTCTTCAGCAGGTGTACATAGACAATAAGGTAATAAGGTAGTTTAACATGGGACGCAGAAATTACACAACCTGTAGCAATAAAAAGAGGGCTCAGGCAGGGCTGTCCACTGTCACCCCTGCTCATCATGATATATCTCAGTGAAATGGAAAAGAAATTAGTGCAGAGCAACTTCGGTTTTGATGTGAGTTATATGGAAGGAGGGAGATATATCATGGTCGCATACATCAGTCCTGGTAGTACAGGTAATACCAGGACTGATGTATGCGGACGACATAGTAGTACTTATGGCAGACAACCATGATATGTTACAGGAACTAGCTGG